GGCTCCGGCCCCCTCCCTACCTAGCGAGTCTTCTACGACCAGCTCAGCGTTCAATTCCTCCGCATGTTACACTTCTCGCTTCACTTCTGGTAGGCTCACCCCCACAGCCGTCGTGAACGAGCGACTCCTGCCGCTACTCACGTCCCCGAAATCTCCTCACTCCGTCTGCGTGATCACCCCCGTCACCCCATCTGCCGAAGCGTCCGCGTCCACTTCTAGATATGCTGCCTCAACAGCACACACTTCCGGCATTGATGGAGTTGCGGTTCTCGTAAAAGACGAGTTCACCCTCGCGGGAACACCGCGCACAATGGGATTGACGAAAGCCGAGATGACACGTCGTGCATACAGCGCGTCAGAGGCAGGGCAGACATCTTGGTGTGTGCAGAAATTGATCGATGCTGGCGCATTGGTCGTTGGGAAAGCCAATATGCACGAAATAGGGTTCGACACGACTAATAACAACCCTAATTGGGGCACACCGAGAAATCCGTATAATAAAGATTATTACCCTGGTGGGAGTTCCGGTGGGTGTGCATATGCTGTTGGCGCGGGATTGGTGCCAATTGCCGTTGGCGCAGATGGCGGAGGGTCTATCAGGTATTATTGTACCGCTCCAGCCTTTACAATTGAAGGATTGGGAGGGTTAACGGTTTACGGGTGCGCGTGACAGGCTACCCGCGAGTTATTGCGGTGTCTATGGGCTAAAGCCGACCCACGGGCGTATATCTTTGCGGCCCACCCTGAGTATAGCCGCGAGTGTATGCTCCCCGCTCTCCTCTAGCAGCGGCCGCAAATCACTACTTTGCTAATGACCCGGTTTCGCAGAACGGAGTCGCCGGGCCGATCGCAGCCACAATCTCGGACCTCGAGCTCGCCTACCGTATCATGGCAATCCCCGACCCGCATGACCCCGTCTCAGTCAGCTTCCCCCAACCAGCAAAGCCGCCTGTGGAAGCACACACGGGAAAGCGCATTATCGGAATCTACAAACCCTGGTTCGAAGATTGCGACCAGGAGGTCAAGGATATCACGGGTGCGGCCGTGAAATGGCTAGAGACTGAAGCCGGCTACGAGATCGTAGATATTGAGATCCCCTACCTAAAGGAGGGGAGGACAGCCCACGCAATCACTATATTGACGGAGATTGGCCAGGGGTTTTGTAAAGGTGACGCTTCGGGCCTGACACCTGCTAATAAGATGCTTGTGGGAGTGTCTAACAAGACCCCTGCCAGGGTATTTCCCTCCCTCTTCTCAAAAGCCCTGTGCTACTATTGCTCCGATACTGACTTGTACGAAAGGACTTCAACATAGCCCAACGTGTCCGCGCAATGCTAATGTCGCACCTAAGCTCGCTCTTTGCCACTCACACCGACAGCCTAATAATCCTCTCCCCAGTAACGCCCCACATTGGCGTGAAGGTTGGCTCGGAATCGCACGCTGCCAAGGGCGGTGCCGGTATTAGCGACGCAAACACTAGTTTGAAGAGCATGCAGTACGTCTTCCTAGCAAACTTCACCGGCTGCCCGAGCATTTCGGTCCCCGTGGGGTACTCCCCGACTGAAGGGGTGCCGATTGGGTTGATGGGTATGGCAGCGTGGGGGGGCGAAGAGGTGTTATTGGGATTGGGAGAGTGCACAGAGAGGTATTTTGAAGGGGTTGTGGGGAGGAGGAAGGGGGGCGGCGAGGAAGGGGAGAGGGGTGGGGTTTATGTTGACGTTTTGGCCACCGCGGGTGAATCAGATGGTGGTGGTGGTGGTGGTGGTGACGGTCCAGCCAGTCCTGGTTTGTGAGTGGCAGGTGAGACCTTGGACGGCACTCCACCCATAGTCTACCAATATGGTACTATTTTTATTTCTTCCTCTCTCCGTTTCGTGCCAATAGCAGCACAAACCCCCACGCTTTCCACAAGTGGTCGGAGAATTACATAATGAATATCCATATTTAGTTGAATCTGTGCTCCTTAGCCTAACTTGACCTACCCCAGGTTTTCACTCGTTCATGGTTCATCCAACCAAGCATATGACCGACTTGAGCACCGATAAACTAGTTCAACTCGAACCTACAGTACAAGCAACATAGCCCTCAAGTGTACACTACCACATGTTACTACACACATCTTCTCACCACCCGTAGAATTGAGCACAGCATCGAGATCCCAATCCCGGCCATCAACCAAAACACAGTACGTTGCTAAAAAAAACCCCCCGATTCCAGCAAGTATAGACCACCACACTCTAACTCTCACAGGAGCAAAACAGTAATTACAGCTACGGCGCAATTCCCCCCCCCCTGGAAAATATATTCCCGCACAGTAGAGCACAATACTAGTACAATGCCTCTCAAAAGTAGGTCCTACGATTGGGTATGATATACGAAAACCCATCCCAAGGATTCACGACAAGATAAACCTTACGATACTTACGACGCCTTGCCGTAAGTTAGTGACAAATCCCAAACCCCCCCCCTCACTTCTCATTCACCCCGGTTTGGTTGGCTGGTTGGTTGGTTAGGGGTCAGGCGGCCCAGCGGGAGGGTAAGAATGGCAGGATATCAAATCAAGAGTGGGCGGTGGGTAGATCATAAGGAAAGGAAAAGGTCCTTCCGGTGAAGCGGTATTACGCGGCGGTGATAGTATGATATATGTATTCCACTGCCTTCAAACGAAATTCACCGTCACTACCCCTCCACATTAGTCACCCTTGCCGCCATACCTCCCCTCCCCTCTTTTTTTTTTTTTCAGACCCCCCGTATCTCCCCGTCGATTCATACCGATGCTACTATAGCCTCTCTCTCCGGCCCCTTCCAGCTCCCATCCGAAACGTGGACATTCTACGAGTACGAGGCCGGTGACACCAATGATCCCACACTCCCACCATCACTGACTGGGGTTAGCAATCGAGCGCACCGGTGGTGTAACGACTAGACTACCCGTGCAAACGGTGTCCCGAGGATGAGAGTGCCAACGACGGTGCAGGGTGCCCTGACGCCAGCCTTGCCAAGCCTAAGGAGCAGAGAATCATTGATAATTTACAAGTATGTGCCGACGGCCGGTAAGTTAGTAAATGAGAGGGTTGCCGGCTGGGAAGATATCCGCGTGGCTGGGAGTAGAGATTTTGTAGTTGTATACTGTAGTGAAGTAACTGTGTGACTGCGTGCTAAGAAAAAAGGAAAAGGAGTGGTGTCATGGCATATCACTCGGGGGAGGGCGTGGGGGAGGGGGGGGAAGAGGTTAGCATGAAGGCTGCTATCATATAATGTTAGGAGCAGCCTTACCGTCTAAGAATTATGAGGTTCCTATAAACTACCGCTTTATGAGGTTCCGCTATGGTGCGAGTTGGAGAGAAAAAGCCCCCAGGCCAATATTTTCAAGAAATACATGAGGATGAAACCCCGAAACATCTAAAGACTCTAGTACTCTGGGAATTCACCTGCTACTCCACTCCTCGCCCATGCTGTGATTCCACCTTCTATATCAAATACCCGATCATTTGGGAAGACACCTGCTTCCTTTAGCTGCCTCGTCACAATTTGTGAGTCGTTTCCGAGTCTACAAATGACATATACTGGCCGGTCCTTTGGTTGATCCTGAAATTTTGACTCGATCTCTCCGGCCTCCGAATCTCCATACTTCGAAGCTTCAAACTCGGTGTATGGAATATCTAATCTTATTAACCCTGTATAGAGAGCGTAGTGGAAAAACTTACTCAAACTTCCAGCTAGCTGACAAATCCCAAACTGTGTCCTATCTCTAACATCCAATAGCAGATGCTCCACCCCACTATCCATCACCCTCTTGTACTCCGCCACACTAACCCTCTCATCTGGCTGCAACACCCGCACACCCGCACTCCCTCCACAGAAAGCAACATAATCCATCCTCCCACTCTCAATACTCTCCCTTGTAATCTTCTCTTCCACCCTCTCTGGACTCCCACAGGCAACACACCCCGCCTTCCTCCCCCTCATTTTCAAACACCGAAACGGCGAGGCTCCGTACGCGGCGAACAGCGTCATTTCCGCCCTCCCAACCTCCCGTACAGGATTCATAGTAATGATCTTGACGGCTTCGATGGCCTGCATGACACCCATTAATCCTACTACAGGTCCAAGAATCCCGCCTTCGCCGCAACCGATGACACTCTCCGCAGGTGGCGGACGCGGCCATATACACCTATAGCAGGGACCTACACCGGGGGGGTTATTAAGGACGACCAGCTGGCCGTCTGTTTTCAGTGCTGATGCGGAGACTATGGGAATGTTCATGATCACCGCTACATCATTAATTAGATACCGGATTGCGGGATGATCTGTGCAGTCTAGGACGAGGTCGTACTCCGCCATGATCTGCAGGGCGTTCTCGGTTGTCAGCGGCTCGATATGCGGGATGTAGTTTGGATGCGGGTTCAAACTTTTGGGGGGGAGCACTCAAGTTAGTTGTCTGCCATTCAACCACGAAACATAAGCGCTCCGGGAAACATACTCGCGAAGGTATGTAATTGCGCTAACAACCTTCGGTAACCCAACTCTTGAAGTAGAATGTATGATTTGGCGATGAAGATTTGAATTCTCAACCGTATCGTGGTCAATTATTCCCAGAGCCCCTACTCCCGCTCCCGCGAGATATGCCGCTGCCGGGCACCCAAGCCCGCCGGCGCCCACGATGAGAACCCGGGATCGCTTGAGCGACATTTGACCTAGTGACCTAATTAGTCATCCATCCCTCGAGACCAGAATCTTCTGAAAACCGACAAAAGTTTTATACCTTCGATTCCGATTTCCGGAAGTATCATTTGTCTCCCATAGCGTTTGTATTCTTCCAGTGAAAGCCCTACTTCGCTCTTTTCCCCCACATTGGGAGGGGGATAGGACTGCCGGGATGAGACTGATGCATGACCGATGCGATTGGCGAGCTGGGCTTCAAGTTCTGAGATACGCTTCTTTAGAGCTTCGTTCTCTGCTTTTAAACTTGTTTCCATTATGAGTCGTAGTGTGCTGATACAAAATCTCTGCCGTATGTGGTGGTTGAAATTTAAAGACAAGGTTGGGTATCAGACGGGTTATATGCTCTGTAATTGGATGCCAAGAACGCTAGTCACCATCGGACCGCAGCTGCTTCTTGCGGGAACTATTTGATATCAATGACATATCATACGAGTGGAACACCCATACTCGCTATATCCAGAAGCTAGATACCGCCCTTTCGTGTGACAATAGTAGAACGGAAGGTCGTAACACCTCATTAACATCCAGTTGACAACCCATTTCTATTGCCTTGATAGGCTACGCTGATAATATTCTCTAGGACGCTTGCACAAAAATTCACGGGTGATAGCCTCCGCACCCTAAAGCACAATATCTCTATAGCTAGATCATTGAGTCAAGTTTATTTATTTTTTGCCACACAGGTATACTGCGAAACGAAAAAAACGCTGCAAACCGCGATGCCTGTCCGGTACCATGATAGAGTATATACATCCGTATTAATGCACATAGGAAAAGGCTAATAAATTGCGTACTCGGAAACAAAGGAGCAAACTGGCGATTGCAAAAGCAAACCACTACTATTCTAATTCTCTTCTCCCTCTACCAGTATGGCGGCCTCATCCCAGTCATGCCAGCCATACCAACATCACCCTCGTCCCGCTTCCTCTGTCCCGTGACCTGTGGTATCAAAGACTTGGGTCAGAACACATGATTTCTGTGAAATCCATGGGCATCGGTTACCTCAAGTTGGACAAATTTATGCACATGGACCAGCCAGTCCACGTAGCTTCTCTCTTCATTGTTCCTGTCTTCAACCAAGGAAGAGGCAAACTCGTATTCTGCGCCATCAAATCCCTGTCGTGCAAGTTGTATAGAAACTGCCTTACTACCTCTCTGGGTCTTCAAATACTGAATCACGTTTCTAACCTGAGCATTGAGATGAGTCTCAAGAACTGGCAACTCATACATGTTGGGATCGAGGTCTGAAAGGGAGTTGACTTCAGGGCCGAAAAGATCCTGAAGGAGATTGGGGGAGACATGTGTGTGAAGCCAAAGAAGGAGTAATTGGCCATTGTCGATAAGGTATGCGCCTCCCTCTTCAATGAATCCGAACGAGGCACGAAGAGCCACGGGAATCTTAAGATGTCCAGTGGAATCTAGAAATCCATCCTAATCGCAAATTAGAAGGTTTAAATAAATGAAGGGTCTAGGTTAACAAACTTCTTCAGTCATGCTATGAACTGGGAGGATTCTAGGATAGAGGTAAAGCTGCAATTCTGCTGGCCCCATACTCTTCAACAACCTCATCGAGTGAACTCTCATATCACTCGCCACACTCCCTCCTCTGAAAGCCCTTGTCTTCAAGAGAGCTAGGACATACATCGCAAATTCCTTCAAAGTCTCTGGCAACACGAGTTGGCCTGGTGGACTCCCGCCCGAGGTTTTTCTGTAAGCTGCCAGAATCTCAACACATTTCTCAGTGAGAGCTCCTCTAATCTCTTTCAGCGGCTTTTCAATCATTCGGCTCGCCGCTGTTGAAAACAATATTAGCAGCTCATCGGGCGGAAACTATCTTATCCAAACATGCGCGGTAACACACCTTCTCTGGCTAACACTCCTAATACAGCGTCTTGATCTGCCATCTTTATGGCATCACGAGTGTTCTCGGTCACCCCAGCGACTATGTTACTGCATCTAACTCTCCTCTCGCCCTGCCTTGTCGTATATAGTAGAGCACTTTGGAAATGTGCATCGATTTTGGAATCAAGCTTTCCATCGTAAGAAAACATTACCGAGACACACTTGTCGGCATCGATGGCGCCAAACTCAACGTCGCCGGCATGGCTGCGTTGGAGGAAGTTTCCATGATATGTAGACACTTGCAGGCCATTGGAACATCGAACTTTCATGAGTGATTGATACCCCGTCTCCCTGTGAAAGCTGTGGGAGAGTTCGGAGCGGAGTTTATGAGCATCCCTCTCCGCAACGAAGTTAGGATAGAAGAATATTTCTCCTCCAGTAGTTGATGCAATGTGTCCAACAGTAGCAACGTCTATGTAGGCACTTGGGGTCATGAAGAAATCCACACCCACGCCTGCTTCAACCAGCCTCCCAGAGACTTTCCGCCAAGCCTGATGTTCGGTCTGAAAGAGAACCTTTTCCTTCTCACTATGGTATAGCTTTGGGTCATCGCGCATGAAGAGACGATGCGGTCCCCAGGTCGGCAATGTGGAAAGCGAGCATATAATCTTCCCCCCGGTATCCTGGAGAGCGGAGAGGGCAGTGGACAGCGCTGGCAAGAGTGCTGGCTCAGCATTTTTAATATGCATGAAAAGGGTTGGCAACGACTCCAACAAGGATTCAATGATAGCACTTCAAGCAATGATCAGCAATTTTTGTGGCAAAAAAAGTGCCGCCAGCACGGAAACGTACCGCGACTCATATGGGTCTACGAATAAGCCCTCGCTAAGAGGGACAAACGGGTCTTCTATATCAGGCATTACCATCATTTGAGCCTGATCCAAGTTCGGCTGAATCATGGGTTAGCACTCGCATCGCAAATTCATAAACACAGGCCACAGGCGCGAGCGGATAAACTCACATTCAGATTGTAGAATTGCACATCCTTATCAAATGTACAGATACCTATTTTGCAGCCCTTGGGTAGCCGCCTTCTCTTGCCTTCCTTCCCGTCCTCGGATTCGTGGCCCTCTGGTGCATTTTCATATGCACTGCCACCATAGAGCGCTTCTCTAATACCCCCAACGACACTTTCCAGCACCCCCCTGTTGATGGCATTCTCACTGACATCCACCAAGAAAATCCACCTCATTGGAGATCCGCCCTTTCCTTCCTCTCCGCCAGCACCCTCCCCATCTTTCTTCGCCCAATACTCCTTTGGAACCACAAATTCAACCGTGCCTCTCATGAGTTCTGGCCGTTGGTTTCTATCAACCCGAGCGCCAGACATATCCACAGGGGCATAATACTCCGACGGAACCTCATTATTAGGAAAGAGGCACATATTACAGCGGAATCTGCCACCACCTTGTAAGAACGTCATGAAAGGGTTGATGTACGTTCGGCAGCGCCGACATCTTGGCGGTCCCATCTCTCCAAAGTCCAGAACAGGGATTGGCTCCTCTTCATCTTTTAGCTTAGCCAGTGGTTGTATCAGTAATGCCAGCGGCAAGGACGTGGAGGCCAATAAATCAGCTGTCGCGGGTATGGAGTTCAGAGTAAGCCTACATAATCGTGGAGACGCATTGCCTTGGTCATGGGCAATATAGTCGGAGGTTGCATGTGGGGGCTGGTGTCGGGCGAGTGTTGGGTACATGGTTGCTCTGTACTGCGCTATGTAATGATCACGATGTCCAGGAATTGAAGGAATATCACTCGGATTCACTTTCCCACCAGCCTGCCCGACATTCGAGGAGCCTGATCGAGCAGCAAAGGCCGCAGGAGCTGCAGGAGCTGCAGGAACAAAGGTAGGGTTTGCCGGAGCAGGAAACTGAGAATTTCCTTGCCCCGGGGACATAGCTTGCTGCTGTCCAAGGAACGAAGAGGGCATTTGGTTAGCAACATTAGGGGTAAATGCCGGTAGATTGGGCCCGTTCGATGGCTCAGAGCTTTGATCAAGATTATGGTAGGCCCTTGCTTTCTTCCTCGAAGCCTTGGATATCGTTCCCGGTGTAGTCCCAACACCGCCTGCAAGGTCCATGCCGGATATCGATTGTGCCAAACCTCTGACGTCACCTCCAGGAGGCCCATACAGACCTGGCTGCTGTGTTGGCGGCCCGTAGGGACCTTGCTGCTGGTAAGGGGATAATGAGGGCGGGGGAGCAGCTTGGCCATAAGGAGTCGACGCCCGGTACGAAGAAGGGTCTGGAGGCAGTGATACCTGCCCGTAAGTTGCCGGCTGTTGCTGCTGATAGGGGGCCGGGCCAGGTTGCTGGTAACCAGTGGGCGGAGGAGCTGCTGGAGGTAGGTACTGCTGTTGAGGTCCCGCCGGAGGAGGAGGATTGGCACTCGGATCGTCAGTATCCTGACCCAGGGAATGATACATGGCCATTTCCGCCATGATTTATGGTGTTCGAGGATGTTCTAGAGAACAATAATGAAGCTAATGGATCAGTAGGTAAAATAGAAAACAGCAAAGAGAACAGATGTCCACTTGCTTACTTTTAAGCCTTGATTGCCTCAGGATCTCCAGTGCTAGCAGAGATTAGAGATTAAAGCATGAAATGGAAATGGCCCGTTAAGAGTCTTCAATCAATGAGATGCGAGGGTAAAGTAAAAATGTAAAGTGCAACGAATTGCAGATGCCACCTTGCCAGCAACACACGTGATCTAGACCCTGCATTTCCTTAGTCAGCCACCCCAGTTTTACTTCTGCAAGAATCACCCAGCCTCTACTCATACGGTTGCTTTCTGATAATTTTTGGCTTGTGCAACCTGCTTGGCGCGTCACTGGGAACTCCAGCACCCAGCGCCGAGCTTCTCTCTCCCCCGTCACCGCTCGACCTACACCTTAAATCTCCGCACACTCCCCTCTCACGATCCCAACTACAACCCAGAACCTCCTACCTACCTCCACCCCCACTCATCCCTACCTTGCTACTCGGATACCCTGTCACCCAAGAAATCAAACTCAGGGGTGCCGGATAACGGTAGTTCAGCGGTCAAGATGGCTCAGTACGGTGCCCCCATCGACCTGCCTGCAACAAATGGATCGCAGAATGGGAAAAGAGTTGCATACGTTAGTATCTCCCATCCCCAATAGGATCGCCGAGCTTCTCAATGCTCTGGGTAATTCCAACTATGCACTGACATGCGAGATCTTAGTTTTATGATTGTAAGTTGCTGCACCCAAAACCGCACCCTTTGGAACCGACAGTGGTCGACAAGCAGTGGCAAGCATCGAAGCATGGGCTCTTTATACAGAGAATTTGACTAACAAGTCTTCCACACTATCCAGCCGATGTTGGGTAAATATACTGTCTTCATAACCTGGGTCTCATCTAACTTCAGTAGGAATTACGCATACGTTGCAGGCCACCCTATGAAGCCGCACAGAATCCGGATGACCCACAGTTTAATCATGAACTACCGGTTGTACAAGAAAATGGAAATTTATGTAAAATCCCTGAAAGCTTTGAAGCAATAGAGGTCACTACTGAAGCTCTGCCCATCTTGTAGCGCGCAAAACCAGCCACCAAACAAGAAATGTGTCAATTCCACACGGATGAATACATTGATTTTTTGTCGAAGGTGACGCCTGACAATATGGAACAATATTCCAAAGAGCAAGGAAAATACAATGTCGGGGACGATTGCCCGGTATTCGACGGCTTATTCGAGTTTTGTGGCATTTCCGGTGGTGGTAGCATGGAAGGTGCCGCAAGACTTAACCGTGGAAAATGTGACATCGCGATCAATTGGGCCGGTGGCCTTCACCACGCGAAAAAGAGTGAAGCATCTGGGTTCTGCTACGTTAACGGTCAGCTCGCTCTAGAGTTTTATTCCTAGAACTACTACTAACATTCACCAGACATTGTCCTCGGAATTATTGAACTGCTCCGGTACAAACAGCGTGTTCTTTATATTGATATCGACGTCCACCACGGCGATGGTGTGGAAGAAGCTTTTTATACCACTGATCGAGTAATGACTGTTTCTTTCCATAAGTACGGTGAATATTTCCCAGGCACCGGTGAACTCCGTGATATTGGTGTTGGCGCTGGAAAATACTACGCAGTAAACTTCCCATTGCGCGACGGTATTACCGATACCACATATAAGGAGGTTTTTGAACCTGTTATTGGACATGTGATGGAATTCTATCGGCCTGATGCTGTTGTTCTACAGTGTGGTGCAGACAGCTTGTCTGGCGATAGATTGGGGTGCTTCAACCTAAGCATGGCGGGCCACGCAAATTGTGTTGAGTTTGTCAAAAAATTCAACCTTCCAACCCTTGTGGTTGGTGGTGGTGGCTACACCATGAGAAATGTCAGTAGAGCTTGGACATTTGAGACAGGCATCCTTGTCAACCAGAAGGTTGGGCCAAACTTGCCCTTTAGTGACTTTTACGAGGTACGCCAAATACGTTCTACCCCAGTCCTGTTCATATACTCATATCAATTGATTTTTAGTACTTTGGCCCCGATTACGAGCTTGATGTCCGCCCATCAAATATGGAAAACCTCAATTCAAGGGAGTACTTGGAAAAAATCAAGATCCAGGTCCTCTCTAATCTCGAACGTACTCGACATGCCCCCAGTGTCCAGACTGCAGATGTTGGGAAAGGCTTGACAGAGCATCAAGAGGAGCAAGATGCAATTTTAGACGATATTGATGAGGATGGTCCGGGCATGGATACTCGCCAAACCCAGAGGCAGTGGGATCGCGCAACAGAGAAGGAAGGAGAGCTGTATAGCGATAGTGAGGACGAAGATATCGCAAGTACAATGGGAGTCCGGAAAACTGGCAAAAAAGGGTCGCGCAATGCTCGAGATTGGAAAGATGGTGGTTCCGGAACAGGATCCGGAAATGCAACTCCCTTCACAGGACCTGGCGGAAGTGATAATGCAAGCGAATCAGCCGGTGGTAACACAACTAAGGGCAGTGGGGCCACAAGCAAACGAGATGGAGAAGGCCGTGACCTCACCGAGTACGACGAGGAGCTCGAGGCGTTGAGAAAAGAGACGGAGGAGGAGGCCCAACCCGACAACGATGGAGACGTAGAAATGGGGGATGAGCAACCGGCGCCAAGCACCAATGCCCTAACAGATGAAGCAGCGGACGAAGAAATGGCCGATGTTCCGGCACAGTCTTCCACATCCTCGGCGAAAGCAGACCCTGCCCCCGTAGTCGAGTCCTTGGCCCAAGCCAAGCCCGAGGCCGCAACCACCGACAAGATCAAAATTGAGGCCAACGAATCCTCCAAAACAGATTCTCCTACGAAGGGTTCTAATCCGGGAGCAGCTAGGCCCTCCGAGTCTTCAGTCGTAGAAACCGCTTCCGAGGGATCCGGTCCTACGGCCTCTGTCGCCGATGGGCACGGCTCGAAACCCCCTCTCACGGCAGAGGAGTCAGCATCTAGCGCATCTAACCCGGCTGAGACCCCCTCTAAGGAAGATAAATAAGGACTTGTGTGCGTCCTGGGTAACCTTATTTTCATTCAAGCTTTTTTTTACCATTTTCATCAACATCCGGTAAAGTCATCGTGTCTAGTTTGGGAGGGGTTAATTACTTTGGATTACATCTTTTGACTTTGGGACAAGTAAGAGGTTTACAACGATATCCAGATATATGGTACAGTAGCCTATCATTGCCCGGTTTCAATTCTTTTGAAGGCGGAACAGTTTGTTCTTGTCAGTCATCTCCGTATTTCTAGCTAGGTTTTTCTTTGGTCTGGGTGGTGGATTTTTTAGTCCAAAACATGTATTCTACAACTGTCTGCACCTTTCGCTTAAAATCGTCAATGATTCTGAAGGGCTCAATCGTATTAAAAACCACCACACCAGTTCACAGAACCCACCAATTCGAGATTTGTTCCCCCCAAGATAGAAATTACACCTGAAAAAAAAAATGAAAAAAAGTCCCACCAAATTAACGAACCTTCGTTTGTTTGTTCGTTCAAACGGGTTTTTTTTAGATAAGATTTTATTGAATTATTTTAAACTCCATTTCGAACCCAGAAGCTCAAGCCGCAATAGTAACTTCCACCTCGACACCCGCCTCGATATTGATGATGATCTGCTTGACGACTTCGGTAGGCGCGTTCAAGCTATAATTCCCCGCCAGCAATTAGCTCCACCAAAATCCCCTCCAAAAGTCAAAGAAAAATAAAATAAATAAACAAATAAATAAAGGAGGTAGGTGATAGCAGCATACTCAATCAAGCGTTTATGAATCCTCATCTCGAAGCAATCCCAAGTCTTGGAACCCTCACCACAAGGCGTCTTGCGCGTGGTGACTTTGAGGACCTTAGTGGGGAGCCTGACGGGGCCCTTAACGCGAAGGTTCTTTGTTTTAGCACGCTCGATCAAGTCCGCCGTAACTGCAAGTCAGGGAGGAAAAGAGAAAAGTCAGTGTACACTCATTCGAAAGATGAATGTTCTTCTTCCCCCAAAAGCCCAAATACCTTTCTCCAAAGACTTAACCTTGCACGAGGTAAGAGTGATACGAATGCGGTGAGTCTTGGGCCCTTCCCCGAACTCGCCCTTCTCTGGTTTGTTGTAAGACATTATTTTGCAAAGAAGATGGCGAAAAGAACGGTGTCTCGACTGTTGAGGGAGGGGTTTCTGGTCGGTCGGTTGGTTTTCGTTGTTTGGTAGTTCTAGGAAGTCTTCTCTTTTTTTTTGTTCTCTATCTAGAGGATTGGAAGTTGGTGTGAGGATTTTGCGTGGGGATGAGGGTTGTGCCCTATGTGAGCTAGGGACAATTGGTTGATCGGCTTATCGATAAGGATGGAAAACGTTAGGAGGTATGGTTCTGGAAGACTAGACGTAGGACCACCTCTCTAACGCAAACTGTGACGGTTTTGGGTGTAACACCTCTGATAATGCCTAGATTCAAGTTTAGCGTAACCCATTTTTCAGTTGCCAGGAAGAGCAAAAAACCAATTTAAAAAAGGTTAATTCAAAATAATAGTATTCTTAATAATCATTAACACAGGTTTTTACAAAGTTTAATTACACAAAAGCCTTTACGAAAAACGTTATCATACATCCAAAACCGTCACAGTTTTGGTTAGAAAAAGTGGTCCCATGTCTAATCTTCCGGAACCATATCATACCGCATGATTTGACATGGTACTGTATCACTACGTTCCCAGGTGGAAGGTGTTTCTGTCAGACACCTTGCCGGTTTTAGTCTATAACTTAGGCCCGAAGGATCCGACATGATGATCTGACCCGATTGAAAAATAAGTGTTGGTATGATACTCGAAGATTTTCCGCCCTCTTGTCTTTTCTTGGGCTGTTGAAGTAACTTAAAAGAGTGACCAGATACTCCACTTGTGTCCGCTCCACTCGCTGCTGCACCTATCCATTAGTACCGGCCTAGCTTTACAAGTAGCTGCCAAGGTAAGGTAAGAGTCATGGTAGTAGCGAGTCACACAAAACCGGCCAGAGGTCTCCAGGACAGATTTAAGCCAACAAGGTGATCTTCTCTCACGTGATGGAAAGCGTCTATCAACTCACATTAGTCTACCGGTACAGGTGTGGACTCCAGCGGCCCACCGAACCCCCCAGACGAGTGATCTGCTATGAGTGAGCGAAGGTCAACCCCTTATACGCCCCCAACAGCTCCGATATCTCCTCAAGCATCCTGAGAACCAGTGCTTGCCATGGGCCAGGCCGGGCGAGGCCCAGTAAAGCCCGTGGCGGCCTACCGAAATGTGGACCAGGCTCACGAAAGCCTGGCCTGGCCCGTGGTGCTTCATAGGCTGGGGGTAAAAATGTAACTAAACCTATCTTTTCTATCGTGCCCTATTATCAATATGGCCCTCAATGGTATCAATCAAGGAGGTAGGTCTATATATCATAATCCGGCTAGCCTTACTACTACTTCAGAATAATGTTCGATTTTTCAGAGACAATAGGGCATTTACAGAAAGTCAATATTGTGAAAGCATAATAGTAAACCGATTTCAAGTTCATCAAGAGTGTAAATATGTAAACTTAACACTGTCTCGTAAACCTAATCCGGTATAATAGCAAAATAATCCTTCTAAAAATCCCGCGGGCCCCACAGGCTGCTGTAGGGCCCGGCCTATGGTAAGTACTGCTGAGAACTCTTCGGATCTCCTCTACCACGTCCAGGAGTTTGATTAACAATCCAAGACATGTGAGAAGAGACTGTATTACCGGTGTTGCACAGGAAAACTCTGTTACAAAAGACTAGTGATATCCCGAGGCGGCCTCCAATCACTATGGAAGCAAGCAAGCAAACCGTATTCCCACCAACTCCTCCATAATACCAAAACAAAAAAGGAAGACAGAGGAAGGAGAAAAACAAAGGTCAAACGATATACACCGCTAAATAACTACCAGCAACCGAAAAACCCAAACCATACCCAAATCCGTCCGTGTGATTCCCTGCATATAATACACGCCCATCCATTCCTTCATTCATTCATTTGTCCATCGGGCAATTTGTTTAATGGCTCTAGAGCCACACCCCCTCCTTCCTTCTTTCTCTTCTTCACCCTCCATCCCCCCCCCCCCTACAACATACGCGACCTTGACAAACCACATCACTATACGGTGGTTCCTGACTGCACTTAAAAGTCTGACTCCTCCTGGAAAAACAATGTGAAAGAGATAATAGTGCCATATATCAAGAGGCCACCAATAATCGACATAACCATAGCAGGCACGCGGATAATATCGGAGTGCGCCAATAGGACAGGAAGGGCTATCGGCAACACCAAAATTAGCACCGGTATCACCGCCACCGCCACGCGTTTATAGTAGCAAGGGGGGTGTGCGAGCGAGAACATACCGATTCCCATAACAACGAAGAACCCCGTAAGGAACTTGCCAAAATCAAGTACTCCATTTCCGGCCCCGTCAATGAAATCATCGGGGTTGGAGCATCGTGAGCAGATAGCGTTTGGGAGTGACGCTAGAAGGAATGTTGCGACGACAAAGAGCGGATAGTAGTTTGAGAAGAGGGCCGAGGAAAGGATAACGAGGAGGAAGCCTATCGCTAGGACCTGTTATTATGTTCTAGTTAGCTTCCGGAGGCATCGGGTAGCTGGGAGGCCGTAGAAGTTGGGGGGTAGGGCGCTCACAAAGGACAGTGCGATGATGGTTCTCAACCCGGCGACCGCCATCATCAAAGAAGCTGTGGAAGTTCGAGGGAAGATTATTGGCTCGCTTGGAGGGTTGAAGAAGAAGAGCTGTGACACTTGCAAGAGTGAGTTTTGATGGCGATGGAAGGGGTAAAAGGTGCCGGTCGGAATAGCTTCGAAGGGGGGAGGGGGGGGAGGGGCTTAAGATGAGGCCAGACGATGGGGCTGAAGGTGACGCTATGGTGTTTCCAGGTGTGCCGCTAATAGCTACCGTACTGGTAGCCGCCAAGACCTTTCGGCTGATGTTGGCCATTCACCATTACCATCCACCACCCCACGGGGGACTTTTCACACTCTTGGCTGTATAAATATATGTACTGATGATAGACCGCCGGTGTTGTGATACAGGTGTCGCGTTTGGTTCAAACGTTCGGTGGACGGCGCCCAACCCAGCGCCCATATAATAGGGCGTAAGAATTTAACTGCACGACTTGCGAGGTAAACAACAACAGCAAGTGATCACCACCTCCAAAAGGAACATCAGAATCCCGATACCAGTAACACCACCAGCCATCCCTCATCTAAAACAACTCGTTTCGCGACAAATTCAACCCTCACCCATCGCAGAACAAGACGCCAGATTGAAAAGTGGAAAGCTGGTAAGAAAATAAAATGTGACAAGCAACTAGACAGTGTATTGCCCAAACCCCCTCTAGAAAAAAACCAGACCTAAAATACAACCATGACCATTTCCCTATTAGAACATGAAATTTGACTTGAGCGCAGACCCATGAGCCAAGCGAATCTAGAAAAGCAAAGCTAACCAGAAGATGAGTTAAACAGGACATAAGTTTACAGTTGGTCGTCGTCTATATCAATTGTAACTTGCTCCCCAGGCTTAAAGGCTGGGAGACCGATATATGGACACCCTGCGCATCTAGAGCGCGAGAGATAGATTAATTAGTTAGATGCCCGCGCAAATTTTGTGATATCATGGAGTCTGAGCACACCTGAATGCATCACCAAGGTAACAGCTTCCACAGGAAGATGCTTTTCCTGCCACAGTGAAGTCAACCTCTGCAAGGTCGTTGACAGTGAGCTTAACCCCAGCAGAAGCTTTCTCCTTTGCAGCTGCCAATGCCTTGTCTGCAGCTTCACGTTTCACTTTGTCTTCGCCTTCTAGCTCTTCACGCAGCCCACAGGTGCAGTCCTTGCAAGCACGTCTACGCTTTCCCGGGTCGGGCCTACACTGGGGAGCTAGGGTAGAGAACGTTAGCATTGCATCGGTGGGTTTCGAAAAGAAAGAGAAAACATACGTTGAATGAGCGTGCCGAGATCGCCGGTCTCCAAAAGAGTATCTTCATCAATAAGATCGTCATCGTCCTCTAAGTCATCATCGTTGAGGACGAAACCAACACCTCTGATGACGGGCGCTTCGGTGGCGGTGGGAACGGACTCGAGCATGGCAGAATTGAGCTCGCTCGAATCATCAACTCTTTGTTTTCTTCGCGACTTCAACGGAACCGATGCGTTTCCGGTAAACTCTGGCTTAACCAATACGACGCTTCCGTTGACATCTTTCTCAACCATGAATCCCGCAACAAGAAATTGAAGTGTGTTCACTCTCGCGAAAGTTTCTTCTTGGCTCCTAAGCGTAGCTTTTGGAAGCATTGAGTTGAAAATACATTGAAGGACATAAGGCTCAAGCTCTAGAGAAGCAGTATTCGAGGACGGGTCGGCGAGGATAAGAACGGATGAGTAGGTGCTGGTTGGAAGGGTGACGACTTTCAACGAAAGTCTGTCCAACATTTGGACATCCGTCGAGCTTTTATCAAATATGGAGAGAGATTTCTCGAGCAAGTCGGGGTGAGAAGATACAGCAGGTGGGCACAGAACGAGAGCTTGAGAATTGGTATTTATGGTTGTGGCGGGTTCAAAATCTGGAGCGGTGTCTGGGAGAATGGAGTGTGGAGTCATTGTGACAAGGGAAGAGCGTTGCAGAATATCTAGGAGGAATGAAAGGAATGAAAGATTATTCAGGGCGATGGCAATTTGTGTTTTCGTATTCTGTGTTCTGAGGGGCGATGAGAACAATGATGATAGCGGTGGTGGAGTTGCCTTTGTGGAGCAGAGCGATTAAAACGGTGGCTCTAGGGAGGAAAAAGCAGAATTATTAATCATAATATTATCAATCATACCAGTAGAAAATTCGTTTATCGGATCACGGTACTTAAACCCCGCGATCAGATAAGTGGTCGCTTACCCGGCTTTTCAACTTCGACCCCGCGTCGCAGTTTTTCGCTGCAAGGGTCAACGAAAAGGAGATAGAAGACTACGAGGAGAAATAAGTGGCCCGGAATCTGTATGGTAATGTGAATTCAAACAAAGTCCGCGAGAAGACGAGAGGGATGTCCGTGGAAAAGCCCAGATTCCGAAAGAAGTATGATAGGGTAGGGCGCCAAGCAAGACTTACCCGCCCGAACAGGCTCGTGCCAACATCGGGTCAATACCGGTAGTAATGAAAGGAGGAGCAACCCCAACGCCGCGTTCTCTGGCACAACTCCCCAATCCATCTACCTCCATCTCTCTTTTCAGTTTCTTTTTTCTCTCTGGACAGCTTCATCAAAAATGTTCAGAAATAATTATGACAACGATTCTGTTACTTTGTGAGTTTACACATATTTTGAACAAAGTTCCGTAGCTGACCTTCCCGCAGCTCCCCGCAAGGCCGCATCTTCCAAGTTGAATATGCTCTCGAGGCGATAAAACAAGGTTCCGTTGCGGTGGGACTAGTCAGTAAGACACATGCTGTACTGGTTGCTCTAAAGGTAGAGATGAATTTTTTGATGGGGAGGCAAAGCTGTACTCATGCGCTTAACAGAGGAACGCCGAAGAGCTCGGGAGTTACCAAAAGAAAATCATCGGTATGCATATATTTATTATCATCGGCCAAAACACACGCACTGTCTAACTATCGCTATTAGGCATCGACACTCACATCGGAGTTGCCCTGGCTGGGCTCGCACCTGATGCCAGAGTCCTCTCGAACTTCATGCGTCAGCAATCCATGTCCTCCAGGCTCCTCTACAACCGTCCTGTCCCTATCTCCCGTGTTGTGAACGCAATTGCCGATAAAGCCCAGGTGAACACTCAGCATTACGGTCGCCGTCCCTACGGTGTTGGGTTGCTTGTTGCTGGCGTTGATGAAACCGGTCCTCATCTCTGGGAATTTCAACCCTCAGGAATGGTGTTAGAGTATAAAGGTGCAGCAATTGGGGCTAGGTCCCAGTCAGCGAGAACATACCTGGAAAGAGCCTTCGAGGAGTTTGTAGACTCGAGCAGGGAAGAGTTGGTCCTCCACGGTTTAAAAGCGTTGAGGGACAGCTTGGCTCAGGACAAGGAGTTGACTACGGCAAATACCACTGTCTCTGTCGTTGGCATTGGGGAGAATTTCAAGCTATATGACGGTGATGAGGTGGGCGAGTGGCTGGAGAAGTTGGGGAATGTCCAAAGCAGTAGAGGTGGTAGGACTGGGGAGGAAGCTGCAGAATCGATGGATACCTCTGAATAGACCAGTAAATGAAAAGGCATCGCTTATTTGGAGCACAACTGTTAATTGATGCCCAAAAGCAAAAGAGACTGCCAGCGGAATTTCATGGGAGATTCCGTCCACAGTTCACAAGATGAGAATTCACTGGAGAGTTTTTGAGCAGATACAGGCATTTACATTGTACTAACGGCAGAAAGCACCAAACTCCAACCTTGCCATGAAACCCATTGTATCGCCAGTGATCTAAAGAAAAAATTGTCCACCCTCTCTACTGGTTACTCCAGTCCAAGTCCAACCTTCCAGGAGCGGGCTTGTAGCTCCTAATCTTGTCAGGAATTTCGTCAACAGACTTTACCTCCGAGATGATAGCACTAGCGCCGTCCGAGATGAACCCATTATCGACAGCGGCCGAGATCCACTCCAAGAGTCCATCGTAATACCCGTTAACGTTGAGAATGATAATCGGACAATCGTGGATGCCAAGCTGATTCCATGTGACGATCTCGAAGAGTTCCTCCATGGTTCCAAAGCCACCGGGCAATGCGATGAAAGCATCTGCCTCTTTCCCCATCATAGCTTTGCGAGTATGCATGTCCTGGACCACCGTTGTCCTCCCAAATTCCTCGACGGAAGGCACAATCACAGCTTGCTCCCTACGAATGAGAGCCTCGGGGATAATGCCATGGACGTTCCCGCCCAAGGAGGTCAAAGAGCAAGCCACAGCGCCCATGAGGCCCTCAGTGCCGCCGCCGTAGACTAACGACCAACCGTTCTCGTGGAGAACCGCACCGAGGGACTTAGCGGTTTCCATAAATTGAGATCCAGTCCCCGGGCTTGCTCCGCAGCTATCGCCGTGTCAGTCAGTCACCTGGCACCCTGAGGGGAAGAGAGAGAGAGACATCATGCAGGAGCAAACTTACAAGACGCAAACCGCAAATTGCTTGTCGGTCTTGTTATCACACATGTTGAATTGAGTTTGAAGTTTGGTTCGTTGAGTGCGGAGGGGAGATCTTTGCTTTGCAAAATTGTGAGTGGGAGGAAAAGGGGGAGGAGAGGAGGGTCAAAGAGATGTTCGTGGCCTTTAAGTAGGTTTGTCCATACCTTAGCCGTCAGGGACCACGGTAGGGGGTTGAGTGATTTTTTGATTTGACTTTTTTTTTCCTTCCTTCTTCATCCCTTCTTGTTGAATCCGATATATTGATGTAGGTACAAGACCGGAGCCCAACGGCTATATTTTACTACTTATCAAGTGTCCGGACACATTGACGTTGAATCAATGCCCACTCCGGCACGCACCGAGGTCCAAATATCTTCCTAAAATCTAATCACCAAATAGGGAATGATACAACGGCCCAAAGCACAGAACAAAAAACGAAAATGAACCAGTTGTCTACCGCAGGACAAACAAGAAACACCATCAAAGCTCCAAATGGGGTATGCCAACCTTGAACGATTCCACCCCAATGTGGTGGTCATGGTGATGGTGCAACCCCCTCCAGTAATTCAACAAGCTTTGGAGGGGGTCGATTTATGAAAGGAAAGCAAATTAGCGGGCCAGGTGTGAGGGAATGGAAGCTAGTCCTTGCAGTGAGGATGAAAGCCGAGGCAAAGTCCGAGCAACGCCACCGGTACAGTACCGTCCCCAATGGAGGCAGGCCGAAAAGAGAAGAACCAACGACGAGTGACAAACAGGGATATCTGGCAAGCAGAAGGCGAGTTTGTCAAAGTAGGGTAATTAAAAAAAATCCCCGTTAGGTTACTGATCCTTGCGCACCCTCGTCCGGCCTTCGTCATGCCGTGGTTGAGGGCGGTTCGAGTGCAATATCATCCCGGGTATTAAGGGTACCGGTGCTGTAAGCAGGGTGAAGCTGTTCCCGCCGACTCCTGGGCCACCCGGTCGGTCAGAGTGGAATATCATGAAGTTTCTTTTTGATTACGGTTTTTGTGGTCGGAGTCATTTGCGTTCTCGTGACTTCTTTCCCTCCTACGAACAGCCAAGGCTGGCCCCTTTCGCGGTTGCTCGCCCGAAATTTTGGCCAGTCGGAGCGGGATTCTCCGCATTTACTCCTACCGTATGTTCGCCCCCTAAATAAAGGTGGCCGGTGAGATGTTCTCCTTACGAAGCAATGAATACCGGCAGTTAACCAGCAGAAACAAGCCCTGCTTGCACGGAAAACATCTCCCTAGATGCTTCGCACTCGGGTGGCGGGTAGGGGCGAAAGGATCGGGAAAGAAGATCAGCAAGATCCTGTGGGGAAGTGAGGAGAAAGTTGGCGCAGGTATAGATGAAACACAGTGCCTCCTGGCGGGGGAGGGGGGAGGGGGGACAAATTGCTCGGAGGGGATCATCTCACCGGTGTGGTGGCAATATATCCTAGGCTAGTAATTATGCAGGCTCCTTCCCCTCTATCTTCCCTACGCTCGAAAATAGATACTTATCGGTTTACCCATCAGGCAATTTGCCGGGTCTCAACACCATCCTCCTGACATTGCGATATAGCTCCCCGCCTGTCAGAAGAACTTTCCACTCTTACCACCGCTATAATTTTGTGTGCATGGCCTATTACTTTAAGCCTGTTCTCATTATGTCCTCCCCACTAAGGTTATATAACACATTGGAGCCTTGATATAATTTCTCTGTTCTACTCCTACCAGTACATACAGCCCTCTCGTAGACTATATCCAACCAGCAGACTCCTTCAGGATGAATGGTGACGATATATATAGTATTATAAAGCGTGGTCCAATATATTATCACTTAGTAATGGGACATAACCCACTCGAGTACGGTAGTAGTTGTATACCGAGATTGTATCCTTAAACAACCAAACAAATTAACAAATGAACACCAGTGGTTGGAAATTAGCCTCCGTATCGCTTGATCGCGAGTACTGCGCCCAAGAGATCTATCCAGCGGAAAAACAACGTGACCTGGAAGGCATACTTCTTTAACTGGAAATAGATTACTAGGATATTTCAAACTACGATAGGACCTCCCGTACAGTACGGTACTCTACCAATCTCAAGCAATCTCTCGGACGTTGCCATGAGCTAAGGGGGTTGACCCGTTCCAGAGTGATTAATTAAAACCGCTCCATCCAGAGTCCTGTCCCCCAGATCTGCAAAGTTTCACAAGGCACGATGCAAGTAGTAACCAGTTGGGTCTTAGCGTAACTAGTCCGGGTTTATAATTTCCACAACCCCGCATTTTTATTTTTATTTTCCTCTCTCCACAAAGTTTATTTACAAGTATCATTCAGCCTGCGGTTGACAAAATAAAAATCGGAAAATATGGAAATGAATTCAGGGGGATTCCAGGGTTCTAATTGGAGTGTTCCGTGGTTCGGGCCAAATGGGCAACCGTGTGTCCCTGATCGCCGTTCCCCCATCTTTTTTTTGTTTACAGGTACGGCAAGCTGCCGTATCATAGTCGAGTGCTTGTTTCTATGTCAACACAATCCTTACCCCGGCACTGTGCTGTGCTGTGCTGTACTGTACTAGCACTTCTTTCCGATCCTTTCCCTTTCTCCATCCCTGAATTGAAAGAGCACAAGTGCCGTATAAAAAATAAAAATAAAAAACTGGGGTGCAGTAGTATGATAGCTCGTAATTGGTCCCTCACGCTAGGACGTTGGAGTTGCCTTTCCTGGTAAAAAAAAAAAGTCGGTCGCATTTTTCCCACCTCAGCTGAGGACTGAAAGACGATCTCCATCGCAGTTCTCTCCTCAGCCCAATCCGAAGGAGGAAATTCTGGACGTCCTACCGGCACGGTATCCGACAATGAAGCGTTGGGAGCGGAGGGCATTCGGGTCTGAACTTAATTTGCTTGCGGTACGGTAGGCGATCCTATGGGGGGACGGATAGTTCGCCATGCTGTGGTCGGCACGTACTGTACCGTACAAGTTTTCGATCCCTGCCCTGGGGTTACTTGTACCTCGTACCGGATGCTTGTGCCTCCTGTGAGGAATCAGTTGCTGCCCGCTTCCCTGCGCACCAGATCCAATTGCAACCGCCGTGCAATGCGGTTGTACGAGTACCGGTGCCGTACCTTATTGATCTGCCCTTCGGCTTCCCTCGTACGGTAGAGATGGATTGTGTGATGGGAGAAATTGAGACATAATCAGGTGGGGAGAGGGATTTCCTCCTGGATATTCTCTGCAGGGTTGGGTTCTACCGACAAAACTTCATAGGACAACCCAGCCGGCAAGCTCTCGCCGACCTCCTCTGGATCCTGGTATCGTACATGAGAGCGGCAACTTACTGGTAAGCGGTCAAGGAGTATGGCTATTGCCCGATCGGCGGAGCCCATTTAAAGTTCTCTGCACCACCGAGGCTGTCTAAAATATTGCCCCTGGATGGAATCGGAGGTCGTGATGCAATTGACCGTCGAGTGCTGTGCAGTGGGATTCCAGAAATGACTACTAAACATTACCGCTTTCCCTGCTAGGTGAGTACTGCTTCCTATTCTTCTAGTCGACCCTATTGAAATATCAGGCCTCGCAACCGGTACAAATGGTACACCCATCGAACCTCCAAGCCCCCAAACTCCAGTCCAATCCGCAGAGTCCCAATCTAGTGAAAACGAAGACGCATTACTGAATTAATGAACAAGAATCGCTAGTATTGCAGCGGGACACTGCGCTGGTATCTCTCTCTCATCTTCCCTTCCATACCAGATCCCCGCTCATGAAGCCGCCTCTGCCTAGTCCAGAAGTAGCGCCTCCTATCCCGCCCCCACCCCCACCTCCCCCTCCAGCTTTGGGCCTCTTAGCGACCTTACCAGAATCTCTTACAGCTTTGACGATTCGCGCAAGATCTGTTTCCACGACGCATCCACCTGTGATCATTTCCTCCAACGTGGCATGCAATGTCTCGAAGTTGAAGATCAAGTCCAGTTCGCAGACATTCTCAAAAAGTTGATCAAGAGCTTGTACAAAGACTTGGATAAGATCTAGTAGGCCCAGTGGCGACTCCAGGGAATCAGATATTATGATAAAGTATAGGGTAGCATAGTGTCGGTAGAGGAGAGTGGTAGGTTCATCTGTTGTCGACGTATTCCATGAAGTCGAGGATGAGGAGCCAGCAAGAAGGGGAGGAAGACTGTGAGCTAGTTAGATTCATAAGACAAACTCAGAGCCTTTGCGGAGCTTACGGCAGGAAATTACAAGCACTGGCGGGCCGGTTAGACACCAGAGAGAAGATCTGGGATAGCAGCCGCTGTTGAAGTGAGACGTCCTAGAAGATCGTGTTAGCCATTGGAGCTCGGGAGGCGGTCGGATTAAACAGACTATCTGTGAATAAAACTTCGTAAGTCGCGGTTGGCCGTTGTTATTGAAGACCAGCACTGCGTTGATCATCGTTGCGGTGCTGCTTTGGTAGCTATCGGGGAGTTTGAACTGATTGAATCCTGAAGCAAGGTGATCTTATCAGATCGCCTAAACAGCTTTTGAACGCTCGATGCTTTTCTGGCTAAAAATGTTCATTCTTAGACAAATAAATTCCGGTTTGGCCTTGATCTACATAACATTGTGTCCATTTTTAGGCTCGAGGAAGATGCAAGTATGATAATTATTAGATAACATTTTCGGTCTCGGTTGTTGACTTAGGGCAAAAGCACAAGCAGTCCCAAGAAACCCTAACATGACCCCACGGAACACAGAGTATCACAGCAACATCGCAAAACAATCAAAATCGATTTCCGTTCCAACTTCCTGCAACCGATTACCAGAACTAAACAAACCCACATCGATCCAAACACTCGTCGACCCTTTCACTCTCGAGCGAAATTTCGAAATGGTGAGATTGCAACCTTCCTCTTTTTCCTTCTGTCATTTGGCTCCGGGGTTGGACCCGGAGGGATGGGGTGCCTCTGGCAGACGACGGCCGCGGGCGGCGGGGCCAGACGGAGATGCAATTATGCAAGACAGCGAGTACCTTTATCTGGAGCATATCTAGTTCGATTGGGCTTGGGACTGTGGTCGCCGGAGGAAACATATAAGTGGAAACCACGGACCTACAAACGAGACAAACTCTTTCCCGACACTATTTTCCCGCTACGCGGGATCACCGAAACTACACTCCCCCCTCCCAAATACGCCCCCACCCGAGTTTATCGCCGTTTCCTAGACCGCCAGTTGGAATATTTGCCTCCGGAGAACTTTCAATGCACTAGAATGCAGATATTCAGTGGTTAGATGCTGACATAATTGTTTGTTTCTCCAGGTCAACGTCCCGAAAACCCGTAAGACTTACTGCAAGGGGAAGACTTGCAGAAAACACACCCAACACAAGGTTACCCAGTACAAGGCTGGAAAGGTATAGAAGCCCCAAGACACATGAGTCTTATTGTGGCCTTCCCGGATTCTGTGCTAAATTCTTTCACCAAAAATGCTAGGCCTCTCTATTCGCTCAAGGGAAGCGTCGTTATGATCGCAAGCAGTCAGGATATGGTGGCCAGACCAAGCCCGTCTTCCACAAGAAGGCCAAGACAACAAAGAAGGTTGTATTGAGACTGGAGTGCACAGCCTGCAAGACCAAGGCCCAATTGGCCCTGAAACGATGCAAGCACTTCGAGCTTGGGTGCGTTCCTCCCACCCGTTCCATCTCTAGATGTTATTGATACTGATTTCTTTTCCCATTCACAGTGGCGACAAGAAGACCAAAGGTGCCGCATTGGTTTTCTAAATACAAAAAATCTTTTTCGGTGTTACATTTTGCTTTTTTTGTCCTTGGTCTTTCTCCCCCTGGCAGTGCGCCGTCGCCGGCTCGGGCTGGGATTCTGCTGTGGTTGTATCCAATTACTAGCGGTATCATTTCGCAAAACCTATCGGTTGGGATTGGAATAGATGTTTAAACCCCCCAATGTGCTTGTTTTGCGGGCGGGGAGGATTCGGGCCAGTCTCATCCCATACCTATCACTAAATCCCCTCGAAAATTCAGAGACATATCTCCCCTTTGTTTCCGGGTTCAGTGATGAATTTTCGCCGTTGAAGAACTCCAGTTTAATACGAGCTTCCGTTGAGCCCGACCGGACCCTAGATTCCTGCCAGTGTCAATAATTATTAGTTTTTACTTGCTGCTCGACGCAGGACAGTCCTGAAGTCTTATGAAGCCTACTATCCTGTTATAGGCGGATAGAATTACTCCTTGTGTCCACAATTTTCTCTCGGCGGCACAACATTCTGGGCAAGCGATTGCCTGCCCATGACATCTCAGGGCTGCAGAGCTTCAATCCAGCTGATTTGTGAATACCGAGCTCGCATCACTGTCCTGTACAGAGGTACAAAAGCGCTGAAGGTAGTTTATATAACAAAGCATTTTCTGTAGAGATGGTACCTGTATTGTACGAATATAGGCATCTCTAGAAGCTGATTGGTTCCATTCGATATTTTGGAGAGATTATGCTTTCAAATGATCAGAGGGAGGAGGGGTTTAACAAAATTTCAGGGCACGATAGCTGAGGGTTTGCAAGGAAAAGTGCACACCCTTAATTACTCGAGTGTGATACCAACGCCATTTCAAAATTGTAATGCCTTGATAGGTAGAGTTAGGGGTAATGCTCACTATTACTCGCATGAAATTTGACGCACTATAGTACTGTAATATCTATAATTATTTATTGCTTGTAAAATATGCCTTGCTTTACCACTATGCTTTACCCTCTGAATATATATATATTATTATCATTGTTGCTTTTTATCATAGTACAAGTGGGGTTGAAAAAGTGAGTGTTCACAACAATTATTTCACATACCAAAAACAGCCAATTCCATGGACTTATTCTGCCACCAATACTTGTATTAAAAAATGGTATAATTTGATAGAATATTAGTAAAAGATGTAGGCTACTTGACTTCAACTTTAACTTTAGGCAAATTTAAATTCTCTGAACAGTGGTAGCTATAGGGAGGAGGTCTTTCCTCAAATTTGTACCAAGACCATCATTTTGGTGGAAAATATGTGTTTTGGCAAAAGTCAATCATTCAAAACCATACCAGTACTACTTTTGTAAAGTTAGGAATTGTGTGAAAGTTTGTATATAAAAAAGGTGTTATTACTGTTTTCAAAGGTTCTACGAACAGTTTGTATTTTTTTGAATTTTCTCCAGTGGAATATCTTGGTGTGAAATCTGCTGTTTTTGCTGTAAAATTGCGCGTGTCTACTCACTTTTTCGACCCACTTGTATGATAGAGTCTAGAATCTCAGACCAGAAATGATATCATTACCCCTAACCCTGCTTATCTAAGGCATTACATTTTGAAACGGCGTTGGTACAGGTTGTAGTCGCTTCGCACCAGACTTAACCCGCCTCCCTTAACAGTTCCCTTACTCAACGTTGACACTCTGCTCGATGCCAAGCAATCTCTCGCTGGCTTAACTAGGCTCTGGTTACACTCCCTGTCACCAACAAACAAACAAACAAACACCCACTCCTGTCGTCTTTGTTTAGGTGGTGACAATTTGGATCTCTCGGAATGGAGAATTATCAGAAAATCGAAAAAATTGGTGAAGGTAGATTCCCCCCCTCCTCATCTATCACTTTTCTCTTGGGGATTTTGCGTTTCGCAACACTGCAAAGTCCCCTTCTGCGACACCGCAGACGTAACCCCACCTGCACGCCCTTGCGAGGCGAGACTTTATGGGAATCACTAACTCAATTCATTTTAACTAGGAACCTACGGGGTTGTTTACAAGGCCAAGGATCTCAAGAACAATAACCGTATCGTTGCGTTGAAAAAGATTCGTCTCGAAGCCGAAGATGAGGGTGTTCCGTCTACCGCCATTCGCGAGATTTCCCTTTTGAAGGAAATGTCTGATCCCAACATTGTTAAGCTTCTTAACATCGTACATGCCGATGGCCATAAGCTCTACCTGGTCTTTGAGTTTTTAGATCTCGATTTGAAAAAATATATGGAAGCAATTCCATCAGGCATGGGTTTGGGAACCGACATGATAAAGAGGTTCATGAGCCAGCTGGTCGAAGGCGTGAGATACTGCCATGCGCACAGGATCCTGCATAGGGATTTGAAGCCTCAGAATTTATTGATAGACAAAGAGGGCAACTTGAAGCTGGCAGATTTCGGGTTGGCGAGAGCCTTCGGAGTTCCCTTGAGGACATATACTCACGAGGTAAGAACGGCTTTCTCGGAGCTCCGTTTAGAATACCCCTATATTTGGGGGCCAGCGGCTAAAACGCTTCCTCACATTTAGGTCGTCACTCTCTGGTATCGTTCTCCGGAAATTCTGTTGGGTGGGAAGCAGTATTCCACCGGTGTTGATATGTGGAGTGTGGGCTGCATTTTCGCAGAGATGTGTACTCGGAAAGCACTCTTCCCTGGTGATTCGGAAATCGATGAAATTTTCAAGATATTCCAGTAAGGGATTCTCTATCACGAATTGAAACCGTTCCATCTTGTCTCCCGAGCTAGGTTTGGTACTCATCTCATGAATAGGTTGCTTGGAACCCCAGACGAAGAAACATGGCCCGGCGTTACCAGCTTTCCGGATTTCAAGCCCTCCTTTCCCCAATGGGCAAAGGTTGACACCGAAAAAATGGTCCCAGGACTTGAAGCAGCAGGCATTGATTTGCTAGAAGTACGTTTTCTCATATCTAGCGTGCTATACACGCTCGTCATACTTCCGATACCTCCCCGGCCAGCTGACAGCTGACACGTATTAAAATAATTGACAGGCCATGCTCGTGTATGATCCTGCGGGTCGCATATCAGCCAAGCAAGCTTGCCACCATGACTACTTCATCGCAGAGGACGGCACCAATTGGAACAATGGGAGACCAAACAGCCGGTTCCAAGGCCGATGATTTTGTCTTATGTTTACGTTTACTTGTCAATGGATATGATGGAACGGCCGAGATGATATCAGAATAAAGTAGCAGAACCACAGGGTTGTGATTGGGTGGCGAGTGCTTGAACCAACAAACTTCATTAGAAAGCTTTCCTTAAATTCTTTTTTTGCGACTTGTGTTCGCGACAAGGGGTAGCCAGGGAAACACGAACGATTAAAGCTCATCCTATCGATAAGCGCATCAGGGGCATCTCTAGTGTACCGAAAAATTACTCCTCACGAATGTTGTGGGAGCACAATACCCTTACTGGATGTTTATCCTTTATATCTTTTCGCAATTGTGTTTGTTAGTTGGAATCTCTAGATTTGCTGTCGTGAACCATCTGTTTCTCTTACTGTGACCTGAGTTCTCGCAGTGGAGTGGGACTGTAAAATTCAGAGATATTATAAAACAGTACCTTTGAAGCAGTAGGCGCAAACCGGTCGACTTGTATGTTTGAATTAAGAAACTGGACCCTATTTTGAGAAATAGTAAAAATGCGAGTGACAGGATGTGTCGTGTTATGCTATACCGGTAATTCCGAAATCTTATTCTAACATCCTGTTACCCTACCAGGGCACAAACCCTTCAATCCACAACAGTCCCAATTCACACAACGACGACGTCACTCTAAACAATTTCCCTAGCTTTTTTGAACCACACGGTATTCACCATCTACAAACACAACCATTCTACCGCCCACCGCGACCCGATAACACACCCGACCCACCTCCCCGTAGGCAGATCGAAAGTCGCAATCATGTACTCTATTCTCTCTGGATTGATCGTTTTTTGAAATCGGGGATTTGAAATCGGGGAAGAAAATAGCTAATCGCGGGGTACATAGGCTTATTCCTAAGGCCGATCGTAAGAAGATTCACGAGCATATCTTCCGCGGTAAGCTCTCATGTCTCCCCGGCTAGCCGACAACGATATTTACTGACCATCTGCTTCTAGAGGGAGTTCTCGTCGCAAAGAAGGACTTCAATCTTCCCAAGCATACCGACATTGACACCAAGAACCTCTATGTCCGTAGTTCATTCAGCCTCTTCTCGGCCCACTCCCGGCATACTAGCGTAACTAACGGGTCTCATTTCTTGCGTCGTTACAGGTCATTAAGGCTTGCCAGTCCCTCACCTCTCGTGGATACCTTAAGACCCAGTTCTCCTGGCAATACTACTACTACACCTTGACCCCCGAGGGTCTCGATTACCTTCGCGAGTGGCTCCATCTCCCTGCGGAGATTGTCCCAGCCACTCATGTTAAGCAGAACCGCAGCCATGCACCCCCCAGAGGAATGTTGAGCGGTGATGGTGACAGAAGGCCCGGTGGTGGGCGTGGCGGTGAGAGGGGTGACAGAGAGGGCGGATACAGAAGGAGAGGATTCGGGGACAAGGAGGGTGGTAAAGATGCCCAGCCTGGAGAATTCCAACCTCAATTGTACGTGCCTCCATCGGCTTTTCTGGGGGAGAAATTGGGTGTGGGGAGGATAATGGAGAAGGCGCTAACATATGTTTTTAGCCGTGGTGGATTCGGTCGTGGACGTGGTGCTCCCGCGGGACTCTAAATTTTCCCGGAAGTGTTTCTTTTCCCCTTTCCATTGTTATTCCTTCCTCTTCCTTACCTTAGCCGGTCTTCTCGTATGTCACGAAAATTAAAACAATCTTGACAAACTATCCACACATCTGGGAGCCCTCATCCACCGAAACAAAATATACCATCAATCGCCGGAAGGGGAGAAAAGCTGGAGGCCAGAATACGGATGGGGGGAGAGATGCTAAACGAAGAAAAATAAATATAAATAATAATGTACGGCTGGATAAACGAAGAAATTCCTTTGGAAATATTTTCTTCTATCACCTTCCCTCAGCCCTCGTTGTGGTGTTGCTATGTTTTTAAACGGCGTCGGTCGGAGAGTTCTCAGAGCAAACAAATAAACCATACAAAAAGTCTTTTTCTTTCTTTCTTTTTTCAGGTCTATCATAGTTGTGTCGTGCTGTACAGTACCGTGCAGTACCCTGTTCATATTTGCTCGTGTAATCCACTATCTCCGACATTCCTCTAATATCCGGACTCTGAGTCTAAAGCTCCCGAGAAGGACTAGCGTTTTCCTGACACAGTGGACGTGCTTGATTGATCTCATCAACCGTCTCAAGCCTCTTAACCTCTCGATCTGAATCTATCGTGGGCTGGCGGGCCGATTCCCGCCGATATCTAACGCCTGATTGCCGGTAATTTACGAAGAATATGACCTCCCTTTCCCCGAATTCCGATCCCCTGCGGAGGAGGTAACCCGAGTGATATTTCATCACGGCGGTCCAAAAGTGGTGCCTGAGGTGCCTCTTTCGGGTGTTTTGGGATGCATTTATTGATCCTCTTGAGCAAATGACCACCTCCCCCAGACCCTGCAGTCACATCATAGCAGGCGCTTTGCTGATGATCAAATGATCCATCCTTGGGTGCTAACTTGTAAATCTATTTTTTTGTCCCTCAGTGCTAAGGACTCATGGCATTAGGGTTGAGGACTGGTGTGTTTAGAGACTATCTTTTTATATTTCGGGTACTGGTTGAGAGACTACCATAAATGCCTGCCCCTTGTACTTAGTGATTTTTTAAGTAATAGTAATCAGAATGGAAAAAGAGAAGTTACCCAGCCTGTAGGTAACTTATAGGATTCACTCGCCTGGTGCTAGTTACTTAAAACCTCAACTACTGAAAGTTGTTGGAAACTACAACAATGACTTCCCACATTACCCTAGATGAAAACAAACATCGTAAACTGGTTCTAATTCATGATGTAATTAATTAGTTTGAAGGAGATCCTATTATATAATCTGGAGAGAAGAATATTCTGAATTTAAGAATTTTAGATCTGGTTTGCTGCAGGGGCAGGTTTTAGTTGTCCGGTACCAGACATGTAAAATACCATAAGTTATCTGATGGTTGGGTAACTCCTCTTTTCCCATTTCTGATTACTTAAAAAATCACCTAACGTTTTTTATGTGGTAACCGACCATGACGGGGTAACTGACCACCCCATAAGATACCTAACAGAAGACAATATAAGAACAACCCAACCACAAACCTTCAAATAAAAATATTTAAAAAAAGCAGGCTGGTTAAGAGATAATAGATAAGCCTATTTCAGGTAAAAGAAAGATAAAAAAGGAAATCCAGGACAACTCAGGTACCACAAGTATGAGAAAAAAACCTAAATAAGTAGTAATATTAGATAAGACTAGCAAAACAGGAATCAAAGGTGGAGTGAACTAACAAAGAAATAAGGAGAGAAGATAGTTTAGCTTCTGCTGTAGATGGCATTACCACTTACAAGTTGAAGAGGGGGGTGGTGAGGTTGGTCAATAAGGATAGGCTAGGGAGCGGAGAAGATGGTAGGAATGGAAGGCTCGCTAGTATTGTTCGGAGAAGCAGGGAGATGAGGAAGAGAGGAGAGTTGCTGTTGCTCATTTTCCTGACTAGTAGACTGAGTAGGCCTTCTACTATAGTCAGATAGCTGACGTCCAGCCTTTGCCTCCCTTTGCTTTTGTACTTTTTCATCCTTTTCTAAACGTTCCTTTCAAGCCTGGTCCAGGTCACTACGAGATATGAGTTTCACTTTACTGATATGCTGCCGATCTGATTTGCTCTTCTTTGGTGCTGCTGCAACCTACCTTACTGTTTCCTGAGCAATAGTAGCAGCTGCTATTATACTACCTGCTGCAAAGCCAAGTGCAAGTCTAATTTTTTTTTGCATCCTCGGTATCGTCCATACACTCAAGGAGGGTTTTCAACTGGGATACTTGTTTTGGATTTGTAGGAGCCATGACAGCAGTGATCGAAGATAAGGTGATACTGGGAGAAGAAGGTTTCACAGTAGATGTAGGATTAAATTGAATAAGATCTGAGAAGAAGGAAGTAGGGGGGGAAACTTTTTGAAGAAGTTCAAGAACTCGTGCACGATGATAAGGATAAAAACCAGTAGCAGCAAATGCTGACTTAATATTAACCTCCGTAAGTGCTGTCTATCGTGCCTTTTAACAGAGAGGAAAAAAATCGTCCTTGTTTAGTGTTTGATATGGATGGGCTCGATACCACACATCAACCTCCTGACTATAGTATGTTGCTAGAGGACCAAAGAGACCAACATCCAAGGATTGTACTAAGATATGAGTAGAGTGGCTAGGAAAGCAGAGGAGGTATATATTGTAAGACTGGGCATATGTGATAAATTCCACAGTTAAATGAGAGGAGTGACCATCAAGAATCAAGAGTCTTGAGTTTCTACTCTGAGTTCCCGGCTCAAAAACCTCTTTTAACTAATGTATTTCAAGGTCATTATTGGTCTAACCCATTTTAGAAATCCCAAAGCTAGCTATATCTCGCTTCTCATAGTCATGATTGCCTATCAGGTGTGCCTCTCCCGCATATATATAGAGAGGAGGTAGTAGCTTCCCAGCAGCTGAAACTTCCTCAATGAGAGTTACCTATTCTCGATTTCATGGATGTCGCACCCACAGATTTCGCCTCTGCAGATAACAGACCACCTTTTCCTTCTTTGCTATTCCAATAGCAAACCGTTTTTTATCAGCATTCCAAATATTACCCGAACCGATATCGTACCATGCCTTTACCTCTCCTAACCAGTCAAAAAAGCTCTTTATACCAGCTGGATGAGCAGCAGACTCCTGCTGAGAATCTATACAACTTGCAAGCTGGCTTGCAATTTCCATATGTCTGTCAAGAAACCTAGATATCCAGTGCTTTCCTACAGTCATCTTTTCACCTTCTTGTCGGCCTTTCACTATCACATCTGCCATTTCATGCAAGTATGAGAGTCTTGATAGAATTCCTATGTTATCTAACTGCTTTACCCATTCTACCATTTCATTTTCCTCCTCCTCGGTAAGTAATTGTTGGTTTTTATAAGCCTGATTTTGTGGCTGGGAGTTACTACAATACCAGTCGCATAGGGTGGTTCGTAGAACACCATATTTTAGTGCAGCGCTTAGAATGCAAAGAGCAGACTCACTTTTGAGAACAACCAGTGCATGCTGAATTCAGCTCTTATGGTCTGAATCAGTTCTTGCTCTTGCTTTTGGCATTGTCACTTGTGGTTGAGATTCTGCAGGAGGACAAATAAGGTGGGTCATTGTAGATGAGGTGGCTGGTTACCCCATCATGGTCGGTTAGTACATAAAAAACGTTAGTACTGTACTCAGGTAGGAATGAAAAAATCGGAAACTTATGATAACAAAACAGGGAACAGGAGGATGATTGATATGGCAGTAGGTAAAAAGCGATCAGGTTGTAAGGCATCTTAAACCACAGCAGTTAATAAGTACCAAAAAAGTAATTTTCAGTGAAAACACAGTAGAATGGGCTATTGGTAATGCATCAGAGAAGCATTCCCTGTCCTCATCAATTCCAGTAATAGCTATACAAGAGCAATTACTATACTAAGTTCCAACCGTCACTCCTTGTAGACCCATGAATTTTTTATAAATACAAGTAGGTAAGGGAAAAGATATAAGAAACCATAGGAAGAAAGTTCTTGAAAGTGAAAAAAAACTGATAAAAAGAAAAATAAAGCACACTACTTTTGCTGAACAAAAAAGTATACAAGTGCTTGCATTGCCATTCAATACTACAAGGAAACCAAAAAACAAAAGTAATTACTTTACTCATCAACCCTAACCAAAAGCCCACAGGCCACCTGAATTAGAGCTTGCCCACTAAGTACTCATACCAAGGTTGCAGCTAAGGTGCTGCAACCCACGAAAATTCACTTGCTTAGTTTTTGGGAGCACTCATCCTAAGTGCCTGACAGTTTAATGAAAGATTGCAGCTCAACGAAAGATTGTAGCTCAGTGCAAGATTATAGCTCATAATTGTGGCTTGATATAAGATTGTACCTTGGCTTGGTGGCTTAATAGAATTTGTAGCTTAATAGAACATTGTGGCTTACTGAAGCTTGGTAGCTCAATAGAATTATATAGCTTAATTATTGTGATGAGCCACAAAACTAAGCCATAAACTGGTATTGTACCACAATCTTTCGTTGAGCTACAATCTTTCATTAAACTGTCGGGCACTTAGGATGAGTGCTCCCGAAAACTAAGCAAGTGAATTTTGGGGGGTTGCAGCGCCTTAGCTGCAACCTTGGCATGAGTAAAGAAACTTGCGTCTGATTGCTATCATGCCAGCTGGATTAGCAGCAAATGCTGTAATCTCATCAGACGAAGTATTGCGGGTCCAAGCAATAACGGAATTAAACTCGGATTGTTTGGTCCAACTAAAATTATTATGAAGAACACCGGCACAATAATTTATCGCCTCAATAAGATGAGGATAATCTATTGGATACTGTTAGCAATTATCACACAATAGAGCATTTAAAAACAATTTATCAGCTTACCAATTAAATTTATTGCTGCCCTCCAGTCCATTCCGTATACATACGTGAACCTTGGATGGTATTGGATCTGACCATATTTTAGAAGGCAGATATCTGTTACTATATCACTACCATGTGCAATTTCATTGTCATCATCAATAGATACCTAGAGACCAATGCCTCCCATCCTAGCCTGGACTTGTGAGGTTGCAAAAAATCTTGCTTGAATTCCCACCACAGTCTTCTGAAGAGGACGAAGCAGAACAACTTCTGCTTCAAGGGCCTCTAACCCGTTCACTTTTTCTTTCATCTTCCATAATTAGTTTCCTTCTTCTTCCATCATCCATAATCGACTGAAGATCCTGTGGCCAGCGTCGTTACAATAAGTCGTTTCAGGCCTACTATAGGTCCCTGTCATCACCGGTAATATTATTGGAATAATATTTTCCAATCCTTAGACAACAACTTCATGGTCATTCTAACCCAAAGTCTTGGAATTATTTCTGTCCACCTTACAGTAGACCAAGCCTGCCAACATATTGCATTCAAGTGGTAGACGGAGTAAGGAAGTAAAGATGTCTGGCACAAATGTAGTGAAGATTAAATTTTGATGAGAAGTTGTTAGGGAAATGTATGTGGAGATTGAGAAGAGTGAAGAGAAAATGGAGAGTGGGTGAGAGAGGGAAAAGGAGAAAAGGAGTGGTGTTTTGATCTACTAGCAAATGAGAGGTTGACTAAGCAGCCTAAGGAAGCGTGATCTTCCAAACCATAAAGCAAAAACAACCTCGATATACCATGCTATCAACCTAGCAGTACCCAAAAATGCCTAGAATAAATACAAGAATACATAGCAATAGGCACCAGTGTAAGGTACACTGCTATTAACAGCTATTAAGCGTTAACAATCAAGAAGCTTGCGAAGCTTCCTGTTACAAGGCCAGCTACCAAGCACATTCCTAGTCTATTGTTAGTAGTGTTGCTAATCAAGAGCGTTATGAGAAAGAAAAGAAAGAAGAAAATATCCATAAAACCACTACTAGTCTCTTTCTCATCATCACCAACCCATCTAGGTGTTAACATCATGACATTACTCCCAACCCACCTGTTAGACATCTTGAATATGAACTGAACAAGCTAGTAAAAGAGGTTGCTCGAGATCACGGCCCCATGGACCTTGATGTTACACATTGTATACAAAGAGACATATACTAACTGGGCTATGGAGACCAATGCAAGAAGCTTCAGTCTGTTACAAGTGAACCTCTGCTATGCACAGACTACTTGTCCAGATAAATCATTCAAGTTCCAGAGCATAAACCTGATGGGGATGAATATTTCCGGTTTGAACATCCGAGAGGACATATCCTCTGGATGGACTGAAAGAATTACTTAGGTGTAGACTAGGAATATCATTGTTACGAGAAAACACAACCATATTGTAAAGCAAAGGAATTCGAGTTTCTTTAGAAGAACCCAGAGAGACCCTAGGGTATAGATTGCTGGAGCATGATCTTCTGAGTCAATGACATTAGACTCGAATTTGTTTGGGGAGATGTGGTGATGGGAAAGTAATAGTAGGAATAGAAGTAGGCAAAAATATAAAATGAAATGAATATTGCTGTAGGAAAGTATATAAATGCAAATTTGGGTAATGCCGTACTCTCCTGGGTACCTGGAAACTGAGGGGCAACTAAAACAGATATGATTTCTACGGCATTTTAGTATGCACCCAAGTATGTATTGTAGGCTAGGGCTAAGATTTACATACAGGCTACCATAAAATCCCATATAATTGGCTAGGGCCAGAGCAGGGACTTAATCTCTGTGCTCAGAGACAAACTCTCTAAGAAGGCGTAGTAGTTGCCTTACAAGGTATAACTTGAGCAGGCTGAGTGCGTTAGATCTTACTAACTGATATTCGCAATTCTAGTAACCTGTCAACTTGAAACTAAACCTATCAAGAGTGGACTAGAGATTAGCCCCCACTCCAAAACTAGCCAATTATTCAGAATTTTATGGTATTGTAGGAAGAATACTGAGAACACCTTGGCCACTATATCAAACTTAGAATCAGTTATTAACTTTATGCCTGTGTGTTCATAGAATAATAAATGTCATAATTACTTGGATATATATTTTGCCAAACTTATTGACAAATACAAATATTCTGTTCTGAGTCAAACCTGCATTCCAGCTCGCTGTAACAGACATAGTCCGAGCAGGTAGTCCCAGACAAGCTATGGTCAGGCTCTGGAGATATAAATGGGTTCGGCATCCTATAGGGGGTCTAGGCATTAGGGTTCCAGTCTCCTACTGGAGGTCTAGACAGAGGGAGCCTTGGTATCTAAGGGGAATTCGGCTTACTAGTATGCGGCCAAAGAGCAAGGTCCCTGGGGTCTAGTATCCCACTAGAGGTCTAAGCGACAGGACAGATTCCCACCTTCCAAGGTCTAGGCAGATGTCCGGTATCCCACCGGAGGTCTAAACAAGAGACAGGTATCCCACTTTAGAGATCTAAGCATCTGGACAGGTTCCCACTTCTGAGGTCTAGACATATGTCCGGTATCCTACTGGAGGTCTAAGCAAGAGACAGGTATCCTACTTCAGAGATCTAAGTATCAGGACAGATTCCTACCTCTGAGGTCTAGACAGATATCCGGTATCCCACCAGAGGTCTAAGCAAGAGACAGGTATCCTACCTTAGAGGTCTAAGTATCAGGACAGATTCCCACCTCCGAGGTCAAGACAGATGTTTGGTATCCTACTGGAGGTCTAAGTAAGAAACAGGTATCCCACCTCGGAGGTCTAAGCATCAGGACAGGTTCTCACCTCTGATGTAACGCGTTCGCACCGGGGTGCTAATCACGCTTCCGGGTACAATAGGAGTAGCGCACAAGTTGATCTACAACCGGTGGGCGTACTGCGCTAAGGGAGGCTCCGAGAGGAAGATATAAAGAATAGGGACTTGAAGAGGTAACCGTTCAACCAAGTATATTAGAAATACTCTGTCCGTCAAAGTCTGCTGTTCCTCTAAGGGACTCAGCGGTCTTTAAATACAAGCTTCATCCATGTCCTGTATGGACGGATTTCCAAATCCTCCGTGAGCAACCTATAAAACAAACTGAGTATCAAAGGATACTCGAAACCACAAGTAAAACAAACTGAGTATCAAAGGATACTCGAAACCACAAGTAAAACAAACTGAGTATCAAAGGATACTCGAAACTATAAGCAAAACAAACTGAGTATCAAAGGATACTCGAAACCACACATAAAACAAAACATAAAACAAAACCCTGAACCGAACGGACTGAACTCCAGTTCCGGTTACATCCGAGGTCTAGATATCATGGAAGCCTCATTGTCCAAGGGCAATCTATCTAATTGATATACGGCCGAGGAGTGAGGTTCAAGGAGGGTTTCCGACATCAAGTCAGAGTCCACCCGCGAGGAGCACAACCAACTAAGGTTCAACAAAGAAGCATCCATCACGAGCCAAGGTAATCATCCAGTATCCCACTGGAGGTCTAGGTCAAAGGTGCCTTATTATCCAAGGGTAATCCGTCTGATTGGTATGCAGCTGAGTAGCGAGGTTCAAGGAGAGTTACCGACATCAAGTCGGCCAAGGTAATCATCCGGAGGTCTAGGCAAGGTTCAATAAGGGTTATTGGTAAACTGAGAAGGTTCTAAGGTTCATTGCCAAATGCAATATTGTTAAGTGATTCATAAGGGTTAGAGATCGTAAGGTCTTAGAGTCTACCAGAATCAAAAGGGAAACTACTATTGAGATAGCTAACCAAGTATGAGCGGACACAAGGGAAGGCCATAGGTGCAAAGGGTTCAGATAGGAGAACTATTGTCAAGATAGTTAACCGAAGATGGGCAGACATGAAGGAAGGCTACGGACTCAAAGGGTTCAGGCAGGAGAACTATTGTCAAGATAGTTAACCAAGAACTGGTGGATATGAGGGAAGGCCAAAGTATATTAATCAAAGATAGCAAGCTGTACTAGTGGTTAAGCTAAGACTAGCAAAGCAAGAGCAGAGAAGAAAAAGAGTAATGAGGTATCAAGTTTATTCTCTTCAGGTTCCAGAATGCAGAGTTACAATAATCTGAATGTTACTTCACGATAAATATGAGAGCAAGGAGTGGACATAATTCCTCAGTATATACAAAGATAGGAGATTACCAGATTGCATAAAGAAAGTAAAATATCTAGGGACACACCCCATAGATATATTCAAGAACTTCCCTCAATCTAATGGTGCTCCTCCAAGCGCGAAACATAACAACACCATAGGCAATCCTTCAATCTATAACATACGTCCTTCATGTACGTTCTAAAACACTTAAGGAGATTCCTCTGCTTTATCCAACCATCCGCAGTTCTTATTTCTTGCTATGTGGAGTCACCACGTACTTGTCCAACTTGCAGCGCATGGTCAACAAAGTCTGTCTGTGCTACACCTATCCCCTCAGAAATACGAATCCTAAGAACTGCGGAGAGCTCCTTCAGGTATGAAATGTGCGACTAGAGTAAAGAAATTTTGGTGGCCATGACACTTGCACAGAGCACACAGGCCAACAGAACTGTGATATACTAGGGGGTAGGCAAAAGTCCAGACCACCTCCATTTCAAACATGTATAAACAAAACTAGATTAGGAAATTTAAGTGATACTGGTGGTACGGTATGCAGTAACAGTCTGCCTCACAAATGTCTTGTTACTACGAGTGTCATGCTTGACGCATTACCTGATTTATGTAAATTATATTCTAGCACTTGTGGCCAAAGTGTAATTAATGCTTGCGACTTCAATCAGCTGCTCCAATTCTCCATAAGGAGCTCCCAGATATACACCAAACTATGGGGTATACTGCAATGGAGGAGGTTCTATTGTACCATCCATCTCTTCTCATATACAGTAGATAGTATCACCTGGATGGCTTCGTGGTTCTCATATAATGCCTCTGAGATAGGTCCTTAGAGCCTAGCACGCATGTTGAAAGGGCCCCCCTCCAATGTTGAAGATAGTTGCTAACCAACCTGTTAATAGCGCTGGTATTTGTACAGAGGACAAGTGCTGGAAATCCTCCTTGAGGGTGTCAGAGAGGGACGATATCAATGATGTATAATGAGAAAGAATGTGTTTGTTTTTATTGTAGAGGAGTAATCCTTGAGACTGGATACAAGAAGGATGTCTGCCAAGAGACAGTACATTGTCAGGCTAATACTCTACTCAACTCTCAGAGGAAACTCCACATCATACTATAGGGATTACTCTATCACCTGTCATATGTGGCCGTGCCAAGCTTGATCACTCATTACACTCTTCACCTAAATTGAGGCTCAAACAATTGGCTGCAAACCATCATGGATCATAATTTCGAATTTAAGCATTCCCAGCAGCCCCAGCAGAGTAGGTAGATATCAGTCTTCAATCATTCTCCCAGTCTATCAATGCAGCTCTAGACTTTTTTTCCTTTTTTTCCTTTTTTTCCCTTCCCCCCTTCCTCCAGCTTGTGTCTCTACCCCTTGACCTCAAACTCAATATATTGGCACTTTATATCTCTTGTTTGATATGTCCTGTAGTGCAAACCAATCTATCAATACCAATAACGAGATTGACAAAGGTGAAAAAAAATCAAAATCAAAGGAAATGCAATATGAGACTCTTCCTACTTCATCCCTGACACCCTTCATTCTACTCAATGACATCTTCCTGGATACCGCTTTGGAGTATGTTAGGATCTTTTTTTTGATCCTCTGAGCAAACAACAAGTTCTTCCAGGGGCTGCACACTATGACCTGGTACATCGTTGCCGCCCAGCACATCATACTACAGTAGCTACCAAATCGCCTATTATTCGGTATTAAGGGCACTCCACAAGCCTGGTAACAGAAGAAATGTGCCCCCCCTAGTTTTCTATACAAACCACCACTTTTCGTACATGCCTATCAACTCCATAAAAAATTTATTGATAGAGAGCTTAATCCAAAGATTCACATAGTTAAATGTCAGACTATAGCAATGGTTCTGAATTCTGAAAGGCTTATGCCGGAATTACAATGCCATAGGAACGTGGAGGGGGCTGAATAAATTTTTAAAGAAGGCATTTGTGTGAGGACTAAGCCAGAATAGGAAATTCGAGTGATCTCGTATGACTCGCAACTGACAGGGATCGCCACACCATCATAGTTTATCGTGGCAAACAATGGCACACTTGACTCAAACCTCAAAACCATTCTTTGTTACGGCAGTCTACCGCCCGCAACCAACCAACCAACCGGCCAACCAAATCCCCCTGCCCCCCCCCCCTCCAAAGCGCCTACGGTACTTGTACTCGACTACCTTACGCTTCGATGATGATGATACCCATAAATTGCGTATCACACAAGTAGAATAGAGTTAGTCAGAAAAACGGCAGAGAATAATACCCTGAAACCCCATCCCGGTCGGGTGCAAGTACCGGTTATTGATGAGATCGGTGCTTGGGCAAGGGGGGGGGGGGGTGGAAGGAAAACATCATTTGACAGACAGACAGACAAATAGACAAACAGACAAACCCAAAACTTCCCACCCCAAGTTAGATCATCGGACCGGCGCTGCGATCGAGTATCATATCATAGCCTTGCGGGTTGGTTCTACGGGAGCAAGCGCTTACGAATGACGAAGCCGTGTATGATATGATACTATGGTAGGAAATCCCGAACCCGGCCAGCCAGCCAACCAAACCAGCCACCGTATCAGTAGGAAAAAAAAAAAAAAAACTGGTTTTCGGGGGGTTTGTGTGTGTGATGCGGGGTATCCTAACTTATCGGTAGAACTATGATACGAGTAATTGAATTTACAGGAAAGCGAAAAAGGCGATTTATAGGTTATGTTAAGCCTGGGTTACTTACCTGTATCATACTTGTGCTAACTCGCAGTATCATGGCGACGGGGTGCTTTGGGTATGATAAAATTGCTGTGCCGTATCATACCTGCCGGTAATTGCACTATGCTTCACGCGATTTTGCGGGAGGGGAGGAGGGGAGAGGAGAGGAGAGGAGAGAGGAGAGGAGAGGAAGAAGAGCTTCGAACTTTTCGCTAAACTTATCATGTGTCTTGTCGATAGCGCACTCATAGCACTGTGGGTCTACAGTACTGTGCCGTACTGTGCGAGCATGATATCATTGGGTTTTCACTTGTGCTCGTACGGTACGGTACGGTGGCTAGTTTTTGGGGTGTGGTGTGGTAAAATACCGTATGTACCGTACCGTACCGTATTGCATTGTGCTAATTTTGAGAGAGAGGTCCCATTGAGTGCTCTGATCTATGATACCACAACTACTCAGGCTACCCGTGCAATGCAAGGGTGCGGTATCATACTCCGAAAGCAGCTGCAATGTACTGTGCCAAAACTTTGCTGCCAGGTAGTTTAGATATTACCGGTACTCAATGTAGGGAAATCTTCATGCCCCTCCAGGCCCATATGCGCCCAGCAAGTAGTGATACATCTTCTCCTTCGCCCATCTTTGGCGGTGATTGATGGAGTTAAGCTCGAGTGAATGAAGTGACCGTTCCATAGCCTGCGTGTTTTTTCAAGGGAGAATTTTGTTCCGGTGCTTTATAGTTTGTCGCCAGCTTAAAAGAAATAGAAGGAAGAAGGAAAAGGAGAGAGAGAGAGAGAGATACCGCAAACTGCTTTTTTCTTTTTTTTTGCGTGGAAATCATGGTACGGCAAGTGTGTAGCAGTTGCGGTAATTCTCTACCAGTGGACTGGGAGCTTCGAACCTTACTGCTGTAAGTGGCATATCGCACTGGAGGTATCATGCTCCCTACATTGATAGCGTTAATAACGTACAGTACTGTGCTGTACCCGGGCACCGAACACGTACAACAATGGCACAACGTGAGGAAAAAGGAGAGGAAAGTGAATAAGAGAGAATGATGGGAGTCTTCATCTTTTTTTTCTTTTTTTCCTTTTTTCCCTTTCCAAATAGCAATAATAATAATGGAAGGCAAACTATGATAGACTAGCTCAACTTAACCCAACCCAACCTCCGAAAACGCCGCGGGACTATATCGGCTATCGATCCGAGTGGGGATTGTAAATTGCAAGGGCGAGAGAAGATATGGTTTGAAGTGTGTGCGAGGTGAGGTGAAGAAAACAGGAGAGAAAGAAGTAAAAACCGAGAAAGGATTCCAAGAGCACCACCGGTAAAACAAAAAACAGCAAGAGCAAGTAAATAAGAGCAGTAGCAGACGGACGCAGACAAGATAAGAGGCAAAAACGGCAACCGTATTTCTCATTTCCCAATGATGATAATCTCCCGCACCAATTGAGGTCCCCTAGCCTCCCTCCCCTCACCTATCCGCCAAGTTGAAAGAAAACAGGAAGATGATGAAGATGGAGAGAAGAAGAAGAAAAGAATGTCAAAAAGCTTCCACAAGTTCTAGAAGAAAAAAAAAGGAGACCACCTAATGAGAAGGGATGGGCACCGCAGGTGCAGCACTCCCTCCAACACCCTTCTCCGCCGCTACCGCTGAAGCCTCCCCAGCATCCCCGACATCCTCTCCTTCAGTAGGGGGCTGCGAACCCATCGGGCTCTTGGCATGGAGGAGGGGACTCTCCTTAACGGGAGATCCCGAGTTCCCGCTAGTGCCCGTGGGCGTGCCGGCGGCGGTGTGGTGGGGGATGTTCTCGGGGAGAGGGTGCTGGGAGCCGATGTTTGTCAGGCCGACGTCCGAGGCCTTACCAGCTTTCGAGAGGGCATAGTCTCCTGAGTCAAAGTACTTGCGTTCCTTTTTTTTATATCGCTCCATTAGCTTGGTGAAAAGGAGCGGGCAGCGGCGGGGGGAGGGGGGAAGGAATACTTTAAGTTTGCTCTTGAGCATATCCTTCTTGGACGGAAGCCTCCCGTATCGTGTAAAAAGCCTCTTCTCCTCTTCGCTCAAGGACTGTGAATTGTGAAAGACACGGGACTCTGGGAAGGTGTGGTCATTCGTTCGCTGGGAGGGTCTTGAATAATAACCCATCGGCGAAGAACGGCCTCACCTCCAGATTTCCCTCACTTATCGTCAGTTTTTGGTCATGCTTCAATTAAGATAGTGTGATACGGTCCAAAGCGGGTCGGATAAGGACTCTTTTTCTTTCCTTCTTTCCTTCTCTCCTCCCTTCACGGGATGATCCAATGCGGGGAGGTGGGGTAAGTCGGGGGGGAACCACTCACGTTAAGGTCAACCTTCTGCTGACGAGGCGGATTCATTGTGATTTTGATTTGTGGGATGGAAAGGTTGAAGGTTGAGAGTTAGCTGTAGGCGGGTGGGTGGTTATGAAGAGGGAGAGAGGGAGAGAGGGAGAGGGAGAGGCTTTCGCAAGGTTTGATCGTTAGCCGGTTGCTTGTTACAAGTCTCGTGTTCCGGGGTGAAGGGGTCTGAGGTTGGTGTGGTGAGTGAGATGTGGGATGAAGCGAGAGCGTTTTTAGGGAAACCGGAGGAGATGGTTGTTGGTGAAAGGGCAAACCTCGGTCAGCGGCGGCAAGGATAATGGAATGAAGGAGGGTTCGGGAGCACAATATAAGGAAGGGAAGAGAGAAGATGAATAGAAGGAAGCTTGTTTGATCCCTTCTTATTTTTGTTCGGCGATTTTAGAGACTTTTTCTTTTTGCCCTTCCGTGGGCGGTGATTGACGGGCCCAAGGAATACCATATGGGGACGCCTTCCCTGTCTTGTCACCTGCAAATATCTCGAGATGAAGTGATTATCTACTCGCAGGATGGTGCTATAATATCAGAGCACTCGTACTCGTACCGTGCAGTACCACTCCACCACCCAATATATACGTATATATATATTCACAGTCCTGTTGACAATCTACCAGTACCGGTGTTCTTTACCACGGCACGGGTACGGCATTCTGGACGGGAGTATTCGAAAGATAAACGAGCTATCCAAATTGAGAAGTCCATCTGCGGTTTGGTTTCCATTGCAGATGGCGAATAAGTTAGCATCACTGACTGACTGGGCCCCCCTCGAGGGGTGCGCGTGGTCAATCCCCCCTTCCCCCAGCCAACTGCGATCAGCCGTCTTTCTAATCTGCGATGTTTCTCCACGCATTGAGCCAAATCGACGAGGTAAGGAATTGTCGCGGATCGCCCACCACCCCCGCCTCCATGGTTAAAAGAACAGGAAATGGGCTGGGGAAATTTGATATTTCCAGGAAATCGACAGAACACGTAGGTCGAGACTGATCACTCAAACGTATTGACCCCCGGAGCTGCGTGAAGGTATCGGCAAGTTATCTAGATCTGTCAGAGTAGCATGACTTCGATCAATGGTGCTGGCAGCGGGGTCGATTGATTCTATATGCTACCGGGAATGGTCATAGAATCGGGTAATCCTTTCGATACGGGCACTCGGGTGCGGTGCAGTGCCGGTGAATCGCGGGAGCACGGAACGGTATCATACTCGTGCGAGCCGGATTGTTAAGGCTGAGAAATGCATGGTGGCGGTGAAGAGCCGAAAGACATCATACAAACCTTTGAGGGTGGGGCAGAAAAATGGTCACCGTCAGGCTCTCTCGGGAACAAATGGTTTTGGAAATCAGCCCATCCGTGATTGTGATGGAACAAAAAAACCTCCAAGGCCCAAAATTTCGCCAAGGCAACGAGGTAGCCATCCCATCTTTCCCTCCAGCCTCCACCCACCTTCGGCCTACACGCAGTCACCGCAATACTGCCCCACTGCTCCAATCACACGACCACTCGTCTACTGGTACTCGCGGAATAATGCAGCCTTCTGCTTTGAACCGTCTACGCTTGACTCTCGCCTTCTTCAAACTCCATAACGTCCTCCACCCCCAGCTTCCTTTAACGCCCCTCCAGCGTAACCGGCTCTTAGGACTCGTTAAAGACTCATTTCGTCAACAGCTCAACTCGGTCCCCACCCCACCAACCGACTCACATGTTGGGAACCTCCTCGCGACATTTCCCTTCTCAACCTCGTTGGATGGGAGTGGGAGCCTCGAAAGGATCCATGAAGACCCCATTGGGGTCTTTGAACAGCAGGTTCTGGCCGGCAGGGCTACATTGGGGCTGGCAGGGCTGTGTTTGAATAAGTACGTCGAGGGAATAAGGACGAAGGGATGGAGAGTGGGCGAGGAGAGCGCGCTTGGTAGGGTTCTCGGAGGACTTCAAAAGAGTGGGCTAGTGACCAAGATGAATGCGATCACAAGCTCACCCATCACACGGCCGATCATCGAGACGCTTGTGGCTGAAGGGAGAGAGGCGGAGATCATAGATCTCTTGAGCGCCACGAACATTTCCGACAAAGAAAAGTCTAGGATCCTGCAGTTTGGAATTGTGGCTGTGGAGGTAAAGGCCGGGATTGACAAGGCCGTCGAGATGTTTGAGAGATCGCTACGCACTTCCGGAAGCAAAAAGTATCAATATGGCGAATTCCAACCCGTTGGACTACGGCTTTGTCGGAAGGTCAAAGACGGTGAGTCGAGCAAGGAACACCTGTTGGAGATGTTGGTGTCCAGCGCCAAACTCTGGGCAAAGTCGCCATCAATAGAAGCAGCGATACACCTCAGATTCGGAAGAAGGGCCGAGACCGCTATCAACTACTTCCTCAGCCTCGACAAGGAGGGGAGTGGGTTTTGGAGCGGTAGGAATAGAAATTGGTATCATAAGACGGTGAAAATGGGGCTAGAACTTGGGATGGTTTGTGTCGAGAGAGAGAATTGGGAGGGCGCGGCCACCATCACGGATATCATCCGCCGAAGATTCTGCGGACGAGTCGCCGGTCTCTCCGTGCATGAGCTGGGAGTGCAAGATCATGGGATGGCCCGAGACGCGTTACAGAAGGCTTTGGAGAAGGTCAGAATGAAGAGGGAGTTATTGTCGAAGGAGGGGAGTGTCGGCGATATTCTTAACCGTTGGGCGGCTGCATGAACCCCGGGAATTCTCCATCCCAGCATCTCCTACCGTACAGTACCGGTACGGGTATCGTACTAGTACATTACGCATTTTGGTATATTACTATTTCCTCCCCCCCCTTTTTTAATCCCTTTCCCCTCGCTGCCTCGTTCTTGCTACTGGCACCCCTTCATCTCTTTCCGTCCATCTTTTGGTTCTGAGCATTGCCGTATCGGTACGTCAGCCGTGGGGGAGGGACAGAGGGCCAAGGCGCCGCGTTGGGGATAGGCCGGCGTTTATGGGTTTTGTGCTTGTATATTTTTGCACGACACTGTTTCCGATATGGCGGTATTCCAATTTCACACAACATCTGACAAATTCATAGCGGGTGTGGTGGGACACTCGTACTCGAGCACTCATGCCTCCACGGGCTGCGGTACCATACCGGCGCCATACTGGTGTTGTACCGCAGTCGTGCGCCTAGATGAGAGGAATACTAGCGCCGGTAATTTGGGTGAAAGGCCCTAGATTATGATATCACAAGCCAGGCCCCTGTTGGTCGATACCCGCCTGGCAGTACCGGTAGCCCGCCTAACCTATGAAATAATTTTCATTCTGGAAGAATAGTGTAGTACACAAATAGCGCCGGTACCGGAAGCTATTATGTAGCTCTCCTGATACCGGTATTCTCGACCTGAGCGATAAACGGAAATAAACCCCTCTCAACACAGGCCAGAGACCAGGGTGTAACGATACCAGGTTCCCCGTGCCTGAATGATTTGCAGCGAAGGGCAAGAGAGTGTGAGCGAAGGGGGGGGGGGGAAGGGTTGTTTCCAAATTCTTAAGGCCAGCCGCCAAAATAAGGTTATGCCACTTTTCAGGCTCGCCATGCAGCAGGAGGATCCGGGGGAAGGCGCTCGGTAATCCCGCAAAGAGATTATAGATATGGTAGGGTCAACCACAGCCTAACTCTACTCCGGGGCCTTCGCCTCCATTCATGAAAGCTGCCGGGGAGAAGGATTTGACATTCCGTCGGTGGGGGAGCTCATTATCGTACGTGGGAGTGGCGATTGTAGCCTTTTGTACTCGAGTATATAGATAAATGGGGTATAGCGGTAGCACGGGTATTTGAAGTGTCAGGACCCGAGCCAGTGGCGGGGCAGCCTTTTTGCTATCGTACGGTACTGCCCTATCATAGCACTGTACGAACACAAGTATACCATGTAATATCATAAAAGCACTCGCATGATACTGTAGCGGGATTCAAACTACTCAAGTACTCGTACCATCAAGGTCAGCGGCGGTGAACCGCCCTGTAGCTTACTGTAGTCCTCTTGCGGTGCCACAGCAATGTACCAGTACACATCGGTGGGGAGAACAAATGCGCTCTTCCCAGCTCTCATTGTCCCTTTCGACTCTACCCCCTCCCCCTATCCCTCCTTTTGGCATTGCGATCACTCACCATGACACAGTGGTACCAGTATTCTTGCAAGAAAAGGTTCCACCGGCGGCTGCCCATTTTTTTTTTGCTCTGGCGGTAGGAAAAGAAAGGAAGAGAGCTGGCAAAAAAGGGAAAGGAAAAAAAAATGGAAGAAAGAGGGAGAGCAGGTATGGTACACTGGCAAACGGCACTTGTATCCTACTCGTGGAGGGAAACGCTCAACGGGCTGGCCTTGCAGGGATTCGATGCAAAGCTAGACAATCGGACAGACGTGTCAGGTCCTCTCCATCCAGTCGATGCTCTCCGTTGTCACACCTCAGCCCCTCTTTTGCAATATCATGCCTGCACATACATACATACAGCGGAGGAGAGTCTACAGGTGTCGACCCCGGGAGAAGCTGTGTACTGTACCGTACTGCACGCACGAGTACTATACATTTGCATTCACATACTGCCCAAGAGTCCTTTTTTCATCTCACCCTTCAGGCAATCGCACCCTATGTGCCCATCTACTCGCCCGGAATTGACGGCTGTGGGCAGGCTGCTTTGAAGATGAAAAGAAAGGGTGGAGATGCCCGTGTCATGTACGAGTACCTGTAGTCTAGAATCCAACGCGTTGTTTCGCTTTAATAAAAGGTTATGGGGACATCTAGCCGGTATGAACGGTCCAGTGGGCCAGAGTCGAAGGCATTTTGTTTGTTTTTTCGTCTCCCCAACACCTGTTCCCGTTTGCTGTTTCTGTCGATATCCCCTCTTCACTTGGTGAGACTCCTACAATGGGAGCGGCTCCGGGAAGCAGAGGCAGGAGGAGAGGAAGCAGCATCAGCAGCGTCAGCGAGGATTAAAAGCTTCCGGTACGGGTCTGGAGCTGTGAATCGCGGAGAGAGAAGCAGGCGGTTGCAGCTCCACCCTTCAAAATACCGAGGTGCTCGAGATACTCGACAAAAGAATTGCATCACAGGTTCTTGACATATCAGGCATTATTATTATTGTTACTGTTAGGGGAGGCGGAGGAGGGGAGAGGATAGGCTGCAGCATCATAAGTCACCATGCTCACTTCCTGCTCACCGTTCCGCTTGGAGCAGGGCCACGGTCGGTTCTTGCCTGGCCCTGTTTCCCTTTCCGTTTCCGGTCACGGTCACGGTCACGGCCATCATCATCATCATCATCATCATCACAGCCGTGGCGCTCGCCCTCCGAGCTTCTTCGCTTCCCGTTCAAACCCCTACGAGAGCCCATCCTCATATTCTCACTCCCGCACCCCTTCATCGCCCATCCGTACCACTCGCTCGCACCCGCGCCCTCGCTCATCGAGCTCCAGCCAGCCAATATCCCCCTGCTTGGACAGCTTTTCCACAGCCGCCTGTCTCGGGCCTGTTTCTGAGGAGGAGGAGGTCCCCGTCCCTGGCTTGCATCATCACCCTCACCCTTCCTTCCCTGCCCGCCTTAAAGACCACCACCACCGCCACCACCATAACTACCCCTCCTCCCCCTTGCCTCCCCTCCGCCTTGCCTGCACCACCTCCAAGCGTGCACCCACCTCGCTTCCATTTTCGCGGACCCGTACGAATCTTGACGATTCCATCTTAAAGCCCATCGCCTCCACGCCGGAACCTTTAAGCTCTTGGTTTGAGCGTAGGAAATCGGAAGAGCTGGAGCTGGTACAGAGGAGAAGATTTCGACCTAAAATGTCACCACCGCAGCACCAGCAGCAGCAGCAGCAGCAGCAGCAACAGCAACAACAGCAACAGAAGCCGCCGCCCTCGGTGGATCCTCGACAGTACTGGGGTTACCTAATATCCCCGAGTAACCCAACCCAACCCACACCATTATTCCGGAATTTACTGCTCTCGATTGCAAATTATATTGTAGGTTTGTTCTGTTGTCATTTTTGCCCGCGATTATTCTTTTCCAAGGGAGGGGTTGTCGGGGAAAATTCGGCTGCTGTGCGTGTGCTGTCCTTTTGTGTTCGGCAAACTGACGATTCTGGCTTGTGTGGATCGTAGATCGATTACTTGGAGCCGAGAGACATTCGTTGCCTCACGCCCGAAAAGATATCTGGATTCTACCGATCGGTCGGTGGGGATTTGGACGGTAATATGACCACCCACTACAGTTGGCTAAGGCCCCAAATTACCCACGGCTAACCGTTGGGAGGTTCGCAGAACTCTTTCTTGGAACTCCGCCCGAGAAATTGTCGGGCATTTACACAACGCTAGGCTGCAATCACACCTTGCAACCGATACCCGATGACGACTTTGTCCCACCGTCCATTCCCGCGCTCACCCCTCGAGGGTTCGCGATATGGCAGACCATTCAGTTGTTGCTAGATCCGGAGGAGCATGTCCCGTACCTGCAGGAGGCCGTGAGGAAGTTTCAGTTGGCTGATCCCGAAACGGGAGAATTGTTTCCCAAGAACATCCCGAGTGAAGCCTTCCCTTCCAAGCCGGATGAAGAGACGGTGAAATGGCACGACGATATGTTTGAGAAGAAGTCACTGGCTGAGGGTACCGCTGCCGCCGCCGCCGCCGCTACTATGCCCGGAACTATGCCTGGGACCATGCCTGGAAGTATGCCGCCGGAGGAGCCGTCCTGGAATGGCTATCATCGTGGCAGCTCACACCAGCAGTATACATCACCGAGTAGGCCGAAGCGAAGCCGCAGGAAGAGTGGGAGTAGGCATAGGACTACGGTGGAGGAAGTTGTGGACGACGGATTGTACGCTAGAGCACCACCGATAATCTCTCCAATGGACCCGTACACTACACATCACCATGGACACCGAGCACACACTCACCACGTTGAGCCCTTCAACTCGGACACGGAGAGCCACCAGCACCACGGCTCCCGCAGCCACAGCCAACGCAGGAGAGAATACCCGGTGTCGTACGTGAGCCAGAACGGCCTTGTAACGCCGTTGGTCCCAACCTACGCTAACGGCACATCAACACTCATGCCCGAGGCTACCCACATGCAGACGGATGAACTCTCGCCAGCTCTTGCATACGGACGCGCCCGCTACACTTCCCCGCCGATAGCGGTAGACCTTACATCCTCCTGCTCCTCCTCGTACTCGGACCTGCACAACTCCAATTCCTCCCCATACCACCACTCCTCCACCCCATCACCGCGTCACCATTCCTCCTCCTACCACCCCCATTCGGCAGCAGCCCCGGCCCCCTGTTCCTCATCCCCACTCTACCCGGAACCTCACTTACGCAAGTCTGCCTCGGCATATTATTACACCTCCCATCCGCCCGCGCCCGTGCCCCCCTCGCGATCCCGTTCGGGCGGCAGCAACCGTGGCCGTCGCCACTCACATATGATCTCGGATGACTCTGACAGCGGCGAGGAGTGGGTTATGAGGGGCGGGAGGATGAGGGAGGATGACGAGGAGGAGAGGCACAGGAGGAAGAGCGATCGAGCGCGGAGGGGGAAGGTGGAGATTGAGGTGGAGTTTGGGCACGAGGGGGAGAGGGACCGTAGCGGTTCCTGGGGGGGATACGAGAGGAAGAGCAGGAATGGGAGGTACCCGGATCGAGGTTATAGTCATGGGGGCCCGAGGCCCTTTTTTTAGTTTTTCTAGAGGTGAGTGAGTAGGCGAAGGAAGTTTTAGTCTATCGTTTTTTTGTTTTTGTTTTGGAATTGGGGAGGTCACGATATCATGATTGGATTTGTGCTTGAGTTTCGGATCAATCAAGACTGTATTGAATTTTTGCTTTGTCATTGTTTATTTTTTCATTCATTCTTTCCTTCTTTCCTTTCTTCTTTCTTTTCTTCCTTGACTTGGCGGGATTGGACGAAAGGGACGGTTCATTTTCTTCTTCTTTTGCTCTGTTTGTTCATGGTGTGGTGTGCGGTCAGTCACCTTACAATCAATATAAACTATCACTAATCATACCTTGTCACTCGCACCTCTTTCGCACTCCCCTTGTTCGTCTGTGAAATTTCTCGAAATATTGCGTCACCAGCGCGCCAATTGAAACCCCCCCCCCCCCTTCCTTTTATATCTGCATAATGGTAACAGTTCAAATCATGTCCTCAAACCAACCCCCCACATCCCCAGTCTTTTCCAACCCCCGCTCCGCCCGCTCCTTTTTAACTTCCTCGACCAATTCCCTCCACTCCTCCTCCTTCGCTTTGCGCTCATCAGACATCCCCGCGGTCCTCTTCTTTCTACGCTTCTCCCTGCGCATCTCGCGCGCAACCTTTTCCCTCGCTTTTCCACTCCAAGCTTCGCTCCTCCCCCTCCCCTTTCGCACCTTTTCCCCCTCGACAACCCTTGCAAGCCTCGCAGCCTCCCGCTTCCCATCCATGTACCCGAGCGAATCCCTCTCCACCCCCTCCACTCCCAGTTCTACCTTCACCCCCTTGAGCTCTGGCATCCTTGGCATCCACAGGATGCCAAACGCCTCCGCGAGTCCCTTCCAGTCCAGCTCTTGCACGCGAAAGATACTGGCCGTGGCATGCTTGCTATAAGCGCGGACGTGGCTGACGGTTGCTTTCAACGCTTTATCGTGAAGGGCTTTATCGCCCGCCGTCCTCTTTCTAAACCTGTCTATTATTGATTTTGTTGTGCCCGATAATTCCAAGGGTGAGTGGGAAGGGAAGGGCGTGACGGGGGTTTTTCTTATGGAGAGGAAGGAGATGTACTCCTCCTCGCGCCCTGGTGATAGGAATAGGATTGCGCGACCGCGACGGCCGGCGCGTGCAGCGCGCCCACAGCGGTGGAGGAAGACTTTTGGGTCGGTTGGCGGATCGAGCTGCAGGACTAGGTCTACCTCTGGGATATCTAGCCCGCGTGCCGCGAGGTCGGTTGTCAAGAGGATGGTGGGGTTTGTGGAGGTTAGGAAGGCTGTGAAGTTTCGTTTTCGCTGGGGGGGGGATTGGTGGCCGTGGAGGGGGAGTAGAGTGTATTCCTTCGGGATGAAGAGGGGGAAGAGGGCTATGTGCAGGTCTACACTCGCGCAGGTTTGGAGGTAGATTATTGATTTCTGGGGTTGGGGGGTGGTGGTGGCGAGGATGTGCTGGATGTGTGGGTAGCGGGAAGGAGGGGTTGCTATTATGTAGTTGTTTTCCAAACTGGAGCATCATCAGCGCTCCCCCCCGCATTCGTAGAAAGTAGAATGGAAGATAAAAAGCGTACCTAACGGGAACCCTTCTCTCAACCTCCCTCTCCTTAACCTTGACGACAACCTTGACCGGATTCCTAAGCCCGCTCCTAACCAACCCCCCGACCACAGCCTCCGTGACACTAGCACTAAAGAGCCCAGTCCTCCGCTGCTTCGGCAAACGGGCCATGATTCCCGCGAGCACCTCCGAAAACCCCAAATCCAGCAACCGATCCGCCTCATCGAGCACGAGCATCTCAAAGGTCTCGCCAGAAACAACCACATACCGACTCCCCAGCAACTCCTCCAACCTGCCAGGCGTGCACACCAGAATGTCCGGACCGTCGCGCAGGAAGGCCTGCAAGTCGCTTCGGGCGTCACCATCGCCACCGCGCAACAGCTGCACTTTCAATCCAGCGGTCCCCGAGGATGGCTGGAACTGCAGAAGGGAGGACAGGACGGAGAATATCTGCCCGGCCAACTCCCGCGTCGGGATGATGACTATCCCGCCGATGTGGTGTCTCCGGCGCTCCGCGCTGGACAGGCGCTGGATGAGCGGGAGGAGGTAGGAGAGGGTTTTCCCGCTGCCGGTTACCGCCTCGACGACCACATCCTTGTTTCCCAGGAAGAGAGGGATCGTGCTTGCCTGTACGGGCGTCATGCGCTCGAAGGAGAGGGTTTGCAACGCTGTGTGGAGCCATGGGGATAGTGGGGGGTTTAAGGATGTCCAGGATTGGGGGTCGTTGGTGGGGGGGCTCGATGCGGCGGGTTCTGTTGGCGGTGAGGGTGATGACGATGGTAATGCTGGGGTGGAGGTTGCCGCCATTGTCGGGAGGGCGCGCTTTTTGGCGTTCTTTTTGGATGGCATGGTCGGTTTTGCGGTGGCAGTGGCTGCGTCGGGGAGATTGATTGATGAATGGATGGATGGTGGAGTTTCTTTTTTGAAAGGTTTCACAATACAGTAATCTACCTGGGGAAAAAAAATGTTGGTTGCTGGAGGTTTAAGAATCTAGGCTTGGCGGTAGGGTCTTAAGCTTATCGATAAGAGCCCCACTACGGAAATTCTCTCAAAGGAGCTGGGTGCAATTATATGATGCAGTACAGTACCCGGATCTGATCCACTTTTCCGACTCCGGGGCTAAACGCTTCTAATTGGAATTTATTCGAGATCATACATGTCACAGCACTCGATAACAAATACTGGTGCTAATTCAATGCCCCGACCAATCATAACCATTGCGTATTGTGATAGAAATAGCAGATGCACAGGAGCTGAACCGCGGCCTTCCATTCCCGTCCTATACCAGTCTCCCTCTCTGCACTTTATCCCGGGCTCCCCCTCCATTTCTACCAGCCACCCATGAACTATCCCGCAAAACGCCAACCTAAACAGAACCATTGAAAACAAACGCAGGAAAAGGCTAGTCCAGGAGATCAATCAATCGTTCCTGAAAAGAACACTGATACTTTCTCCGTGGTGGACCCGTCTGATCGCCTATCCTTCCGTCAGCATCTAACGTCCCAAGCATGAAGCGGGGATGGGCCGGTAGAGAAAAAGCAGACCTCGGCAAAAACCTCAGCAACGTCCAAGACCACCAACTTATCACAAAGCCTCTTGTGTTGGTCTTGAGGTACACTGTTCGTAGTGATGACTTTATCAAGAGCCGAAGCGTTTATCCTATCGATAGCGTCCCCAGAGAAAACGCCATGAGTAACCAGGGCATACACTCTGGTCGCGCCGCCTTTACCCTTTAGTAGTTTGGCCGCTCTGGTAATAGTGTTGCTAGTGTCCGCCATATCGTCCACAAGGATAGCTACCTTGCCAACGATATCACCGACAAGCATCATTGTAGCGTTCTGACGGTCCGTGATGCGAGTGGGACGGCGCTCCTGCGGGACATTTAGATCTTTGCTCATGAACCAAAGGTATGAAGGGTGATAGGGATCCTGGAACATAAGGAAAAGGGCTATTCTGAACCTTGTGGATCAATGCAAATTCCATTCCCAGAGCGTCCGCGATAGCCGTGGCACGCTTTGCACCACCAGCATCGGGAGATACGATGACCGCGTTTTGATAGTCGGGGATGTTGTACTTGATATACCTTTGTAGCAGCGGTCTTCCGTAGAGATTGTCAACAGGAATGTCGAAAAAGCCCTGGTACTGCGGGTCATGAAGATCCATTGTTATGATGTGATCGGCTCCAGCGCACGTTAGAAGGTCGGCAACCAGGGTACCAGCTTGAGCAACCCATTGCTTGTAACCGGTTCCCTTGGGTGGGACCCATTCATTAGTATTCACCGATGAGGATACACTAGAGGAGCCTTGGTAGTTCTGGTGGTGTTGGTGATGGTGGTTGTAGCGTCCTTTGGCGGTATCGCTGCCGATAGACTCCGCAGTGTTGGTCCTCCGAAGGGGCGTGGGTGGGTGCGACTTTACCCTATCCACACCATTAACACCACCATCCACACCCCTCTCCAATGCGATCCTGCTAAGCTCCTTCTCCAACCCGCCATGCGAGACTCCCAATCCGGGGGAGTCCATGGGGCCGGGCGTGCCCGGCCTGCTCTCAAAAGTAAAGTCGTTCTTCCCACCGTTGAGGGTAGGCGCCTTGCTCAACGGGGCTCCAGTCTTATTGTAGGGAATGTCCGACTGCCGGCTGTACGGAAAATGGGGGAGCACAGCCGTGACACGTTTGGCGGATGCCGTCTTGCACGCCGATATGGTGATGAGCAGCTCGACCAGGTGATCGTTCACCTTTCCGCAACCGGACTGAATGACAAAGACGTCTTTCCCGCGGACAGAATCCTGTATCTCAACACGGGTTTCGCCAACCGCAAACTTGGAGAGGGTGATGCGGCCGTTGGGTATACCGAGGAGATGACAGACAGTGTTGACAAGGTCGGGGTGGGAAGAGCCCCCAAGAACGACAATATTGCGAACCATGATGTTTGTGTTTGGTGGGGAGAAGGAAGGGGCTTCCAGAGCTTTCCGATGTATCAGATCAGGTCCGAGTGTGGGACCTACCGTAGGCAAAGACTAATTAGGGAGAACCAGTCAAACTCGAGATAGGAGTTGCTGAGAGAGATGGTGTAGAATCCCTGTTTGCTGTGGGTAGCAATTGGGGGAGGGGAGGAAAGGGAGAAAGGTCGGGGGAAGGTGGGGTGAAGACGAAAAGCCTTCATTGTTTTTCGGGAGTTATTTTTTTTCTCCTAACCTTATTCTTTCCTTTCTGGGCCGACTCCATGCAACAAATATGCGCCAAGAGCGTTACTGTATCTCACACCAACAGAAACCGAGGGCTGAGATGCTTTAAATTTACACAGGAATAAATGACATGACCGCCAAGCCAACTGCATCCGAGATGATTGGGCCTTCAAAGTCTCCTTCCTCGATGCCTTTGTTTCATAGGCTTACTGAGGTCTTGAAAACTTCACTTTGCTCGAGCAGAGCCTCATTACAACAGATGCTCTGACATCAGATGACCTAGGCTATTATCTAACCATAAAAAAAAGACCACTGAATTTATGAATTACTCCGCAGCAAGAAAGAAAGAAAAAGACTGTTAATAAATTTACATTTTTGCAACCCTACACTACACAGGGGGGGGGGGTGGGGGACAGGCGAAAAAGAAATAACAGGAGACGTCCCGTTTACAAAACTTGTCCATAACCACTTTTAACATCAAGCGACAACTAGTTCCCCACACTATTTACCAATCGCCATCGTCTTCATCGTCTGTCCACAGAGTCAGCCCAGGGTCATTCGACCAGAAAACGTAGGGAAAACTCACCACTTTGATTCGATACTCTCCCCTTCCTCTTGTTTAGCTCTGCTTGTAATGCCTCCATTGGGTTAACAGCCTTTGGTTTAGCTGCGGGACCCGGCAGCGGTGCGCCACCAGTAGCAGGACCTTTAGGAGCCTTCTTGAGAGCGCTTATTCCTCCCGCGCCTCGAATGCTGGCTAATAGGTCCCCTCTACCACCGCCTGCTGCTGGTAACGGGGGAGCAGCTCCACCCGGTGCACTATCAGACATTCCAGGAAGTGGCGGAGGCGGTGGTGGGGGCGGACCTCCTCCAAACCCTGGGAGTGGGGGTGCTGGGGGTGCGCTCCCGCCAAAGCCCGGAAGGGGCGAGGGTGGGGGAGCTGGCGCGCCAAAGTTCGGTAATGGGGGTGGAGGTGGAGCCGAGGTATTGAAGCCAGGGAGTGGTGGAGGTGGAGGTGGAGGTGGGGCAGACGTGCCAAAGCCGGGCATTGGAGGTGGCGGTGGTGGGGGGGCTCCATTAAAGCCGGGCACTGATGGAGACGGGGGCGGAGGTGGGGCACTTGGAAGCACTGGCACCGGAGGGGCCGGCGCGGGCGGCAAGGGGGGTGGTGGCGGCATATCTATACATTCGGCGGTGGTTAGCAACTATACAACAGAATCAATGCACTGCGAAAGTGTGCAAACCTCGTGCTGGCGGTGCCGGTGGTTCTACAGCCGGTCTTGGAGGCGGAGGAGGGCCGGGATACTGCGCTCTCGAAGGCAGACTGGGAGGTGGCCCTCTGCTGGGCGCTGGCGGAGGCCGGTTGACGGGCGCTTGAAGAGGAGGTGGAACCCCAAACCGAGGCGGAGATGGATGTGAATCCTCCAGAGGTGTCTTTGGGGGCAGCGGAGGAGCACTCGGTGGTGGAGGGACCGGAGCATGTCTTGGAGGAACAGAACTGGCATAAACCCCGGCGTTTGGCAATGGAGGAGGCACCTTGAAGGGTTGTGGAGGCGGGGGTGGGGGTTGAGATGGGGAAGGCTCCCTCGGTGCGGGGGCTGGGGAAAGGGCGGGTGTTACTGGCGGAGGTACCGGAGATCTTAGTGGGGGAGGGGGAGAGTGGGATTCTCCCTGGGCAAGAACATGGGATTTTCTAGCAGGAGGGGGCGGTGGAGGCGGTCCCCTTTTGGAAGCCGTTGAACTTCCAGTAACTTGAGGACTCAAAGACCCATTTCTTGACATTGGTGGCGGCCCAGGCGGCGGAGGTGGCGGAGCCTTACCCCGTCTGTTCACCCCAATCTTCGGTGAATTCGGTGACACCATTTCATGCACCACACCATTCCCATTCGTATAGCCAGCTCGCTCCTGTTCCTGCTTCCTATTCTTTTCCTTCTCGTCGATATAGCTCTTTATGAAATCCTCATTCTCCCTGAGCACATCCTCGGTAATTCCCATTCCCATCAGTTCCCTGAGAAGCTCCTGAAATTCCGGGTCGGGGTTGTCCAGTGAATAGCGACCGGATGCCACACCATTTGTGTTTGGCGAACTCCTATTATTCGAGGGTGGAGGCGGGGGTGGAGGTGGAGGTGAAACTGGAGGTGGGGCAGCTGGTGTTGAGGCAGGAGCCGAATGGTGCTGAAGAATGGGACGAACCGGTATACCAAGGTGACCACCATGGCCCGAAGACGAGCGATGGCCTTTCGACTTTGCATGCTTATCCCTCGCCTCAACTTTCTTGAAAAATCCAGCAGCTTCCTTCTCATCAGCGAAAGAGAAACCAGCCATGCACTCGTCAAGTTCAAAAGTGTGGAAAAAGGTCCTATCCTGATTGTACCTGAAGCCCTCGTAGAGCTCCTGATCCCATATCACACCCCTGTTACTCTTTTTTTTTTTTCGTAAAAAGTCAGCTCCGCGTTGAGGTTAAAGGGATCAATAATAAGCCTCCGACGTACAGTGACATCGACAATCTTGAAGAAAAAGGTATGTCCCACCAGGTCCTCGGCCAGGACCACAGCACCACTTATACCAGTAAAAGTCCATTTACGTTGGTCCGGATGGTTGACATAGAGTCTCGCGACGGCGACCGTGATGATATTATTCGAGGGACTTGGAACGGCGCGTTTGACGACAACTCTGTCATCCTTGTTGAGTATAGAAGGCATGTCAATAATGGAGCTTGTTCAAGTGACGACAGCGAGGGCTGAAGTTGGTCTAAAGTAGCGGTGAGCCAGAGCGGAATCTAAAGCTAATACTCCTTGCCGTTAAATAATGCAGCGGGTTGCTGTTGTGGCGGTGAGGAAGAGATACAATGTACTTGTATATTTCTCCTCGATGATTTGAAAAAGGGAAAAGGAGTGACCAAGGGTAAGGAGGGGGGTCAGAGAGAGGAGTGATAAGGGAAACGGCCGTTCGGAGGAGGAGGGGGAGAGGGGTGGCGGTTACTAACGTGGGCGGAGGGAGGGAGAGAGGGGGGCGGAGGGAGAGGGTGAGGGAGAGGGTGAGAGTACTCGAGTACAAGTGGCCGCACCGCACGATAAGTTACGCAGCTTCTTATCATAGAAAAAGATGACGACCAAAACACAGTTACAGTATCCAGATCTAAGCTGAGCCCAGAACCCGCCACCTGTGGCTGAGTCGGGAATCTCCCAAAATTCCACTAGCTGCTAGTCTTCCCCTTGAAAAAGGCATGGTAAAGTCGGGGTCGGGGGTTGTATATATGATACAATACCATTGTTCCAGTTCCACACATTCTTTCATGCCCAAAAAATTCTTAACGGGACAGAAAATTTGCTACAATGTCATGAACTTGACTGCATGAGCATAGCAGCCTACGACAGGTTACTCTACTTGGGGGCGAAGCACAGAGCCTTGCATTTCGCATCTCCCGTACTGTAATACGTACAGTACGGCTACAGTGGCGTATGATACGCTGTGATGTCTTAGAAACTGGAATAATCGAGAATCCCACCGACCTGAAGACGCCGGAGTCCTCCCCCTCCCGATATGGTAGACTATCGGTATCGTACTTTCCTTTCTTCGCCTGTCTCAGCCGAGGGCTGAGAGAATTTTATTTTTTCTTCCTTTCTGGGCGTCCCGGCCCCATTCCCAACAGCTCCAGTCCTTACGGCACGGTGCCAGCGCCTGGGGGCCTCATACTATCCGTAGTCCACTTGCACTCCACACGTATGACTTCTAATCACCCATGAGCTGGAGGAAATGCGGTTCCCACAGCCACATGCAAAGGTTCGTCTTAGCTCAGACGGGTATTTTGTCCTTGGCGACTAAGCACGAGTCCGAGCATGGAACTCGGAATACGAATGCTCTGCCATGAGCCAAGACACCCTTCGGCTTTGGAATCTAATTTACTCGTAGACCTTAGGGGTTGCATTAGCTTGCGTCATGGACATCACTCGAAAAATACACGGTTGTTGAAGGCGATGAAGACCGGTAGTGCTAGCCTGCTAGCTCGTTCTTACTTGTACTTAACTTAGTCCACTCTAACCACTCTGATCCCATACAGGTAGTATTGTAATAGCATTGCCCTACCATAGTTTCAGTTCCCGATATTCCGCGACCGCCTATCGAATAGGTAAACGAACAAACAAACATGCTTTTGCAAAGAACGAAACCTTAACTAACAATCCACCCAACTAGGGGTAAAAAACAAGAATATCGACAGAAGGGCGGAAAACTATCTCCGACTATCCAGCCATTCCAGTCTAATGCCCACAGCCCTTCTATGAGCTTCTAGCTCCTCCACCTTTGCCAGCTGCATTACCGCACCGCCAACGTTTCTCAAACCTTGCTCTGTCAATTCTGAGCTCGTTAGATGCTTAACGTAGGTCGCGAGGTTGACGCCGCTGTATTGTCTCGCGTAGCCGTATGTTGCTGGTGCCCAAGTTAGCCTAAGTCACCGGGATACCAAGAGGGGGGGGAGGGAATCATACGCAAAGAGTGATTGACACCAGCGCTATAATCACCAACAGACTCTGGGGTCCAGTGGCCGATGAACACACTTCCGGCATGTTGTACCAAATCAACTGCTTTTGCAGCATCCTTGATCTGGAGAATCAGGTGCTCGGGAGCATATTGGTTGCTGAGTTCAATGGCCTCCTCGACAGTATCTGTTTGAAGAGTGACCGAGTGGCCGATTGAGCCGCGAACAATGTCTACCCTAGGAAGCGCTAGAGCTTGCTTTTCTAATTCTTCCTCGATAGCGGCAAGCTGTTCCTCGGTTAATCCGACGGCTATCAAAATAACCTGGGAATCTTCACCGTGCTCAGCTTGGGAGAGCAGATCTGAGGCAACGAATGCTGGATTGGCCTCCGCGTCTGCGACCACAAGGACCTCGGATGGTCCGGCAGGCATGTCAATACTGACACCTGCGCTCGTGTCGTTGCTCACGAACATCTTGCCGGCAGTAACAAATTGGTTACCTGGACCGAGGATCTTATCGACCTTGGGAACAGTTTCTGTTCCGTACGCGAGTGCTGCCACAGCCTGAGCGCCTCCTGCAAGGACAATTGCTTCTGCACCAACCTTTTGTGCCACATAGAGGATCTCTGGAGTCACGCTTCCGTCTTTTCTCGGTGGCGATGCGAAAATTATTTTCTTGCAACCTGCGACTAGTGCGGGAACCCCGAGCATCAATGCTGTAGAGGGGAGCACAGCTGTCCCTCCTGGAATATAAAGACCCACCCGCTCAATGGGGCGGACGAAACGGGAGCATTTGACACCTGGCATTGTTTCAACAACCAAGGTGCCCCTTTCCTTTTGGCCTTCGTGAAACTTCCTGATGTTCTCGAAGGAGAGGTCTATAGCATCAATTGTCTCCTGAGGAAGCTGCATGAGCTCGGTTGGGAATGGTGCGCTCAGCACTGCTGATTTAAGACCAACAGCCTTGTCAAACTTTGCAGCATATTCAATCAATGCAGCGTCCCCTCTCTGCTTAACGGACTCAATGATAGGAGTGACTATCCCCATGATATCACTAGCCCTCTGTGCGGGCCGTTTGAGGATCCCCTCGAGTTCTCGGGGGGAAGATGTTTTCGGGTTGAATCTTGCCATCTTTATCCTTTCATCAGTCTTTACTTCAGATCGCTCTGTTGCAAGTTTGACAGCCTCAGGGGCGAGCTTAACGCCCCCCCTCTCAGTATCCTCAGAGGGGGTTTGGGTATCGCCTTTACCAACCCATTTCTCCTTCGCATCACCCTTCCTTCTGATGACTTTCAAGCTCTTGGCATCGAGATTTCTCTCGATATCTTGAAAGCTAACACCCGCTCCTGTGCATTTGGTAAGTGCAAAGTATATAAGATCTGCTGCCTCGAAGGCGATATCCTCCTTAGTCTTTGCCTGACAGAGCTCCTCAGCCTCCTCCATAATCTTTGCTTGAAGGAGCTTCTCATCTGAGAAGAGACGGGCAGTATATGACCCAGCGGGTGCAGACTCCTTTCTTAACGTTAGAGTTTTTTGTAGACGGGAGATCCCTCTGTATTCACCAAAACAGGTAGCAGTCTGGAGATGGCAGAAACCTGGGGGCCCAATCAGCTGGGTTCTGGTTCGGCATGTCTGAGGTAATGACTCACCATTACCCTTCTGTCTCACAACGAACCTCAAACAGTCACCATCACAATCGAGGTCAATTTTCACAAGCTCTTGCACAGCACCACTAGTAGCACCTTTGTACCACAAACCCCTCTTCCTGCTCTGGTAAACCCCTGCACCGGTCTTCAAGCTCTCTTTCACACTCTCGGGGGAAGAGTACACCAGTCCAAGGGCAATCCCAGCTTCGTCTGTAACTAGTGTAGAAATAAGCTTATCCTGTCGGTCCGAGCTGACAGCCGCAATAACGATATCCCCAATGGAGAGCTTTGCCGGCTCCTTCTCCGGGTCGACTGTCAATTCCTCGGCGGCAACAATTGGAGTAGCGGCGAGTTTCCCAATCGCCTCCACGTCTTTCAGAGAGGGCGCATACCCGAACGAAACAAAAACCGGAGGTCTATCATCGGACCCATACTCTTTTAGCCAGCCAGTGGTAAAGTCAAAGTCGATAATCTTGTGCGCATAGAGACCAACGGAAGTGTCCAAAATTGCCTCAGCAACCTTTCCATCGCCCTGATGAGAAGTGTCGAGTAGTATAGCCAAGCGTGAGTCGTCAACCTGGGGCTGTAAAACTCGTAGTTGATCGTATGTAACAAACACCCTACACGCACCGGCATTGAGCAACGAGCAGATGTCGTCCACAGAAGGAAGGGCAGCGACATTGACTGAGAATGCGAAGCGGTGGAAGTTCTTGGGAATAAACGTCAAGGCCTCATCCAGGTTCTCCGGACCGACTGTTATGGAGACGTGACCGACATAGGATAGCGCAGGGGTGAGCTCGGACTCCGAGAGCGAACTAAGCGAAGCAACCAGTGGGACAGACATCCTCGCCGAGAGATCGAAAGGGCAGTTGTGAAAACTTGCGTGCAGGATTCCCAATTGCTTGACGGTGGCTTGCGGAATCAATGGTGGGGCAGGCAGGAGCAATGGTGGGGCACCGTCATAAGGATATAAATTACCCGTCATCGACGAAATTAACATACTGCTGACTGTACCATCTCCAACTGCCCTTCCTCCATTCCCCCCTCTCTCTCGAACCCCATAAGTTATATCCCCGCCTCGCCTCGCCGTACCCTTCCCCAGATTCCTAAACCCCAACACGAACGGGCAGCGAAAATGGCCGAACCTAACGGGGTCACGGCGGACACGGACGCAGCTCCAAATCCTCCACCACCCGCAAATAACGAAACTTCGACTTCACAACCTCCCAACACACAGGGAGAGACAAAGTCCTCCGATAATACAAACGGCAATATGGAAGCCCCCGGGTCAAAAAGGCCTCGGGATGCGCGCATCATTCATCTTATTCTTTCCTCCCTGGGCGTAACCTCCTACCAAGAGCGAGTCCCGCTAATGCTCATGGACTTTGCTTACCGTTAGTGGCGATTTTAGTCTTCCGTTCCGATCATCATCCTCGTTCTGAGTTCGCTGACGCTCGCTATTCTCTCCCTATTGGGTCGGTGCAGGTTACACATCCTCTGTTCTTCAGGACGCGCTTCTATTCTCCGATGCGATTAATGGTACGGCCAACACCGGCGGTACCAATCCCCCTGCCACTATTACAATCCAAGATCTTCGCATGTCGGTCGCTTCTCGAATAAACCATCAATTCAACACCTCGCTACCAAAGGAGTTCCTGCTGGAGATTGCTCAGGAACGGAATAGGGTTGCGCTGCCTACCGTCGGCAAGGAATTCGGTGTTAGGCTTCCCCCCGAGAAGTACTGTCTCACCGGCATCAATTGGGACTTGTCGGAGACCCGTGAGGACTGGATGAATGAGTCGGATGAGGAACCCGAGGCGAGCGGTGCAATGGTTGATGCACCCGGTGAGAGGATGGAATTGGATGTGCTCGGCAGCGGTGGTCAAGATGGCGATTCTCTTATGCTAGATGCTTAATGGCCGGAAGAGAGGGGAGGGGTGTATTTGATATATTTGAACGGTTCGGGCTCGTTTGTTATACATAAAAAACGGCGTTTTAGGGATATTTTCTTAGTGTAAACCCATTAGTTCTGCTCGAGAGCAAGTAGATTAACAACCACCATCGCACCAAAAACGTAATCTGCACCTTGGTGAAGTAGCGAATGTATACAATACCAATTGCACAGCCAACTTTCCCGAAGCCCTCTCACCACCTCTAATATACAATGCACCCCTCAAAATACACATGTTAATTACACAATTTCAAGATAAAAAACGCCAACACCCAACAAAAAAACTCACCTGTTCTAACCCCGACCCGTCATTCCTCCTTCCCCTCCACACGCCCACGCCCCTTACCAACAACCTCCACCACCCCCCTCCTGCTAAGCCACTCCTCCCTCGCAATATCACGATTCTCCTGCGTAGCGTGCGAAACCATGCAACTATTCATCCCCCTCCGCTGATCACGACACGCCCACGCCGCGGACACCGTGCGATTTCGCGCGCACTCCACGAATTCTAGATCAAGTTAGGACCCAGTTCAGAGCGGGGGGAGAAGGAAGGCGGGTAGGTGAGCGGGGTAAAACGTTTTATCTCTTCCGCGCAGAGGCCGCGGACGCGGGCGTAGTAGAGGTCTCGTATTTGGCCTTCTTGGTGGGCGGAGAGGGGGCGGGGGCGGGGGGGTGGTTCTGAGGTTGAGGTTGTGGGTGGGGGTGGGGGAGTGGCGGAGGTGGAGGTGGATTGGGCTGTTGTTGTGGTCATTTAGTTGGAGGGGTTTTTTTTTTCTTTTTTTAGTTTGCTGTGGTTTGGAGGAGGGAGAGGAATGGGTTTTGGTGGATTGGAAGTATTTGGTGGAGGAGAAGGAAGTGGTTTTCGCCGTCATGGGATATCAGACGACGTTGTTTGTGGCTAGTGGTATTGAACCTAACGATTTCATTGGTCATGTGATTACCTAGCAGGTCATACTTGCGCGGTGCATTGGTAAAGCCCAGGGTTCGCGAGCGGGTCCCAATACAATTGCATAGCTATTTAGGCACAAGTGCCGGGGATCGAGTTTCAAACCAACCTATTCTCACCAAGGAGTTTGGCGGGGGTGATGTGATCTTCATGAGTTGTCACTCGAATGTACCGTTTTCAGGAAACTTTGCTCAGTTCTGCCAGGCCCAGGTTGTAGGGAAATTGAAGGCAGTCAGATAGACCGAAGGGGCCGGTATCACCGCTTGCCCCAGTAATTACAGTATGGTACAATTCCCTCTCTCTATCACCATCACCATCACCACTGGATCTATGGTTTGTATCAGGGAAGAGACAGGTACGGGCAGGGTTTGTTCCAAAAGAAAACCTATCCGCAGAGAAATCTTTGAATGAAAAAGATAGAACCCCCGTGGGAAAGTGGAACGAAAAGGGAAGAAAGAAATATAGCCAAAAGAAATTCGTAGCCTAGTTGGTTCGAGCCTCAATCCACATCCATCCCATCACCAGCAGGAACAACTCGTCTCTTCTTCGCAGCCTTGACAGGGATCTTAACCTTGACCATCTCCTTCTCAACCTCGGCCTCCGAATCATCGAGAGCCATGCTATCCTGCGCCTCGGCTTCCGCGGCGGCCTCGGTAGCAGTCCTCATCTCCTTCGGCAGCAAGTGCTGGTTCTCGTCCACGAGCTTCCTGTTCGCCTCGCGCTCTCGCTGCTTGTTACCAGCCATGCGGTTCTTGTAGAAGACCCTCTCGCGACGGGCCTTGATTTCCTCCACACGCTGCATAGCATTGAGGGTCTTGGCCACGAGGTCACGGGAGTAGCGTGTGGGGACATGGCGGCGCGCGGCGAAAGTTAAGGTTGTGTCGACGACCATCTCTTTCCCGGCCGCTTTACGGAAGGCTTTCGTCCATTTGAGTTTGCGGGGGTTACCTGGGAGGGTGCTTTGTTAGATTTGAAAGAACAGAAATAGAGGCGAAGATGTTTGAGGATGGATGTATGTATGGGTGGGAAGAGCCAACGTTTCATCTTGAAGTTCTTGTGACATTTACTTCTGCAAAAGCGGAATTCTTTTGCATCGTTACGGACAAACATTATCCCATGACCTGGGTATATGGGTCCGCTGCTGTAAAATCCGTTGAGTTTTTCGTCAGCACAATTCTCTATAGATCACCCATAAATGACGGGATCATAGATGCACATACCAAAAATGGCATTGATAGATCCTCATTTTGAACCACCAGGGTTTCTATAATACCCTCGTCGAAAAGTTGTTGGAAGAATCGCAAACTCAGTGATCAACGGCCAGGTAGGTTGGCGGTTGCAGTGGGTGAAAGAAAGGCTTTAAAGATTACGGTACAGTTGCTGCACCCGGTGGCTTCTTCTGTCTGGGAAAAAAAAAAAATCGAGAACCGATAATATATATTGGCGCCAAGCAATAGAGACCAGTCCACCTCTAGCAGTTTCAAACCCCCGACAACTTCTCTTGAAAAATACCCTTACATCGCAGCACGGTCAATCCTCGCCACCACAACTTACAACGACAATGTCTACCCCAATCCTTATTGGCATCGGAATCGCCAGCGCAGGTATATTACGCCCTCCGTCCTAGTTCTAAAAACCCGACCACCGCTAACGCACACCCGCACAGCCGTTGCCGTAAGTCCCCATTCACATCCGGGCCCCACCAACCCCTCCTCCCCACAACGACAAAACTGACCCTCCACCCCTAGGCCCGCATCGGCCTGCAAGCCTTCAAACGCTACAAAGCTCTGGGTAGTGGCGCCGTCACCTTTGGAAAAAACTTCTACCGGGGCGGCTTCGAGACGCGCATGAATAGACGAGAGGCAGCTTTGATTCTGCAATTGAGGTATCCCCCCCCTCCACCTACTCTTTCAGTATTGCCTTGTAGATACTGAGCATAACTGATGGTGTGCGTAGTGAGAGATCTGTCACCAAGCAGAATGTTCGCAAACGGCATCGTGAGATGATGTTGTTGAATCATCCCGATCGTGGGGGGAGTCCGTACCTTGCTGGGAAGATTAATGAGGCCAAGGAGTTTTTAGAGAAGCATGGTTGAGGTAGGGGAAGGGATGGCATGTTGTATAAATAAATGATAGGGAGGGGGTGGGGGGTTATGAAGCAAAGTAGATTCATTTGGGTGGCGTCTTTGGATCATTATTGGAATTGGGTTGGTATGCGGTCATAGAATTGATATATAATCTTCGCTCTCACAGTGAGTTCTTTTTTTTGGGGGGGGGGTGAGTGCGGATATGCTCGAAGAGGAGCTTCCTATGAAAAGTCTTCAATGTCTGGATATCTGACATCTACATCTATTACTAATATCAGCTCTCAGGATGTCTGGTTGTGATGTATGGCTTGTATATGGTAATAGGTAGTGAGAGCGGTCTGCATCATCCTTCCAGAGTGGGGTTTTCCTCTTGGGAATTACACCACTTTTAATGTATTCAAAAGGTTCCTTCCCCCACTCTGGCCCCACCGATGACTGCCTAAACCTGGCTTACTCTAGCTCACAGATATCCTAACGTCCGTCATACCGAGTCACTCGTATTCCCTAGCGCATTTTCGGGGTGGTCAATAGAACCTCATTAAATCCATGGTATATATTATTGTCTATCGTGTAAAACATGCTCCCCCCCTCTAACATATCTCTTCAATACCCTCACAACTGCCTCCTCCTCCCCAGCCCCAGCCTTCCATGCCCCAACCTTCTTCCACTCCCCCCACAAAATCCTCTCTTCCTCCCGCATAACCTCCCAATTAGGGCTATGTTCACTCTTCAGCCACTTGAAGTCATCCACCTGGTCCCACAGGTTATTGACACTCTCCCATTCCCCGCCAAGGTGTGCATCCAACGGAGCAAACCTGACACCTGAGCAATCTTCAATAATAGGCCTCGAAGAGCAGAGTAGGTACACATCCACGTTTTTAGCGTCGTGCATGCGAAGCTGCCGGCACGCCACGAGTATCGTCGTGTTGCTCAGTGATGTGAGATGTATGGGTCCGTTTATAGCGTTAGAGAGGAAGAGTAGGGTGTTGGTGACGTTTTTGATGGCGGCGCTGGAGAAGAGTGGGGTTTCGGCAGTCGGGAAGAGAATTATGCTGCTGGAGATTTCAGAAAGTAGGAGGGAGGAGGTGGAGGTGGAGGTGGATGGAGGCCGTGTGTGGTTTATATATCTCCTGGAGAGGTTGGAGATTATTAAGTTATCTGTTATTGGTTGGTCGGAGGTAGGCGTTGTAAATTCTGTTTGGGTTTTTGAAGATGAGGAGGCGGAGGAGTTGGAGGACTTCATGGCTCCACCTATAGCGGCTGCGGTATCTTTGCCTTTACTCTTGAACGAGAATTTCTGCTTTGGGGTGATAGCTTTCCTAGTTTCTGACAACTTGTCTGAAAGGCCGCGGACTTGCTAATACATCAAACTGGGGGTCAGTCTATACGATCTCCAGCCGCTAGAGTCGGTAGTAGTAGCAGAGCATGACCACGAACCCCGGTGTAAGACCGCTGGTCGTAAGCCGGAAGATACGACGACGCATCCTTGACTGCATCCGACAGCGCCGATATCGCAGCTAGGCATCTATCAATGGCTTCCGGGCGCTCAGACGGACTTGCACTGGACAGCAGCTCGATTTGCGCTTCGAGAGCTAGACATCCACGGCAATAGGTTAGCTGGAACGTAAAAAGAAAAGGAGGGGTAAAATCGGGGGAATGGGATAATAAACACCAGCATGAGATTCGTGAAACCTCTCATAGAAATTCTGTTTAGTGTTCGCCTCAACGTCCATTGAATTGGGAATCGTGTGCAAAGGTAATTCCTGTGCTACCCATCGAGGGGCAATACCGTAGGCGTTGGATGGAGGGGTTGGTCTTGGCTTACATCTAAGTGCAGCAGGGGGGGCTCTGGAGGGTAACAACAATGGTTACTTTCATCTTTGCTACACTAGGAACTCGAGCACCAACAGCGGCAGTATGACAAGAATTCTAACCAAACCTCTTCAGCAATTCTCTACTTGAGACACCCTTACAATCTTAATAATGTCGCTCTTATCGACCTCTCTCCGGCGCCTCTCCAGGAGCGCAATTCCAAAGCTAACACCAACAGCAGTACCTACCAGATCCTTGGTTTCGACTCCTCAACTCAAGGACTACTTCACCCCAACACCCTTTGTCCACGAATCTGTGGGTGGAGGATGGCACTCTTGTACTTCCTCCTTGTCCCCCCTACTCCCTCCATCTCCACATACTAACCAAATCCACCTAGATGACATATTCTCCCGCCTCCTCAAAGAGCGCATAATCTGCCTCAACGGTCCTGTGCACGACGGAATAAGCGCAGTTGTGGTTGCCCAGCTCCTCTTCCTTGAAGCCGAGAACCCCGAGAAGCAAATAAACCTGTACATCAACTCCCCGGGAGGCAGCGTGACGGCCGGGTTGGCAATATACGATACGATGAATTACATCCAGGCCCCTGTTTCGACAATTTGCGTTGGGCAGGCAGCGTCCATGGGTTCGTTGTTATTGTGCGGTGGAGCAAAGGGGAAAAGGTATGCGCTTCCGCATGCTAGTATTATGGTTCATCAACCTAGTAGGTTCTTATTCTCGCCGTGGTTTGGGGGCAGAGGGGGCGAGTTGGCGGCAAAGTGTTAACTAGTGTTAACTGGTGTAGGTGGTGGATATACTGGACAGGCTAGGTGAGAGAGGGGGAATTCTTTTATTCTGTGAGACCGAGAGAGAGGGCTGATGGCCAAGGGGAATAGTGATATCGCGATCCACGCAAAGGAGATTCTCCGAGTTCGAGAAAGGCTAAATATAGTATACCAAAAGCACCTTACGAAACCCCACACACTTGAGCAGATTGGTAAGAACCGGTTCCATAACCACCACCTCTGGATACTGACAGCACGCTTGATTCCAGAAAAAATTATGGAGCGGGACCTCTTCATGGGTGCCGAAGAAGCGAAAGGGATGGGCTTGGTAGACGAGATCTTGGTCGCCCGAAAGAAGCCCTCGGAGGCTTCCTCGAAGTAAACGAATTCAAACACAACCACCCTTCATCCACTCGCTGCCATATATAAATGAATCGTCACCCACTCCCATAGTTGTATAATACATTCACTGATGTAAATATAAATAATAATGAAATAAATAAAGGGGTAAAAGAGTTTATTGCTATGGCAGGAAAACCAGTATAGTACAAATCATCATTGTCATGACCATCCACTTTAATCGACACCGTAACCCGATTACAAAAGAAACCCTAGTACAGTAGTAGAAGAGACCCATGGAATAAAATTAAATGATTGCTGTCACGCAAGAACCCTGCTGGGCTTCACCCTCTCTCCCTCCTCGTCCCACTCCCTTCTCGACACATATAGCTAGCAGTCTAGGTGAGTGTATATGTGCGTGTGCATGTGCGATCAAGGCGCGTTGGGCATGTTAGCAGAAGCCGCAAGGCACAAGTTCTTGTTGGTGAACTGGACTTTGTAGACTGGTGACTTTTTGGTATAGAATACTTGGAGGTGGTCGGGTCTGGTATCAAGCATTGGTTAATCAGTCTGCCGCAACAGTGAAGAATGGTTGGGTGGGTACTCACGTAGCGACAATCTCGGTCCTTTTGCGCTTATTAGATGCACCGGCCGAAGACGTACCATCAACCTTTGTAGCTCCGTCCCCGCCGGGTAGCACTCCACTACCGCCAGCCGCGGCAGTAGCACCAACACCCTCCGGAGCATCAGCCATGGGAGCGCCAGTCCCGTACGCAACGTCCCAGCAGCGAACAGTGTTGTCCGCGCCGCCGCTGAGCAGAATTGTGCCCTCCATTGAGAAGGTTAGCGAGTAGATACTGGTCTTACCATGGCCTCTCATTATCTTCAGGCGCTTCCCACTGGCGATGTCCCAGAGCATGATGGTGCTGTCTAGTCCTGCGGAGGCGAGCCACTTGCCGTTGGGGCTGATGGCCAAAGTCATGATGGTGCCAGTGTGTCCGGTGAACAGACGGACGGAGTTACCCGTCTGGATGTCCCACATGCGAATGGTCTTATCGGTGGACCCGGTAAAGACGTATGCAGAGTTGGGATGGAAGATGATGGTGTCCACGTCGTCCAGGTGGCCGGCGAAGATGCGGAGCGGGTAGATGTGGTCGCAGCTCCAGAGCCTGGCTGTGTGGTCGTGGCTGGCCGTGGCAAAGTAGTGTCCGTATGGGCCAAAGCGCACGTCCCAGACTGGGCTGTCGTGGCCTTTGTACGAGACTAGAGCCGTATATGTATCCAGGGACCAGAGGCGGACTGACTTGTCCTCGGAACAAGAGAGGAGGTACTTCTTATCCGGTGAGATGGAGACTCCGTAGATGGGTCCCGAATGCCCGATCAAGCGCCTGGTCTTGGGGGCGACTGGTATGTTTTCCGTTGGGATGATGGATATTAGGGGTGTGCCTTTTATGGAAAATATCCGAACATATGATTCCGCGAATCCGCCGGCCGCGATCGTGCCATCCTCCGAGAAGTCAACACATTGGAGACTAAACAATAACACACTATTAGCACAAACGCCCGACCCTGTCGGATTCGGTATCGTACCCATCGTTAGTGTTGTGAAAGGTATACATGAGCACGGACGGAAGCGCTGGTGCCGGAGCGCCAGACAACTTCATTTTCTCCCTGCTGTCCTTTACCAGCCTAACTTCCCTCTCAATGTCAACTCCGGTATATGGCGGCAAGGGGACCTGGTCCCTCATGGGACTATCCTCGCTTTCCTCCCTCTTTATCTTTTTATGGAATTCGTCCAGCAAACTGACATTGAAGTCGCCCCCTGCGGCATTCTCCGCTCCCATGGCGTCTTCATCCCTCAATTCATCTTCCACGTCAGCCATAAAGTCTGGGGCCATAGGCAAGGGCCCAAGCTTAATCACCGGGAGTATCGCCCCGGATTCCGAGCGCCCAGAAGTATGGCCGGTAATCCCCTCATCCTCGCCCAGAATTCCTTCCTCCTCTCCGAACATGGTAGGGCGCCCTATGGTAATTCTCATCTCGATACGATCGTTGATGATCCTAAGTATAACCTTTCCACCGTTATCCTCAGTCTCTTCCAGAAAGTGCATCAAGAGATTAGATGTCGTCTTGGAGAAGTTGACTTTGTATTTGTTCTCGCGGTACAATCTCGCCAAGTGGTCATCGTCGACATGCTGTGGGAGGGAGAGGGCTTTGAGCTTCCTTAAATCGTCGGCATGGGCAGCCGCATGTTCGCCGGAGTGCTCCTCGAAGAAACTCTGGCTGGGCTTCACGTAGCCTTCCTTGACAAGCTGCAGGAACGAGTGTATAAAAACCGGGAACAAAAGCCTCCGCAACTCTGGCTATTCAAACCGTTAACTCACGGGTTTCCATTAAACCTTGACAAGACTTGCGCGCAGAGGGAAGGTGAGCGGGAAGCAAGCATACCTTGTAAATATCCAGCGAATTGTCAATCCAATTCTTCAAATGACCTGTCAAACACCAAATACCGTTAGCAATTGCGCTTTCAGGTGGACGAGCCGTGATGAAGACTTACTGTAAGCCTTTTCGTACTTAACGCCAGGCTGATCGTCCAAGTTGTTGAGGATGGGTCTCCCCTCGTGATCCGTGTGCGCTGATTCCACACGAAGCATGGCTTCAGTCTTTGCGTAGCCTTTCTTACTGAGATATTCTATTACGATCTGATTGAGTGCTTGTGGTGAACCTGCAGCATGAGCTCCTGCTCCAGGAGTAGCGGAAGGTCCCTGGGACGCCATTGCAGCTTAAAAGAATAACAAGAAGGGCCGTCAAATGGTCTTTGGTAAATGGTATTGCTGGGGCTTAGGTGCGCGGTTTTGGTGGGCCTGTGTATGATACTGTACAAGTAGATATGATACTGTACGAGTAGATATGGTCCCCCGAGAGAGGAATGGGTGCGCGCTGGCGGCAAATTAGCACGTGTTAGGGTAAGGTGGTTTGGTTGTTGCTAGCGTTGCTCTGTTGTTGCTAACTGGCACTCTCTCTGGCTTACTTAACTGTGGACGACCCAAAGAAAGACTAGCCTTGGCACTACCGTAATCATACGAACGGGGAAGATACGGTGATAACCCTTGGCTCTAACTTAAGCTCTCCTTCACTTCCTTCCGTGGGCAATATTTGTATGATAATATTATGATGCCAACTACTAGCATAGGCCCCTCCAGACCTCAAGGAATTTGGCAATTCTTTCTCTTTTTGGTCTGAGACTTTTTAGCCCCACACCAGTCAATGGGTAGATCTTGGGAGATGCATTCTCCACTTTTGCTGGCTAGGTCAGGAATATATGTTGGCAAGTGTTCACCTATGTGTACCACATAGTCTCATTATTATCAGAAAAGAAATCTTCTATAATAATTATACAATTATTTGTTTACTTAAATTCTATCATACTTTATTTTGCTGTAGCCATAGAGAACATTTTACTCTTTCAATATTAGTAACTACCATTTTCCAGGAGTTTGCCTTTAGTACCCTTCTTCTATTTCAACTGTTCTGGCTGTTTTGAGGACTGCCTTGTAATATAGAGTCTGAGGTCCTGGCCTGTTTGACAGGCTATTTTCATAGTATAAAAGTAACTTTTATAATATAAATTGCAGCAACAAAAGCTTTTTGTATAAGAGTGTATTTATTGCAAATAGGGACTCGGATATTGTGATATATTTTTATAATATATTTTTATAGCATAAATGTGAAAACAAAAAATATAAGTTAAGAATTAGAAAAGAGAACCCATAGCTGTATTATTATAAAATAAGTATATAAGAAACTATTTATATATTATAATACTAGTATTTAATCAATTTGTTAGGGGGTAAGTAACTCTAAAGTCAAGTAAGTATATACTAGGCCTAGTAGGAAAACAGGCAAACTTGTACATGATACAATTTTTATCATTTTCCCAAAACTGCACTCATATAGAATCTAATTGATTTATAATCCAAATCCCTCCGCCTGTATGAGTACCAAATTTTCCTCGCATTTATGTATCATAGTGCTGTTCTGGGCAGGACCATTATTCCAATTATGATGGTTCAAACATCATCCATCAAAAAAACATGCTCACCTACTGACAGAATGCTGACTTGGCCAATCAACAAGATTGGCCTCCCTTTAGTTGATGATAATAATGATAAGCCGCCATTTATATGATACCTTTTGGAGTTCAAGTTAGGAGGTATTGTAGCTCCAACTTCCACATTGGAATACTAAACCCCTCATCCAATGAGCGTGTGTGGGGAGGACATCTGAATGGCCGGGTATTATACTCGGTCCTTCAATCTGTCCTAACCGGGTCTACGCATTCTCTGAAGAATGCCCTTGTTTTAGGGAGCTAATCGTCTTATTCAATAAACTTGATCTCGGGAAAGATTCCTTCTCCCCCTACAGAAAACATGAAGGGGAGGGCTGGTATCATATGATAGTTAGGACTTTTTATTTTATGATTTTTTTATATTAAAATTTTGTCTACGGCAGTGGGTCCATCTTATTACACCTAGTATCACTCGTTGCCATTGTGCCATACTAACTACTGCCTCGCATAAGATAGAAAAAGAAAAAGAAAACATATCAGAACCATTCATTACGTCTGGTACATATTCGATCAAGCTTCTAATCCCCATATTGTCCAAGAGTTATAGTGGAATCATATCTCTATTTATTTATTTACTCATTCATCCACCACGCGCTGACCAACCCCTTCTTTTATCATCTATTCGCCTCATTCTCATCACCTAAAATCCCTCCCTCCATTGCAGGCTAGTCATCCCCCACCTCAAAAAACAAAGAGTAAGCTAGAAAGCTCACTTTAGCTTGGCTCGACTTCCCTATCAGCCGGTAATCAATCCCATTCTGTTGAAGTTGGAGCGCGGTTGGTTGGTTGGTTGGTTAGTAACTTAGGATGCTACTATGCTAATAAAGCTGTCTATATTATGACACTCGAGTCTAATTTACCCTCTACGATAATGGATACTATACGATATATCATATCTAGATCTATACCGCTACCGATTCGTGATTCTCTCAAGCCAGACAATGAGCCCTGATTGCCGGCGGGCGCACGATGATGATACCTGCCACCCATCCTATAATTTAGACTACTGGCGATATGGTGCTAATCCTTCCTCAACCACCGATCACTAGACCATCAACTCCCCCAGCTTTACATTTTGCAGTTTTCTCTTTTTTTCTTTTTTTATTACTACCCTCCTTACAATATAATAGCTTTCACCACCGACAGTCTGCAAATTTCATATCACAGGATTCTGCTCCACTCTTTCCACGTCCCTCCTCAGCTTGACCGAAATACTGCCAAACACGGCACCGGAGTGTCACATACCAGCAATACGGTTGTCACAAAATTATACCTAAATTATCAGATTGAAGAAAAACTAGGCTCTTTAGTTCCCCAGCCTCCCGGGGAGGATTTATTAACCAATTTACCCCGCCCAGAGCGACGGGTCATTCAATGGTGGTAATTCGTGGTGAGGGGGAGTTAAACTCCTCAGATCCTGCTGATTTGCAAGGGAGGGTTAATCTATCCTTCACCTCTTGGCCGCTGCACCCGGTTAGAATTTCACGTGATGTCACCATACGAACGAGTACTTATCATGCAAACTTGCAAGTATCCTGCCGGGGTGTGGGTTTGAACTTTCTTCTCCACCCGAGGCCAAGGATTCCGACATCGTGTTATCAGGACTGAATGAAACTACGAGTAGACACTTCACCGAGAAAAGTGAAATTACAAGGACTAATTACTGGCATCATAGCTGACAACAAAATTCTTTCGCCTGTAATGGAATAGGCGGGCCGGGGTAACGGTGGGGGGCTAGGATACTCCCGGTAGGGTGGGATTTGGAGGGGTTTACAGATCAGTGATCACAGACTTGTGGTCGGAGGCAGTCGAGCACCCGTACCGTACACTACATTGGGAGTGGAAAGCAGAATAGGGCAGGCAGCCATGCGATGCGACATTTATTGCTTATGATAGACTCGTTCAGAGCGTTGCATCCAATCATCAAACCAGACGTCTCGAGTATTTCTTACGATATTATACTTGCAGCAAAAGCCTTGATTGGTACTCGACAATTTGCCGAGTGATATTTCATGCAATTATTAGGGCAGCAATAATTGCTGAGTGTAGTCGCGCCAACATACAGCTCACAGTGGCTGCGCAGTTTACACACTCTGCGGGACAAGACACGGCCATTGTAGCTGTGGCCTGAGAACTTACCCTTGGAATTCTCGCTCCCGACAAGTACGAATACCACCACCACACATAACCCTAGCAGGGCTTGAATGGCTAGAGTTGCAGAATCACCGAACTCCATAACCCTGAAAAAAGAAAAAGAAGAAAGAGAGAGGTTGAAAATTACTTGAACTTAGCAGATCCAACCCCCCCGCAAAACAAGCCCAGAGTTTAATTTGTATGGCCCGAGATAGCTAGGAGAGACAAGGGTAGGTAGAGGGGGGGAAATAAAACCAAGAAAACATCTCGAATATTAATTTTGTTCGCTTTTTGTTTGCTGGCTCACAGCCGACGACCGCGCCTACCACCCTTGCGGCGAGTAGAGTCGGAAGGTGTGGGGGTAACATCCTCGATACGGCCGATACGCATACCTGATGAAGCATTAGTGATACGGGCCAAGTCAGGGGGCAGCAGAAGTGAAGACCTACCAGCACGAGCAAGAGCACGGAGAGCAGACTGAGCACCAGGGCCGGGGGTCTTGGTTCCATTGCCTAAAAAACGAAACCGTCAACATTTCCATCCCTAAGACCCCTTTCGAACGATCCCAACCAACCTCCAGTAGCACGAATCTTGATGTGCAAAGCAGTAACGCCAACCTCCTTGCAACGGGCTGCAACATCCTGAGCAGCCAGCATAGCAGCGTATGGCGAAGATTCGTCACGATCGGCCTTGACCTTCATTCCTCCGGTGACACGAACAATGGTTTCCCGTCCACTGGAAGAAGAAAAGATCAAAGGATCAATGAAGCGTCAGCCTCTACCCCTTGTAATATCTTTCTTCTTGTATATATATAATATATATATATATATATACATGCCCTCAGAATTCATGGTTGATTGGTCGAAACACACCTGAGATCGGTAACATGGACGAAAGTGTCATTGAAAGAAGCGAAGATGCGAGCGACACCGAAGACAAGTTCACCTGTTCTCTCGTGCAAAAGGGCCCGGGATTAGCCATCACAAGCTTCCCCCATCTAGCCTCATCCCTCGGAACGAAAAATTCGTAGGAAAAGAATACTGGACCGACCTTCACTAATTTGGGGTCCGAGAGAGATGTTTTCTTCCTTGCGTTCGACCTTCTTTCCCTTGGGAGCCATGGTGATTGTTTGATTCGTCGGTGGGGTATTGGTAAGGTCGTTGGTGTTGATGCAGTTTCTGGATCAATGGCTAGAGCTCGGTGAGAAGTTGCCAAAGTTCAAAGGTGATGTGTGGGGTTGTTGCGACTTGGCTGTGGACGGAAAGAAGCAGTCACAACGAAAACGCCCATCTAATCTCCCTGATAAGATACCATCTCCCGACCTTTCGCACTGAATGATTGACACCCTTGTATCATGCCGTGAGTTACCGATACAGTCATGCCTGTACGAGTATCATATCATCTGGTGCCAGTCACTTAAAACGTACTGTACCGTACTCGTACACCATGCTCCATGCAACACATAATGCCCAACGCCCTAAGAAACTAGTATTATCCTAGACCTGATGATTTCAGAAAAAAAAATACGTTTATTTGTGACTACTTCACATATTTAATAACAGTTGGTCTCAAGACTTATTGAGTAGTATATACATATACTTCATACTTATATAGCAAAAATCTTCAACACCAAACATCAGTTCCCATCAGTGGATAGTACGACTACTGGATAGCCAGGCTTTCGATATGGAGTTGGAATGAATCTGGTTTGAAACATTGACTTGTAATTGATGAGTCCTGAAACTAATATGTTAAATATATGAAGTATTATAGTTACAAATAAAAGTTAAAATTTTTCTGAAGACACTAGATTTAGGGTATGGTGCTTGATTCTTAGAGGGTTGAGCATTAAAATGCCGGGGGGGACAACCAACACGGGGGGACAATAAACACAGATCCGGTTTCTGGAAATACCTGTGGTGTACAATGTACTAATTGTGTATAATACTACCATATTTGGATTTTTTTAGTAGTATACTTACAAAAATATTTACAGAAATAAGGTGTCACAAACTGTGACTAAGCAAAGCAGATTTTACATAGCTCACAATACCGAGCTATAGGTATGTTAGGGATTTCACATGACACATACTAGTGCACCATAGGTTATTATATTTACCTGTTCGTAACTCACAGTTGTGAGTCACATGATATTATGAAGTTTCGCACATGACTCATACTTATGAGTCATGGGTTTCATTCAGGTGACGCGAGTTGCGCACCTGACTTGGTTATTATAGTTTGATTGGTTTTAGGCATGTTGCGCAGCGACTCATAGGAGTCGGCTGAGGAATTTCAGGTGATTCATAGTTATGAGTCACAAGGTTCGCGTGACGTATGAGTATGAGTCACGCCAGGTGAAGAGCTACTATATAAAGGGTCACTAGGACCCCTAGTATTAGCTCTTCACACATTCTTTTTGTTTATTTCCTACCTTTAAGTTATTATCAATAAAACCTACCTTTACGCTCTTTAAGACTTACCTTAAAGAAACCCAAGAATTGTCTTTCCTCCCACGAGAGGAGATTGAGTCCCAAGCAAGGACTCAGAAGAAGAATAAGGAGATAGGCGTGAACACGATAGTAGTCATAGGACTAGACTATCAGGATCGCGTAGGCATGGGCCTGAGAACTATCACCCTACAGAGAAGTATCGTTACCTGTCGCTAGGTCCTACTCGGTAGGATTCTTAACATAAGAGTTCTAGTATTACAGCTTGAGATTCTTTGCTCCTGCTATTTTCTGGTATATCCTCCCCACCTCTTCCATAACTCCTAACTCCATTTCATGAAAACTCCACTTACTAGCATCTTGCTGCCTGAAAGTGCAATCAGAGGACGGACTACATTCCCTAATAGGAGAGTACAAGTTCTTTTGCTCATCAAGCAAAGGATAAATTTTCTTGCAAATTTTACTCCATTGCTCATCATACTAACTGGCTGTTTTCCTGATTTTTGGAAGGGTATGCAGCTTCTCCTGCTCCAATACTTGAGCTTGCTTTTACTCTACCTCCTTCAACAAAGTATGTTGAGTTCCTATCGTCTTTTCAATTCTTTCCTTTCTTTCTGTCACTTTCTTTTCCTTTTCCTTCTCTTGCTTAATGAAAAACTTATTAACATCACTCTTATCTAACCAGGCTTATCCCATAGCAGGTATATGCTGTTGATTCTTTTATTTCTTTTTTCTCTCTTTTTTCTCAGTAGCTAACATATCTGAAATTTCATTTTCACACTATTCAGCTTACAACATGCTATGATTAGCGACATGTACAATGTTTCAAAACAGCTGTTACTGCTTTTAGCTTTGAGGTGAGTTAGAAGAGTATCTCTGTTCCCCTTCAAAAAGGTTTTCTTAATATCATAACTGACGAATATTTGTTAGTATATGAAACTTGGTTATTTCTTCTGTGGTAAGACCATTAAGTTATCCTGGCAATAGTACTTCTTTGACTAGCTCAGGAGTATGTGGAGGGGTTTTCAGATTAGGTATGTTACATAAAACAATATCCCTATCAATAGGTATATGACCTGTATTTCAAAATACTGACCAGATATTTTTAAGCATAAAGGATCTTTCACAGGCAAGGCTAACAATCTCATAAAAATTCTCATTTCCAATCCCCCACTTATGTCATACCCACCTCTTTCTTATCTGTTTTCAATAATGGTGTTTATAGAAACTGTTACACATATGAACACACAGACCTTCCCCGCGCGCAGACCTCCTGAAAACCGCGAAAAAATCCATGGCCAACACCCCCCTCCGGCTCCGCCGTTCACCCTGCGCGCAGTAGTAGAGTCGCCGGAATTTGGTGTCCTGACAGTATAAACCGGTTGAAACGAAGCATGCTTCATAACACCGTATACGTCGTCGCCGTCCGTCCGACCGAAAGCTGTTCGCAGGATATATAAGAGGGGACCTCAGGCCGTGTCTGAAAAGTGGAACGGAGTCAATCGGACGGGTAACCATGGAGCTAGAGGCTAAGCGAGATTGACCACCTCGGACATGGACAGAAAGTGTTGGGACGAAATCACCAACAGTCCAATGAGTTATCGGGACGTACCCGTATAGATGAGGCACGGAGCCCAGTCTTACGCTCACATAGTATAGAGCTAACCAGAGGCCTAGCTATGGTTGAGGGACTTTCCCACGACGTTGACTAGTCCGATCATGGCGGAAAGTCCTCAATGTTAATGCAGTCAAGTTGCGAAGTCAATGGTGCATTGATAAGTCTCTCGACGGAGCTGATCACTCCAGTCAGAGTTAGGAGGACAGCGAGCTGGCTCGAAGCGAGACCACTCGCTTGTACTTAAACCTCCGAGACGAAGGGATCATGCGTTTTCACCGGAGAGGTTTCAAACGCCCTCACGGAAACACGACAACGCATGGAAACTGTAGTCCGAGCAAGACGCAAAGTTTATCAGGGTCAAGCGGATGCCCATTAGGATAGTAAGGGTAGGAAATAGGAAAGGGTACATTGTTTGGTATAAGATAGATGTAGCCCGCGACCACCCAGACGTGGAATATAAATATCGAGGTGCCTCCTTAGCTTTCAGACATCCTCCGTCTCCGCTACACCTCCAGCGATTGAAAACTCAACACCACGGTTTTTATCATGAGTTTTTTGTTTCATCGCGAAACATTCTCCTCCCTCCCGCCCACTCCTGCCTTTGGCCTCGGCCTAGGGGAGTCTGGCTCCTCTCTCCTCTCCCACCCGGAGGTATTGACTTCGGTCTACCGTCCTAGGGTCCTCTCTCTCCCTGGGGGTTGGTCGGTCGGAGGCCCTCCTTGGCTGGCTGGCAGGTGGTGGGATTCCATCCACTACAGTGACGCTATCTCTCCCAGAACAAGGGACTACATGAGAGACGCGGTAAAACACCTGCCATGCTGGCCTAGGCGGCCGTTGATGACCTTCCTTACTCCCCCTGCCTCCTCCCCCCACGCGTGGTGGGGAGTCCTATCCTCCTCCTGAGTTGGCCTCGCTTAGCCTTCTCATGGTCGGCAACCCCTTAACCACCATCGTCAGACGGCCGGGACTACAGTCGCAGTAGAGGAGAACAGCCAACAGGCTACGGTCGATCTCCCCGTTCTCTTGCTTCCCTAAGAGGCTGCCTAGTCAGATACGAACGCATTTCCGATAGACGTTGTTAAAGGTCTTTGGGTCTACCCCTCTACTCTCCTCTCCCTACGGTCGGATCGGCTGGCACCCTACTGCTACACCTTCCCCTCCCCCCGGTTATCGCCCACGGCCGGCTGGTCTCCTCCTTCCCTCCATGGTATTGCACTGTCTCCTTGGAGGCTCTGGGGGGGACCCCCTATCTTAGCGCGCTTCGTGCGTCACTTCCTGCTTGAATGAGTGGACTCGCCCTTCGGGGCCTACGTGGCTTGCTACTAACCTTTCTTTTGTCTTTTTGAGATTTCTCAGCGGGTTTTCCTGGCCCTTCCTGCTTTCTTCTTAGTTAGGATTTCCTTGTTCGTCCATCTAGCCGGGCTTGGGTTTCTTTTCTTTGAGGCGAGATGTGCGGTTGGCTCCATACCAGAGGGGCTTGGGGGGTTGGCTTTTTCCTGTGGCGAGAGGAGGGATATGGGTTTTTTGTCGTCATAGCTAGCGCTCCATACGTTTTTTGTACCCTAAACAAATAATCAATGAGTTAAACAAAAAAAAAAAAATCCTTAGCTTTCAGAATTATCAGCGAACGAAGAAGAGATCTTATCAATATATTCATTATACTTTGATACATACTTTTGTTACAAGCTTTCTTGACCACTCTCCGAGAAACCTTATTGGCCCCAGTTACAATTCATAAGACTTAGAATTGGCTGCCGCCTAACAGAAACTAAAAACTGCAATATCGGGAAGTTGTAATTGGTGGGTGGTATGTAGAGGTAAACACAGTGGGATAACTTTATTGTCAAAACAATAAGTTAAAAAAGCTGTATTTACACAGGAATTATGACCATCAAAGATAAGTAGCCTGTATTCCCCCTTGGCTTTCACTACTAACAGGCTTTTAGGTCTAAAATTATGCTTTATGAATCAAGTACCCATCTTCTTGTCAGTCCAACCATTTGGTAATATACCAAATAAGGTGCAGTCTGGTATGCCAAGTAAGTTTTTGAACTATTCTGAATGAAATTGTTTTGCTTTAAAGATAATGCAAGATACTTTAAGTACAGTTCTATCCCCACAGATTCCTTCAATAACTGTAGCAAATTCTCATGATCCTTCTATCCCATTTGTTAGCTAAATTTTTTTTTGTACTAATGGAAAAATAATATTATAAGTAAAATATGATAGATATACAAGCATATTAATATAAACTGTATCACTAACTAGCTATATTTCTTATTCCTAAATATAATTATTTTATAAGTTTATTAAAAATATATATAAATACCTTGATTGGTATAAATTAGAGAGCTATTTTCATGAGGATAACGAATAACCTCAATCACCTTTTCTGAAGCTCCAAGTTCTATCAGAAAGTCTATTTCTGTAACGGACAGGGTCTGAGGGTCAGGTAGCCCAAGGAACACCACGATCAGGACAGGCAGGATTCTGGAGACGGGGTCTAGGTGCGGGGGTATAACCGAAGCAAGTTGTACGAGGTTCAGGATTCAGGAGATCAGGATTAGGGTTCAGAGGTTCAAGAGGATGTCAGATGATAGAGAGTGTAATTCCTAGGTACAGGTGTCCGAATTCAATCTAAGTTTATTTATACTAGTCACGCCACAACCGGGCTTATGATCTAGTCTAACATCCCTCGTAAACCTATTAAGTCATAATCTCTCAAATAACAACTGCCAACCAAAGTGCACAAGCCTCCAAGTCCCAACCGTCAATACTCCCGCAAGCGAGCAAACACAGAAGCTAAGTACAAGAACCCATCACCGACCCCTGCTCCCCCCGCACCAACCAACAAACCAACTCCCAACCACACGCGAACAGAGCGACCGAAGTCCTTGGTCACGCTAAGTGAGGTGAAGGTAGTTACGGCCCGCAACCATCTTCACAACAAATATCAAATTCGGTCTGAATACCGTCCCGTAAATCTAAAAAAAGAAAACCCCGACAGTAGAAAATCCTCCGCTACAGAGCCAACCCTCAGCTATACAGGCCCCTAGCTAGATGCGGCACTACACTAACCCTAAACAACCCGATCAGGTCCCCAGCCACCAGGGAGGAGTACCACACTTGCAATGGGTGCGACCGCCAACCCCAGCCACAGTCAGGTTCCCAATTGAGCCGGCACACATCAGCCCCCACAGGGAGGACTGAGAGCCAATCACCCCACACCACCCCAAATAAATCGGAGGGAGGGACAAATCTCAGGGTCAAAGCTATCCCCACCCTGTGTAACGGGCAGGAAGGAGACCCAAAAGACACCGTAAATGCCCATGATCGAACTATGTCATAGGAAACGGGCGGACGTAGGAACGAGGTAAGGTGGACGAGCAACCGAACGTGTCGAACCTAGAAGTAAAACCAAGAGCCGAAGCCCTCAGCCAACCAAGGAGAAAGGATGTCAGCACCAGAGAACCCAACGCCATCCAGTCTCAGACCAGAGACCCGAAGGAACCAGAGACGCAACTCCTCTATACCAACGAAACGAAAGCAGGATCCACGAGGAAATGAGAACGTCAGGAAATGCTGCCACCAGCACGTGTTAATCGAATCAAAGGTCCAACTGTAAGGAGACAACCAAAGTCATCAGAGAAGCCAGAGTATATTCCTGTGGGAAGCTCTTAGCAGAAGAAAGCGACCAGGCCCGCGGGCGAGGAAGAAAGGGTGTCCGAAGGAGATTACCAGATTGCGTAAAGAAAGTAAAATATATAGGGGCACATCCCTTTATATATTAAGGAAATCCTCCATGATCACTAATACAAAAGAAAGTTCTTGGCGTCGCGCGCAGTGGCAATCCTTCCGTCAGATTCTGCCATCTTACGTTGCCCGGCAACGCATCCCAATCATTCATATAAAGGAAATCCAACTATGCAACCAAGAAAACTACAACTAATATATGCAACCAAAAATCCATGCATGTTCCCTCCCCATAGTCGAGTAGCTGTGACAATTTCATCGATGTTGTATATATTTTGAAGTTTGATAAAAAACTAGGTAATGACATTATAATACTAAGTTAAACTTAAATATTAATTTCATATTTTCTCTACAAATCCTCCTCTTATAATCTAACTGTTTACTAAACTTTGATTTTATTTTAGGATATCGAGGATAAAAGCTATCCTTGATCCAGTATTTACTAAGAGTACTGCAAGGTACTCATTGTTGATAAATGTGAAGAGCATGCTCACACATGTCTATTCAACTAGGAACTTTTCCTCCTTAGGGGTAAGCTTTTGATGAAGTTGATTTTCTTCCTCTTTTGAACATCATTCCAGTTTACAATACCGTAAAGTTAAAGGTCATACCTGTACCATCTCAGCTGCAGAGGCTGTCATAGTGGCAATCCCACAATTTAGGAGGTTGATTCCCATTTGCTCATGAACCTGAGTTGTGAATTCTTGAGAACTTGGACTTGGAGAAACATTCTCAGTTTCAGAATCTAAAAAAGAAGACATGATATAGAGAAGTATTGGTTGAATGAGGACTGGGATAATAGTCATAGTCTCACAATACGATTTGAAGTCTATTTACTAACTTATCCTTAACTAATCATTTCGTCATTCACCATCAGCCACACAGGAGCTTTTCATACACCCACTATCTACCACCGCCACCTGTGTTCGCTGTCCCCCCGTGTTCGTTGCCCCCCCCCCGGCATTTTACCTGTTGCATGGAGCAGATCCAGATTTAAGCAAAATAACACGAAAAATCACGTTATCTAAAAAAAAAAAAAAAAATGTGCCCAACTATTTTCACAAACGAAAACAAGGGAATAAGACAAATAGACTAACAGCCTCGATCCTCATTACCTCCATAATCTTTGTCCAGGCCAGATGAACCCCAAAGGAAGAAAGAACCGGTTCCGGAAAAACATGTGATAAGATAGATTATTCGTTTCCTTCCTCCCCATGTTGTAAACACGCCGAAACACTGCGCCACACAGGAGTACCAAAAGATCACATCTACCATTCTGCCTCAGACATACGACGATCCACACGTATCAGACATTCCCAGCAGATCCCCGTCTTCATCACCACGAGCGCTTAGCACACGCCCTCTGCAGAAGCGGAGTTCAACAACAAGGCTACAATTAAACCGTACAATCCCAAGACTTCTGCGAAAATCAAGATCAAGATCATTCCAACAAAGAGTCTCGGCTGCTGAGCAGTACCACGGACACCGGCATCACCGACAATGCCGATGGCAAATCCTGAAAACAAGTTAGGAGCCAAATCGGAGGAGCGTTACAATGGGAACAGGGTCTTACCCGCTGCCAAACCAGCAAGCCCGACAGAAAGACCAGCGCCAAGCTGTAAGAACCCAGTGTAGAGAGAGAGAGACTGTTTGAGACCCGAAGATACCAGGACGGAGACGACGAGACCATAGATACCAATGATACCAGCCATAATAACAGGCACAATGCCTATGCCATGCATGTCAGCGGTTATAATCACCAACAAACAATGATGCCTGCTCCCATGCAGGAGCGAGATCCGGCATAAGCCCAGAGAACAAGCTCAAATTCCACAAAGACATACTCTTAACAACCAAGTCAGGTTTCAAGACACCCATAGCTGAGATACCGACACCGGATTTCGCGGTTCCATAGCTAGCGCCAAAACAGGTGAAAACGATGGCAGCGGTACACCCCATGGCACCGAAAAAGGGCTATCACCACGTTAGTGGAACCTACCCGGCGACATATTCACGTTTTTCGCGTCTGGTATACGTACGGCGTAGACAGGACTAAAAAACGTAACGAGGAATGTTAGCAGCCACCCCTTTAAAGCCTGTATGTAATAAATGATCCCATATCACCATTATCTGCCTAGTCCCCATGCTTTGTGCCCGGGCTATAGTTTACCGGCAACGCAGGCTGGTTCGATACTCGTCGTGAAAGGGGCGGGCAGAGGCAGAGAAGTCGGGACAACGGAGAAACATACCAAAGTTCAGAAACCACCATATTAGTTTTCTTCTAAAAAAATTAATAAAATAGGAGGAAAGTGTGGATATTCAGAAGTCTGAAGGAGAGAGTGTGTATGTGGTTGGTTTTGATTTTGAAGGCAAGCGTTCGATGGGAGATGAGAAGATGCTTGCTTGTGTCCTCTAGGGGGTTTGGTGAGAGGTGGCTGAAGATTCAAGACAAGAAAGAACATGACAGATGACGAGGTCCACCTCCTCAACAACAATATGTAAAAATATATGTAGAAAAGCTAAGAATCACAGTTAAATATCGTCCGAGAGGACTTTGTACGCCAGTTTATCCACTGTAATATTCGTTTAATACATACTTTTCCCAAGAGACCTTCAGGGATGGGTTAGGGCTATATTGACCTCGGGGAAGGGAAAGAAATTCAATTGAGCCGCAACTCATTCGATGCCTCATCCACCAAGGCAACATCGGCGACCCAAATTTTCCACCAACCACCAGCGAAACAAAGGGCGAGCACCCAAGCAAGGAACCCTTTATCTCTCACTCTCCCACTATCACATCACCACTGCGCCCGTTTAGAAGCGCCACTTCTTCCACCACAGTTCTAAATGGCTGGTGTTAATCCCAAAGGTACCCTCTCGCCCCAACATCTATATAAAAAGAAGCATCTGCTAATGAATATTTTGCTTGGGCTATAGCTTTCCCCCTCGCTGATGAGGCCCTCACCCAGCAGATCCTCGATCTCGTCCAGCAAGCATCTCACTACCGCCAATTGAAAAAGGGTGCGAATGAAGGTCCGTCTCCTCAATACCTCTCTTGCCCCGCAGGTCCTCCGGCTAACCGTTGTCTACAGCGACCAAAACCCTCAACCGAGGTATCTCTGAATTCATCGTACTCGCAGCTGACACCGCTCCTTTGGAGATTCTCCTCCATCTTCCTCTCCTCTGCGAGGACAAGAACGTCCCCTACGTCTTTGTTCCTTCCAAGATTGCACTTGGACGTGCTTGCGGTGTTTCCAGGTCTGTGATCTCAGCTAGTGTTACTTCAAACGAGGCTTCGGAATTGCAAGGCCAGATTAGAGCCGTCAAGGAAAAAATTGAGAGGTTGCTCATCTAAGCTCTCCAGCCGGACACAGTTCACGTAGTATGAATAGATAGACAGGCTTTCACATATATCACGAAAAATTAACTTTTACTGTTTAATCTTGTTCTAGTCTAATTGCGCCAAACCTTCAAGTAGCATGCTAATCGTATACCAAACCCTGAATGCATCATACCGGTATGTCGGTACACTAATAGTTTCTGAATTTTCTCCCCTTCATAAATCCAACCTTACGCATAACAGGTTGTCACCTCTTACCAAGCACCGTATCATATATGCGCGCATACGAATCAAGTCGACAGGTGACAGCTCATGTTCCTTCCATACTTCAATTGGGCAACACTTGGTGGTGCTGAAAGGTTCGAGGTTCAAAATACAAAATCGCTTAAATCTGAAACCGTTATGCAATTCATAACCTTACACATAAGTACGGCTTAGCCCGCTATGTATTGTTGTTATGCTTCTATCCAAGGCCAATCCACCGACCCCATTCAAAAATGAACAACCCTACATAGCAGCACCAGAGATGAAGAACCATTTGTCAATGCTAGGATCAATAGGAGCAGGGGGTTGATTGTCTCCGTGGGGGATGGGAGGGATCTGGCCTGGCTCGATATAGCCAGGAGACTTAGGAACAGTCAAATTGGTGCTACAAAATGTCCGTTAGTGCGCGCTTTCGAAAGAAAAAAAGAGAGCCTGCGGGAGGGGGCCCCTACAGAGAAATGGTGTTAGGGTCGCTCTGGCCAAGAATGAGTTTTTCCCATGCCTCACTGCATTCACGGATGACATCGGTGGCATATCTGGTTCCGACATGTTAGTATAGCTTCATAGCGGGTAGCTAAGACGGGCACCGCCCACTTCTTGTTCTTGCATTCACCAGAGAATGCAAATTGGTTCTCGGGCTTCCCATCCGGGATCTTGTAGATACGAAACCACTCGTTGGTGGCTCTCAAGAGACCAGGAAGATGGCGCTCGACATCCTCGATATCTGGGCCATAAAATTATTACCAGTCATCATTGAACGGGGGGTCGGGAGCAAACCGTTGAGTTTAGGGGCCAAAGGATCAGTGACATCAATGACAATAACCTTCCAATCGGTCTCCTCTTCGTCCAAAAGAGCCATAACACCCAATACCTTAACCTGCTTAATTTGACCAGTGTAGCCTACTGTCTCACCGATCTCACAGACATCCAACGGATCGTTATCACCCTTGGCCTTAGTTTCAGGGTGGATAACATTAGGGTCCTCCCAAGTCTGAGGGAAAGCACCGTAATTCCAGAGGTATCCCTTGTGTGGGAAGCAGTTGCGGACGAATCTTATCTTTCCTTTCTTAACATCTTGCTTGATTGGGTTGAGGCATTCCTCCTTGGAAATCTAGTCATTCAAAAAGCATTAGAGATGGAAATTCCGGCAATAATTCGGGTATATACTTCAAGCTTTCCGTTAGTCCAGCGAGGGATCTCAACAATCATGTTGAGGATGGTCTTCTGTTCACTAATCAGGAGAGTTAATATTAGGTAAAAACCCCTCACTGAGGCGCAAAAAAAACAGGTACTTACTTTGCGTAGAGAGGGATATCATGGAATGGAGAAATTGGAATGCCACCTCCCTCGATGTACACTCTGTGCTCTGGAAACTCCCAAATCTCGGTGTCAGCAGAGGCAACCGTTCTGAAACTCAGAAGACCACTAACCCAAAGTGTTGGGCTGCCCGATTTTCCTCACGGTGTAAGACATCTCAGAGGATGCGGAGAGATGTCGAGCGATCTGAGGTCACAACCAAAAGTTATTCGTCTGAAACCAAATAAACTTGAGCCATTGAAAGAGAAGTAGAGGGCAGCAAACATACTAGTGCACTTCTTGACGACAGTTTGAGTAATCGAGCACGAGTCGAATGGGACGTGTGTCGTAGGGGATGAAGGAAGAGAGAAGCGGGGAGTATGAGGGGTAGCAGCATAGAAATAATAATACATATACCGTGCCCAAGGGACGGTGCGGGTGGACGGGCTGAGGGGTATTTTTGCCTTGGCACAACAGGGACAGCTGCAGATGCAATTGCAATTCAATGTTCACAATACTAAATAACAATTCTGGTCCCGGGACCAACTCACGATGTAGGAGCACGGATTGTTATGATACACTCTTTACTCTCCCATTCCCTTCTTTTTTTTGTTTGTTTCTACACTCGCCTCTTGTTATCTTTGCTTAGTAAACCGGTCGATAAGGACTGGCTCTAAACCCTGCTTGTCCATCATATGCCAGGAGAAAGTGATAGTTCATGATGTATATCCCTTGATGCGAGGTTCGCGAAATGTGCCGGTCCAGTACGGCCCTTAAGACGTATCGTAATGTCATACCACCACCCCATGTTCATAACCTAATCCCTTGATAATGATCACCCTACTCAAAGACATTATCATACCTGTGATAATTATCATAGTATCATACTCGGGGAGACTTTGTACAAACTCAACAACCCTCCCAGAAGGCTCTAGAAGCAAACTCATCCCAAAAACCTCACTAACGCCTGATATTAGACCGAGTACCCAGGCTCCTTTGCCCGACCCTTGGACCGGCTTTTGTCCAACGGCTCTATTATTATTATAATTATTGACTGGTGAACGCTTTTGATGATGATATCGTCATCGACACAAGATATGGCAACATCTGTACAATTACAAGACACAACCTCAGAACACAGAAATACACAATACCATATTATCATGCACCTCCATTCCCAGCTCTTCTCCTGACCTGTCTCTTTCTGGCAATTATCCTCGCAGCCTTTGCTGCCTCCTCATCCTTTTTAGCATTTTTGGTAGGATACTCTCTCACTTCAGTTGCCTTCTCTTCCCTCTTCCGCTTTCCGCCGCTAAATCCCTTTCCTCCTCGAGCCCTCGACGATGCCCTGTCTTTAGCAAACTGTTTCTTCTTCTCTTTTGTGGATTCCAGAGGCTTAGCTTTTCCTTCGGCGACTAGCTTTGACCTCTCTCTAGCCTTCTCTTCTTTTTCCTTCCTCCTTGCTACAACCTGCGCATTCTCGATCGCAAATTCAACGATCAGTCTTTTCTTCTTCTCTTCAATTGCGGTGGGTGGAGCAGCTCCTTCTCCCTTTTCTTTAGTGGCTCTTACTGCTCCCTTTCCAGTCCTCTTTTCCGGTGGCGCCGCAGTACCACCGACCTCATGTCCATTCAACCAGCGTAGTCCCATAAGAGCCCAACGGTGTGAAGAATACTCAATGAACCCATATCCTCTGCTCCGGCCCGTTCCCACCTTCTCTTCCACAACCTTTGCCTGGCGGACAATTCCCTTGCCTTGCGCTTTTCTTCGTCTTTCTGTTTCACGATCCTCATCTCCACCACGCATTAATTCTTCTTTTGACAACCGCTTTCGTTTGCCAGCCCTAGCATCTGCGGCAAATCCCACAGCAGCCTCTCTGGCGAGTTGCTTCAGACCCTTTGCGGTTATAGATCTGGGTAAATTGCGAATAGAAAGCCGTGTAAGTGATAAATGAAGCATAGGGTTCGACTGAAGGAGATTTTTGCGTTGCTTCAAAGACGTTTCCCGGAGAAGTCTCTCGCTATTGGAAAGCTGTTGGAATGCGGGGGAAGATGCTGGAATAGTTCCTTCTTGTAAGAGAAATAGCCGACGTTTGTCGCCCTGCACTTTATCCCTTTGTGCTAGGCCAGCCTCTTGAAGCCTTGCTGCTTCGGTTTTATCCACAGCCCGCGCAAGCTGGAGGATGCGGCCGTCGATTGTGTACCTTCCGCTAGGATCGTCTCCTTCGTTTTGTAGCAGAGATTTGGCCTTTGTGACCCGGGATTGTTGGCGGGGAGCATCGGTAAGACACCTATCGCAATCCTCTTGATTGAAGAAACAGACAAAACCGGTCCCGCGAGGGCGCTCCGTAGCATGGTCCATTACAACTCTTGCGTAGCGGACAGGGCCAAAATTCGATTCGAAATGCTGGTGGAGAGTCTCATCACCGGTTGAAAAAGGGAGATTGCGGATGAAGACAGTAAGTGGTTTCTCTTCTTCTTCAGAATATAGTTTCTTCTGTGTACCGCTTTCTCCATCTTCTTCATCGTCGGCAAAGTCCTCAACATCCGAACCTTCATCAGATGATGCGTCAGATGCATTGTCCATGCTTCTAGCATCATCATCTCCAATAACACCAACCCCTCCATCGTCATCATCATCATCTTCCTCTTCTTCAACCTTTACAGCCACATCTTCCTCCTCCGCCCCCTCCTCTCCGTCCTCGCCAATATCCATATCCTCAATCCCATTCTTCCGCTCCCACTCATTCTTCTCTACCGCCCAATCCACTGCAATCGTTCTTCCATCGATCTCCATCCCATTGGTCTTTTCAATAGCATTCTCTGCATTCTTGTACCCCTTCATAGTGACGAACGCAAACCCACTCATCGGGCCACTAGGCTTATTCCCCTTCCTAGGAATAATAACGCCCCGAACTTTCCCATAGCTCTGAAAAATTTTGATCAGATCCTCCGACTTCTTAACACTCCACGGTAGATTTCTAACAATCAATCTCGGCGCCCGCTTCTTGATGTCCCCTCCGCCTACTGTCTTCCCCTTCTTCACTTCCCCTTCGCTGAGAGCAGACTCACGGTGCCTCTTCTCAGCGATCTCGACCTTCAATTTCCTGCCCTCAAAGCTGGCGCCGTTAAATTGCTTGACAGCCTTTTGTGCGTCCTCGGCATCGAGGAAGGTGACGAAACCGAAACCGCGGGACTTTTTGGTAATAGGATCAGCGACGACGGTTGCATGTTTTAATGGCGCAATGAAGGAGAAGTGGGTCGATAGGGATTCCGTGGTCGTTGTGTATGGGAGGGAGCGGACGAAAACAGTGCATCGTTTGAGTGTGTCGTCTTCGGCGTCATCTTGAGAATTTGACTTTATCTTCCTCTTGGGGGCGACTTTCTGCTCCAACCCCTCCACTTCACTGTCGTCAGAAGAGGGATTGTCTTCGTTGTCGGTGTTTGCGTGTTTGGCCATTATTTAAGTTGTTGCGGATTTTTTTTCTCCCCGTTCCCAAAACCGAAGGTAAAGTATTATCGGGTGGGGTGTGCTTTTGCCGGGTAACCTGGTATACATAAACTGTGCTCGAGTGTCATAAATTTACCGGCAGTGAGGATGCCTTTGAGAGCCGCTACCTTGAAACAACTCTGACCACGAAGCCCCGACCCAGAGCAACATCAAGGCGGCTCCAGACCACAATATGCACGACCACCGATGTAAGAAACCCTTTCGTATATGTATTCACCGCCTATTTCTAGGTTTAATCTAACCAGACACATCTATAGCTCACTCCCTCCTTCAGCAGCTCCCTCTCACTGTTTCCCCGTTCATCCACCTTCCCACCGCTGTAACCTTACCATATTCATACCAGACACTCCCACTATCCCTACCCCCGCCATCTACTGCCCCCCCTCTGGGCAATCCTCAAGGTGGTTATGTCGTTTCACCGTCCGGAAGCTTCTCAACGACTCCCGCTGCTCTAATGAGCTCTTGCCAGTCGCTGATAACACATATTCAGTCTCAGCAGAAGGCGAAAGAGCAGATGATAAAGGATTGGGAGAAGAGTATCGAGGAGAGAGAGTTGATGGAGAAGAGAAGAGTTGCTCCCGGTTACCTAGACACCGGACTACGGATATTGGAACCTACGAGATCCACTCCTGTTCCGGCTACAATTCCAGCTCCCGCGGCTGCTCCCCCGGGTCAAGATAGTACGAGTGGTGGAGGGGAGGAACTCGATAGGGTTTTCGGTAAATTAGGGGCTCAATGAATCACGATTCTAGTAGTATATTTTAGGCTCTGATATCCTGCCATGATAGTATCGTTGAAAGAAAGCAAAGCGACCATCCGTTAAATCATACGCTTAAGAGCAAGCATCAGTAAGCAGACCGGCAATGTCATTTATGTACATAAGATACAAACAAGCTACCCTCCAACAAAACAGCCCTCCATTATAACCACGTTGCTCAGGTTTGAGTAGGTTCGGGAAGGCGCACATGGTAGTCTATATCGTATCCCGTAATTAGTTAAAGATCCCACAATTATTGAAGTAGAAACCATTCATACCCGAAGCACAAGATATGTATCTGACCCATGGCAAACTAGGATACTGCAACTTGGGCTCAATGATCTTAAGATATCGGACCTGAATCCCCGACGTAGTGAAGTAAGGAATCTCAAACTTCACGCTGATTGGCCTCTTCTTCCTCTCAGGCTCAGCTTCCTTGACACTAGGTAAACCTAGCTCAGCTCTCATCAAAAACTCCTTTCCACCTCCAAACTGTTTGATCTTCCATACGATTGCAGACTTCTCAGGGGCGTAGTGCACGGTTCCGATATTTGTCCTGAATCGAGGTGAGTCTGCGTCGTCGGGGACTGGAACAACAATTTCCACGTTGTTTGCAGTAGAGCGTCGCTTGAACTGTGCTTTGGCCTTTGGAACATAAGCTGTTAATCCAAACTATAGAGAGTCAAACCCCCATCACATACCTTGAGCATATACTCGATCCTCGACCCAGAATGGCTCTCAACCATACACTCTACCCAGATCAAGGGTTTCACCTGAGTGTTCAACCGGTAGCTCATCAATTCAAACTCGCCATCTGGTGGAATGAAGCTGATTGTTCTGTCGTTTTCAAACCGTGATAGCCGCACACATTGATGAAATTTAACGTCCTCCATCTCGATAGCTTTCCCTCTTGTAGTTCTACCAGTGCTCTCAAACATAACCTTGTCATTGAGACCCAACCTCAGCTCTGGCATGCCAGAGAGATAACACTTCATCTTGATAGCGCCAAGAATTTCGGACCGCAAGACGTTTCCATTGCTGTTAACGAGAAGATTGAGCGATTCAATTACGTCCAGAAAGACTTCGTTTTTGCGGTAGCGAATCCCCTCAGATCTCCAACTGACAGCATTTGTGACGGCTATAGGTGGGCGAGCTTGAATCTCAAGCTTGTGGGACTCCTGGGTAATGTACCTATAACACTTAGCAAAAGAAATAACCCCATCGTTTAGTCACCGGTGAGGGGCAAACTCTTGAAGAATCTTAGTCTCTGTAGTCTGTGGGTACCCAAAGTCCATCATCTCATCCAGAAGCTCGTAGATAATAACAAAATTGTCTCGAATACTCTCCTCCTCAAGCTCCTTGAAGTATTCCGTGAATACTTCAACTATTCGGTGAAGGAATAGTAAAATCTCAGTGGCATTAGAGTTTCGTTTTGTGAGAGCAAGTACGTAGAGGTTGTTGTGTCGGATGTAGAGATACTGATGATATATCCTTTCATTCAGCTGTGCCACGGCGGAACAGGCAGGAGACCAGAGGCAAACCAACATTAATACCTTCATGCGAGAAGCACGGTGGAACGGCTGAACTCTCCTCCTCGGCTTCGAGTAAAAGAATAGGAAACTTCTCGACCGCTGACATCGGGATGTCCCCTCGATAGTTGCGGGCTAGTAATGTCTTAATAGGAGGCGTGTCAGCTTTGACGAACACAGTTCCTCCGCAAACTAGCGATAGAGCCCACCTTGCCCTTGAGATCAAGGAAAAAAACTGCCGAAGCCATTGTAAAGATATAATCGGCGTTGAGCTTACTATCGATATTCCGCGGCTTTTGTTGTGGACTAGAGTAGGCGGTGGGGCTGTCGAGAAGGACACTTTTCGGTGGTGGGGAGATAGGTTGCAAAAGGTGGACTCCCATACCGGTACCAGTCCTTCCGCACCAGCCCAATGGAGGTGCATGTGGCTTAGTCCACCAACCCAGTAACATTCCATTAGCCACACCCCTTTCAAGATTAGCGCTACCCGAGTACAGTACTCGAGTACAAGTATGAAAATACCTTTTGCTTATCTGTAAGAAAAAATGCAGGCTCTCAAGTTTTCCACCAGCCAAATCATTTCAATCAACCTTGTTCGACCCCGTTTCACCGGGCTTGTAGCTCCCACAACAGCCAACATGTAGGCACTGTATCATATCATATAGACGAGAGGTTCTGCCCTACACTAGAACCCAGAATGCCTTCAGACTCTATATTTGCAATCATACGGATAGCATACGGATAGCTCTGGAACCGACAGAGCCTTGGGGGAGGCGAACCGATCCAATAAAGAGAAGCACACCCCCGAACCGCAGATTAAAGATCCTACGCTTTACACTCTACTCGAGTACAGTTACTAGGAATTATTTGAGCAGAGTGTCCACAACCGGCTACTAAGCGCCTTTTCAGCATGGCACCATCCCCGGCCGTCTCTACCGGTACCTAGTTGCCAATCCCCGCAAAAATAAAGCTTTACAGACTCTGGCATAGATCGCATGCCAGAATATTGGCCCCAAGCAAAAAGTACAAATCGCCATCAAGGGTCATTCGTAGCGGACTTTTATGCGGCCAGGAAACACAAAAAGAGCAACGGTTGATCGAGGTGAAATGCCCCAACCTCATAACTATTTTCCGCTAGGATAATCCGACACTATCTATGGAATATGGCTGAGCTATCTATCATATCTCAATCATCTCTAGACTATCTCCATGGCGCCCTGTCATAGAACTCAAGGACCCCCTGCTGCCCGTCCTGCGAACGGCCCTCCCCTAAGCTATGATATCTCAGCAAAAACAACCCGGTTACCCGGCCTATCTTAATGAATCGTGACGCTCTTCAAGGTGATATTGGTAGGGCAAAACCCTCTTGGTCCTCCACATCCCACACAGCAACCCACTTTATCGGAAGAAAGTTTACAATTTCCCCACCACCGACAAACGACAACGCCCACGACCAACGACGACAGTAATCAACGGCCGGCTCAACATCTCCTAACCTTCAATAATCATGGCGTAAGTCTCTTCGATAACCCTCTTGCCAGTGGAAAATCTGCTGCAATCCTGCAAGGTTCTCGAATTCTTATGTCGGAAGTTAATATCTTGAATATAGATCTGCTCAATCTCAAACAATCTCCAAGCGCCGCAAGTTCGTCGCCGACGGTGTTTTCTATGCCGAGTTGAATGAGTTCTTCACTCGCGAATTAGCTGAGGAGGGTTATTCCGGCGTTGAAGTTCGCGTCACCCCTACCGTCACCGACATCAGTACGTCTACCTTCAATTCAAGCTCGGGGGAGCTAGGAAGAGTGGGTTGAGGGATATCCCACCAACGCTAACACTCCTTTAGTCATTCGTGCTACCCATACCCAGGAAGTCCTCGGAGAGCAAGGTCGCCGCATTCGTGAGCTCACATCCCTGATCCAAAAGAGGTTCAAGTTCCCTGAGAACTCTGTCTCCCTATATGCTGCCAAGGTCCAGAACCGCGGCCTTTGTGCTGTCGCCCAGTGTGAATCCCTCCGGTACAAGCTTCTCAACGGTCTCGCTGTTCGTAGAGCTTGCTATGGTGTTTTGAGGTTTATCATGGAATCGGGTGCCAAGGGTTGCGAGGTTGTTGTGTCGGGGAAGCTTAGAGCTGCTAGAGCCAAGAGCATGAAGTTCACTGTGAGTCCGCTCTCGCGCACTACCAGATCGAATCTAAATGGATTATCGCGTAAGCCGGGACCTGACAAGATCTTCACCAACAGGACGGATTCATGATCCACTCTGGTCAACCTGCTCGTGACTTCATTGACTCCGCTACTCGTCACGTTCTTCTCCGGCAGGGCGTGCTTGGCATCAAGGTCAAGATCATGCGTGGGAGTGACCCCGATGGAAAGAGTGGACCCCAGAAGTCTCTTCCTGATATCGTGACCGTTATCGAACCCAAAGAGGAGCCACCCATCGGGCAACCCTCATCTCAAGACTACGTAAGGTTTCCCGGGCACTTGGAACAATTTACATAACCAAAATCCAACTAACCTATGCGTTCCTATAGGGTGCTAAGGCTGACGCTGCGCGCGCAGCTGCCACTCAAGCTCAAGCACAAGAGACTGCTGCTGCTGCTGTTGAGCAAACTAGTGTCGAGACGAGCAACGAGACCGCCGCTGAATATGTCCCCCCTGCCCCTGCCCCTGTTCCTGCTGTCGATGATCTGGGATGGTGAAGCGGAAATCAACAAAAAATAATTTCGGTCAAATAAATCTCTCGTTCCCCTCCTCATCTGAACCTGATTAAAACGCAGCCGTTCTTCAAAAATTTTCTTTTAAACGGGGTTTTCTGGGATGGGGATGTTGTTTTTCTTGTATGTGATATAATAGCAAAAAAGGCCCGCAAGTCTGCCACAGCCTTCGAAATCCAAGTTGCAAACAAGTGAAACCGATCCCACCCCATATCCACAGGCCATCCGTGTCATAAACCATCACTCGAATATTCCGATTATATTCACCGACAGCCGAGACCTAAAGGCTTGGCTTAACCGTCAAACCGGAGCCTCAACGTGTCCTCCCCGGAAGAGCAAACACAAGCAACCATTATGAGGGAAGCCGCCGAGTATTTCATCTATGAACCGAACTCATTCCTTTCGCTCTTCTGACTACTCATGTTTACATCTCCCTGTATAAGGCCATAGGAAAATGACCCAAAAAATCACCACCGGGTGGTTTATCTCCCTCTTCACCATTGTCGGCGCATGTCTCGGGTTGATTTGGACTGTATTTATCGGTGATGGCGAACCCCTGATCGCATCTCTGGGCCTCAGCGGCATCGCGTTTTCAGCTTCGTACTGCCTAATTGTCTGGCTTGGAGATTCTTTTAAGCGGGTCGGGTTGAAGGGGAAAGATATCTCAAAAGCGGACCGGAGAGAGCTGTATGGCCACTCCACTCTATTGGCTGGGAGATAGACTTTGCTAATATTCTTGGGAATAGGCCGGAGACTATGGGTGCTGTCTGTGCGGTCGTTTACCTCATGTGCATGATTGTATTCTTGCCATTCGCCTTTTACGAATATTTTGTCATCTTGACAAGCGGCGGCGGGAATAGGGATGCTACGAGTGAGGTGGAGACTGGGAGATTATTGCACAGGTTTCCTCACAATAAGGTGATTTTGCTTTGCCGAAGCGCTAGTGATGGTTTCTAACGTGCGCGGACCGGCAGTTGGGCGAATATCTTTCAGCAATTCTCTCCCTCCAGAGTATGGTGATATTAGGAGTCGCCGACGATCTTTTCGACATCCGGTGGCGCCACAAGATCTTTCTCCCGGTCATCGCCGCAATCCCGATGTTGATGGTTTACTACGTAGATTTTGGCGTCACCAATATTGTTGTTCCCACTGGTCTCCGGGAGTACTTAGGGACAGCTCTCCTGGATCTTTCCTGGGGATACTACCTTTACATGGCGGCTATAGCTATCTTCTGCCCGAACTCGATCAACATCTTGGCCGGTATTAACGGGATTGAGGTTTCCCAATCTATCGTAATTGGGTCTTTCATCGCTATCAACGATTTGCTATACATCTCCGTCGGCGGCCATCCAGCTACAGACTCACATCTATTCTCGCTTTATTTCCTCCTGCCATTCTTAGGCGTTTCTCTGGCTCTGTGGTGGCACAATTGGTATCCTTCCAAAGTATTCGTGGGCGATACCTATTGCTACTTCGCCGGAATGACATTCGCGGTGGTTGGCATCCTAGGCCACTTTTCCAAAACACTCCTACTCCTATTCATCCCACAAATCATCAACTTCATATATTCGGCGCCTCAATTATTCCGGCTGGTGCCTTGCCCCCGACACCGTCTGCCGAGGTTCAATGCAAGGTCAGGTTTGATGGAGCCCTCCCGGGCTCCGTTTACAAGGCCACCCAGGTGGTATATCGCTCTCATCCTGGATATGCTCGAGAAGTTACGGTTGGTCCAGGTCTGGAGGAACAAGGAAGGTGTGATCCTGGAGTTCTCGAACCTCACCCTGATCAACCTCTGGATCGTAACGTTTGGTCCTATGAGAGAAGATAAAGCTACAATGGGACTCATGGGATTGCAGATTGCCTGCTCGATAATTGGCCTCTTGGTCAGACATAAAGCCGCGCTCTTAGTATTTCCACACGATAATTTAAGCATTTAATCAGTTGCTGGGATAGTAGGTGGTTCCTCTATTGTACTTGTATTATGTATTCGTATCCCCTTTGTAGAGTTAATACTTCTAGATTTTAGACGGAGAATAACATAATTGGGCCTCTCAGGCAAGCAAAAAAAGCAAAAAAAAAACAAGTTCATATGGGTGTTAATATGTGAAAATGAGCCGGACACCTGGTTTTGTGTAATTAGAGTTTCTAGTTTGCATAGCAACCACAGAAAAATTGTAAAACAGAAAAATATTTCATACTCTCACATATAACCAGTATTACAAAATTCTCTATAGCAGTCAATTCTACTACTAAAAAAAGTGCTCTTAAATATTTTTCTGATAGCTGAAAACTCAGGCTACATATCTATGTAAAAAAGAGAAAAGTGTAAAATCTGAAAAAATCTAATTGTGAGTCTATAGATGTACAAATTTCCTTGAAAAATATTTTTTAAGATTATTGGAACAAACTCTTCAAGTGCAAGAAGAATTATAAGCATTGAAGCAAATTTGTTGCATTGGTAAAGTAGTACATTTTTTGCATAACAACACCCATATGGTCACGTTTTCCCCCATATCAAACAATGGTTTTCTATGTATCCCCTTCCCGTGCGCCGGGCGAGAGGAGCCAGTTGCTATGCATCGCCCACTGAAAACCACTTATCCCATAACCATACGCGGAAACAAAAGCCACATTAGAGACCATAATATCCATTCCATATCAAGAATCCCCTCCCCTCCCAGGCTCCCCCGAAGAAAGCCCCGGATGTCCACACACACTCTCTCTCTAATTCTTCTTCTTCCCCTGCCCAGCCGCAGCCTTAGCCTTAGCCGCCTTCTTCCTGCCACTCCGGATCATAACCACGCTCAAGAAACTTCCCACAACTGCAATCCCGACCAGAATCAAAATGACTGGAATCCGGATCGCCCATACGCGCGGCGGGAATAGGTCATGGAGTGGGTGGCCGTCGTCTACGAAGGGCTGTTCCAAGGTATTAGCAGACAAGGGAGTAGAAGGGAGTGGGGGTGGGGAGGAGGCACCATAAACAGGGTCCAAATACTATAGTAAAGGAACACGATTGATGCAACCATTAGCATCATGACACCTGTGAGCTTTGCAAGCTAGATTTTCACCCATGTCAGCGCTGGAAGTCAGGAGGAGAAAGGGGGGGGGAGCTAGGGCACACCATGGTTCTTAGAAGCGCAGAGGAGAAGCAATGGAGGGGTTTGATGTCTTTGAACCTTCTCTGTGAAAGAAAGGAGTGTAGAATGGTTTCTGGTGACTGATGGTGTGCTGGAGGTTGGAACAAGCTCTTCTGCCAGTCAGGGGGCTGCAGCTCCGAGTGCGAGAAACCTGGCCTTTGGTTACTTGGCAGTCATGTGATCTCACTCGGCTTTTTACTTAGTTGCAAAAGAAAAGAGTATCATCATGGGCCATGATAAAAAGACCCGGAGTTCTGGGTAGCGAGCACAGTTTTTCGGGAGTGCTTAGTTGCGTGGTTGATTCTTCCAAGCTCCATACTATACGGACTTCACCACCTCTGCAGCAATTTCATCCTCCACAGCAGAAAGGACCCTCGCAGAGGGGAAGATAACCCTAACCCATAGTCCATTCACGGACGCGACTTGGAACCAATTTACACGAGGTCGTGTCGTCCACGAATTCCGTAGAAGAATCACTACTCCCCAACTCCTCTTCCCCTCACCCTCTCACCCCACTACAAACCTACGATACTCCACGCATACACACAGTGGATCCAATATGTTCCGGCAAGAGCCAGTGAAACGTCCGCGAGCGATCGACTCGAAAAAACATTGGGCGGGAGTAGACATTGAGCAATTGTTCTACCCGCACCGTCTAAACTTCTACAATACCCCTCCTACAATGGAAATTACTCTGGATGAGTTCGAGCAATGGGCCATCGACAGGTTAAGAAGTCAGTCACTTTCATACCCAGAACTTCCCTTAATAATTTAGCAACCTGGATGGTATGGTGGGGGGCTGATTTATGTGGGATGATGCACAGTCCTTGGAGAAATCGAATCCTGCCTCTACCGGAACATGACCCCGAAAGAGCTCAGCGTTGCCATGAAAGATCCCCTCAAGAATTTTCTCCCACTCGGGGCGAACACCGCAGTGGGAGGATCCAAACCCCAGGATGGCAGAGCCAACAAGCGTCAAGAGGAGCGACGGAAAGACCACTACTCACACTACATCCTCCGATTGGCATTCGCGCGGTCCGAAGACCTACGGAAGAGATTCCTAGCGACCGAGACGGTCCTCTTTAAGTTGCGGTACAATAGCGATGATGACAAAGAGCGGCGGGAGTTTATCGAGGGTTTGGGATTTGATTGGGAATATTTGTCGTTTGAGGAGAAGGCGGCCATGCGGGAGGACTTGCTTGCTGGAACAGGGACGAAGAGCAACGACGCTGATGCCGTTTTTGAGGCTACGTTTTTCAAGGTTGATTGGGAGAGGGTGTACGATCTTGTTGATCAGAGGAAAGTGCTTTTGCGTGGGGGGAAGGCATATGTACCAGAGTCGCAGCAACCTTCATTAGTGATTGCAGAGTTTACGGCGAGGCTGGAGAAGGCACTCGAGGCATGTTCGCTTCTTCCTATGCCAAGTACTTTTCCTGTTGCATGAGAAATAGATCTAACGATATCAATACAGCTCACCGCCCGAGCCCTCCCAAGACTCGACGAAGACGACCGTCTAATCCCCATCCTAAACCACCTCTCCCGCGGTTTCACAGCGCCAGAATACAACACCGGCACGATCGCCACAACTCTCAATGGCGCCAGCCTAACCGCAGCTGTAATCGACGATCTAGTCCAGTACTTTCCCATGTGCATGCGGCAACTGCACACCACCCTCCGCCGGGATAAGCACCTCCTGCACAACGGCCGTCTCCAATACACCCTCTTCCTAAAAGGCGTAGGCCTGAGCGTCGACGAAGCCCTCACCTTCTGGCGCAAAGCCTTCTCCCGCATTGACGATGACGAGTTCCAGAAAAAATACCGTTACAACGTCCGCCACTCCTTCGGCCTTGAGGGAACACGAAGGAACTACAAGCCCATGTCCTGTCAGCAGATCCTAACGGAGAGACGCCCAGCTGCGAACCAGGTCCACGGGTGTCCTTACAGGGAGGTGGCGATCGACAATCTGGTCGTAGGACTGGGCACTATGGGCATCAGCGATAGGGACGTTATCAGACATGTCCGCGAAGACGTCGAAGCGAAGAAGTACCATGTTGCCTGCAGTCGCGTGTTCGAACATACACACGCCAAGGAGCTCAAGCGGGAGAAGGAGGCTAGTGGCGGGTCGGGGAGGCTCACGGAGAATATTATTCACCCGAATGAGTACTTTATTCGCAGTTTTGGCCTCAAGAATCCCGGGAGCGTGGAGGCTACTACCTCTGCTGCCGCCCCTGCTGCTGTTGCCAGCGGTGTAAGCGGGCAAAGTATGGAGCTGGACTGATTTGATTGATTGATTGATTGATTGATTAATATAGTTTTTATTCATTTATTTGTTGGTTTACCATTTTTACCTCCCTCCATTGCAGCCGTACCATTGTATCACGACACCTGTGCCCTCCCCGTCCCCTGCCATAATATCGCGTATAATATCAACCGATACCGTATAACACATGCGATTCCGCTATCCCAATCACATTACATGAAGTCACAATACCCCTTAAAAGGTGAAATAAAAAAGCAAGGGATAAAAATAAAAAAAGTGCACTTCCCCTCCCCCCTTTTTTTTTTCCACAAATTCTCACAAAAGATCATTCACCAAACTGCGACCCCAATAATGGTACCGGCAACCACCCGCACAACCCACAGAACCGTACTACTGTACGCACTACGATAAATTAAATTAAGATAGGGTAGCCCGATCATGCGGATCCCGAGTGAAGATTGGAGGTTTAAAGTTGAAAGGAGAGTGGGGGGAATTGTTGGTCCAGGGGGCGTCCTCGATTGGGGGTGGGAGATGATGTGCATGCAAGTACCGTACAGTGCTCGTACTCGAGTACCCATACAGTTACTCTACTCGCGTGGCTGAATTGAGGCCGGGCACTTTGTATGGGAGTTGCCACCTTGGGTATCCGGCTTCAAAACGGCCGCGCGAGTACGGCACATGCTTTTGATGGACTGACTGCCTGACCTAACCTGACTGCTGGCTGGCCGACCGGGACGGGACGGGACGGGATGGGATGGGACGGGGTACAAGTACAGTACTAGTAGAGGCGGAGGAGTTCGATGGAGTTTTAAGCTTGGTACTAGTAAGATAATACTTTGTCCCGGACTAAAGAGTGGCCGAGTACGGTATGATAAGTACAAGTACAAGGGGGTGTTATTTTCTGTTGGCCCTCAGGCACTGCACTCGTACTGTAAGCATTTCTTTTTTTTTTTTTTTACCCGTATTATAATACCACGTGCCTACCCAGCCCCTGTTTTCGGATACCGTACCGAGTGCTCGCGGTCTGGGGCGAGTATGGTGCCGGCACCTTAGAACCAACCCTCATGACAACCGAACTTTCCCAACTTTTCGGCGGGCAGCAACAACATCACATATTATTATTTTACTTGTTCCTTCTGTACAATCCTCCTAAAACATATAAAGAACACATTTTACAGAGCATATTTCACTCAAGGGGTGTGGTTCTTTCTATAACAGCTGTTAAAGTTGAGGCAAAATTTGGGTGGAGCGAGGAGGTTGGTACTTGTGTGTGAAAAGCAGGTTTTTGCTGAGAAATACACTAACACATTGCCTAAAGCAGTATGGTCAGATACTACATTAGGACTAGTTCCCGGACCCGGACGGATGGCACTGAGGGTCGATTCTAAGGTGCCGGCACCATACTAGTAAGATAATACTTTGTCCCGGACTAAAGAGTGGCCGAGTATGATAAGTACAGGTACTAGTACAAGGGGGTGTTATTTTGTGTTGGCCCTCAGGTACTGCACTCATACTGTAAGCATTTCTTTTCACCCTCTTGCAGGATGGATCGAAGTCGTTGGGTGGTAATAGCGCGGCCCTGTATTTGGAATTTGCACCGTACGGTACCTTATGAGCACTCCTTATGCGAGGTGCCGGTCGGGACTTTTGTGATACTCGTAGATGGTCGATCTCTGATACGGTATCATAGGAATTTTCATTTGGGGTGATACGAGTACAGGTACATGCTGCAGGGATCCCGACCGGGTTTAATAGGCGGATTTTTCATGCATTGATAAAAAGGAATTGCACTCCAGGCACCAAAAGGGTGGGTGGGGTGGGTTCGTGTTATGATAGTCACTGAAACGAGATCAACCTTGTCCGAGAAATTATGATTAAAATATCTAGTGCATGCAATCAGATGATGGGTCTGGGGTCATGGAACTTTTTTTTTTGCCCCTCTGCCTCGTGTATACGGCACAAAAAGGAAAGACAGGTGAGAGAGAAGAAAAGAAAAAAATGCCGCGAGCCTTATTAATAACCCTTCAGATGTTCGAGAAAATTTACCGCTCACAATGTCCCCAGTCAACCTGGCACCAATTACTAATTTTTCCGTTAGTGGGATGATACATTTGGGAGTTAGGGTAGGGGTAGGGGAACTCACGCAGCACCGCAGAAATCAGGACCAGTTCCACAGAAGTTGGCTAAAACCATCATCAGTATCGTGCATAGGAGTTAAAGGTGTCGGCGGCACTCACATCCAGAACAACACAAGCCAGTCGCACACCTCTTGTTCACAATGGGGCCACAGTTCTGCTCAGCGCCAGCGGTGCCCTGTGGTGGAGGTGGAGGGGCCGGAACCGAGCGTTGGTCGCAAACACCAAAGCCGGGCTGACAACCAGCACCACAGTAATCGGATTGAGCTTGTTCCTGTATCAAATTTACTATCAGCTCCCTGCACGTGGATCGGATGCAGGGCAACTCTATCTTACCCCGTTCTTAGGCCCGCAGTGACCATTGACGGACTATCCCAGGAAGGTTGTCAGCAAGCGAGACACTATTAGGGCAAACGAGCGCGATCGTGAACATACACAGCAACGGTAATAAAATCCTCCGGAGCCGGCACCAGGGCACGTAATACCGCCCGAACCCGAACCGCAGACATCAATTGACGGGACCGTGGAGGGAAAGGATCCACCGCTTGTTGTTGTGGTACCGCCACCGCCGGAACTCTAATTCCACAAATCCGGTTGGTTAGAAGAGCCCACGGACATTAAAAGCATGAATATCTCTTACGGCACATGAGGAACCGGCACCACTATATGCCTTCAGACAGGTAGCAGGGTCACAGTGGGCGGGACTCGTATCACACCTTAGACTATTATTTAGCAACTGTAGAAGTAAAAGAGGAAAAGATATATTGTCAAGAGTAGGGAAAACAAACCATCCGTACTGACTACAGCAGGTACCAGCAGCACAAATCTGACCCCCATGGGTAGGGCCACAATTCTGAGCAAAGACGGAAGTCACCAGACCCAAAACAACGAAGAGCGAAAGACGAGCCATGGCGAAGTGTAGGGAGATTCACGAAAGAGGACCGGGAAAATAGGCCTCTGATGCACCTAGAGCTGAGAGGGAGAGAAGGGTTGTAAGGGGTAGGGGAATATGAGGGGGAAGGGTGTGGAGAAAGGGGTGGGGAGGAGTCAAAATGGAGGGAGGAAGAGGAGTCTAAATAGCGATGCGTGCCCGGCATGACGGCCACCAATACAGTACCGGTACCGCGTTCAAATGGCTATCATTGGGATACAAGCACGGCTTGACCTTGGCTGGCTGAAAACCACGGCTTGGTCTGACGGTTGGTACAGGTATGGTCCCTTGCAGTACGGTAAGGCACTGTCCTTGTCCAGAACCGTACCGTATGGTACCGGTACGATGCTCTTACTGACACTACCGTAATAGCCTGCGGTAAGAGGGTTGAGAACCGAGTGAATCCTGGTGCAAGACACAAACGTGTAACACAGCATTGCGATGTTTCGCTTCTTGGTCCAGAAAAACACAGGCTGAGGCCATCGGGGCTGAGGGGCTGCTTGTTGATTGGTCCCTACGTTCCAGTCCAGCATACCCAATCAACTTACGGACCGTGATCCATTGCACAACTCTCACTTCCACATTCAAACCAATGGAATGCGCGGCTCTCCGGAAAACTCACTGCTCGACTACAGTACTACAGTATGCTCGTCGACTCGTAAAGCACTGGTACCGATATCCCGGCGCAAAAGTGACGAGAACCGGCGCCCTACGCCCAAGCCCGACTGACCATCTTGGCTCCCCTATTTCTGTATCCTTTATGAATTGACGAGCGAAACTACTCGTACTTGTATCGGCGCTACGCAATAGCTCCCGTAATCGTCTCGTCTTTGGACAAGAGACGTCTCCTACCGGTATATCCATCTCGAGCAGACGATCCCCGCAGAATCTTGGTTGTATTGTAGGCTTGTGGTAACTCTGTGGAACGTTTTCTGCACTTACTGTGCTGCCCGAGTATGGTACTCGAGTACAGTAGAGCATGATACCAGTACCATGTCTCGCCTATAATCTCTGATAATAGCGGTAGGCATCACCCTTCAACCCCCTGAAAATGCCCTTACCTGTGCTTTCTTCTCCCGGGTTCGGGGGACTCCCTTTCGTTGTGGTGAGAAAGAAGAAGAAAAGAAAAAAAAAAGCCGCCTGTCTCAAAGCAGCAGATCTAGACACAACAGGCAACTCTGGATCTGCAAATTTTAGCAGACGCGCGAATCGGGCACTCGTGCTGTACCGGTACCCCCATGCCAATCTCCGAAAATATCTCCTCGGTTACCGGTACCCCGATTGCTGTGGATGTTCCCCTGAAGAGATTGCCTTCCATTACTAACCTACTGTATGCCTATTGCTAGCCATAGAGTACTCGAGTACTCGTACAACTCAAGCTACCGGAAGCCTGCAGTATTGTACGAGTACAAGTACTAGTACTCGTACAGTTCCCACACACAATGCTTACAGGGCGGGGCACCCGAGGCTACCCGGAAACAGGCATACCGGTATTAGGCGCGGTGGGGCGGACGCTTGTACGAGTACGGGTATGATACTCGAGTACTGAGTATGATTAGCCAGGTGAGTGATGTCTCGCCTGCACCACAAGTATCAAGGCGCTCGTGGGCAGCAAGACATGCCTAGGAAGGCAAGATTTCTCCTTTTACCGGAGTGCGATTCGGGCTCCCTACTGAACGCCATCCTATGGGCGAGAATGCCGTTCAATGGCGGGCGACGGAAAGGGGCCGTCATATACTCGAGTAATTTGGGGAACCAATCCCTTGGGCCGTCCGCGCGTGTTTGGACTTTTCCTAGCGACGATATTATCTCTCTTGACGGTTTCAACCTTTCCATCCCACCGGTACCCTATTCCGTCCGCACACGCATACAGGTAGAAACAACTGTGTTGCCGGTACCGGTGTGTGCCACGCTATGGAGAAGTACCGTAGACGGAATGGCCGGAAGAAGGACCAGGGCTGTGGCATGAAAGCACGAGCATTGCTCGGGGCTGTTCTTCCGATTGATTTTGCCCGGTTACTGTACAAGTACTTGTACGACGGGTTACCGGTAGATGATACCCGAAGCGGCGTTTTGACATACGGTACTGGTACTAGTACGAGTACAATGGAGGACTTCTTGTAAGTCTATACCACCAGGATAGAACAGAAATTTCCGAATATTGCACAATAGGAGAGAGGGTGCTTAAAACCAGTTGTTAGAAGGGGGGGTGGGACCCCCCTTCTATTCAAGTTATCTATTCTAATAGACCTTACTCCCGATAGACTTACGGGAAGTCCTCCAATACTTTCTCCACGAAGGGGCAGTTCCACTCGAGTGCGGTACCGCAGGCGATGGGCTACCAGTAAGGTCGGATCCAAGGATGCTACAGCAACCGATGAGATGCGTTTCATTACTCGCGGCGAGATCAGGAGTTGGAACAGTCAGAGCAACCATTTTCCTCTTCAAAGTTAAACTATTATGACAACGGCAACCACAACAACGTGTGTGCTGTACAGTGCAGTATCGTATGTCCTTTTAGAATTCAAGTTGAGTACCACAAGCATGGTACAGTTCAGATACTGGACGGTGTTACGGTATGCTGTTCCTCACAATTGGTGACACGAGTATAGATCCGTTCCATACCGGTACCGGTATTCTCAGCCTCTTGCATCCAAACATCCAACAATCAGTCGGTAACTTGGCTGTGGATTTTGTGATTGAAAGATACAACTGCGCCCTGATAGTACTGTACTTGCCGAATTCAAAAGTATCCGGAGACCCAGCAATTGTGTGATACCTAGCACAACTCTAAGGCTTTGCAAGCGACCGTACTTCCCCCCGGAACCCCCCGGAACCACCAGCTTTTACCCCAGGTGACTGGCACCATATTTTCCGAATGCCCCAGTACCGGTATTTTTGATTTTGGCAAGTGTGGTAAAGTGCCTTGTTGATGCAGTGTACTCGAGTACAAGGTACCGTACTGAACTAGGAAGTGGGTCAGATGCAAACGTGAATCATTTTGACGTGGGTTTTTCTCGAATCCCCCCCCCCACTCCAGACAGGAATACTGTATCGGTATCAACTACAATACAAGTACTCGTACTCTTTTGAATTCTGCCGGACCTCAATTGAGAACTCCGGGTTACTGTACCGTATGACAATACTTTTGGAGGCTTTTAGCTAATTCATTTCCCCGTCTGACCCGCTCCCTGGTCCAACACGCTATCGAGAATTCGGAACCTCCGGTACCGGGCAGTGGCTCGTGGTGTGGTATCGATACTTGCTCTGTGTTGCACCGGTACCGTACTGTATTCTTGGTGTGGAGCTACCCGTAAGTGATGAAGGGGACCCAGCGTAGGAAAAAAGGCACGCGAAACATTATTCGGGGACACGGGGATAGGACTCGTGTTGTTGATGGGCGCGTGGATCTTCATGTTACTCGAGTATTTGTACAAGTCCCTGGCATGTACGGAGTGAACATAGGGGAGTGGCTTTGCCAAGGACTTTCAACTCCGGGAACCCCCGCTGTGTTCAGTCCGCTCGTGCCAGGGACCTGTACGAGTCCTCGTACCCGCTGTGGGTCCCTGTACGAGTACTAGTACTCGTACTGTGCTCGGGTACTAAGTATGATACTGGCAGAGGAGGAGAGCCGTATCATAGCATCATGCAATGTCGCCTCCGAATGCGGGAGCTTCGCCAAGGCAGATTCTGGGCGAATTTTCTTGGTTGAATTAGGAACCTTTCACCGCAGTTGGGCCTACGTAAGCTTAAAGGTGATTCCAGCGGTGTGGATGGAGATCTGCATGCAGCAGTGTTGAGGGCGACGGAGGGATATGGTCCGGAACCAAGTAAGCTTTTTTTTTATTATTTTTATCATCACCTCTTTTTCTGCCTATATACAGTGTGGTGTAGCCTAAATTCGGTCTCATACCACGTTTTTGTGCATCTTCCGAACTCCCTTTAGGCTTTCACAAGCGGGAGAACCCCAAGGCCATCGTTGATTTTTATCACTGACCCCCACCCCTTCATATGATACCAAAGCTAGCACTATGGAGCAGTTGACCGTCCAAAGGAGACTCAACCCGCCTGCGCGGTGTCTTGCGGCTCGTCGGGGCCGACGGCTGACTTGCTGTGTTACTGTAGGACGCCTTTTCGCCTTTGGCTCAGATCGTGTTTTGGCGGCTGATGGGAGGGGATACAAATGCAGCGCTTTGTGAGGAATTTAACAATGGACTTGAGTAATTGATTGTGTCCGACGTGCTCTGTTATCTAGAAAATATAGCGCCGGTGATGGGCTCTCTTTCTACCAGGGGTGGTAGAAATGCTTTTTTGGGATCATCGTACATGTATAGGCAGTGGGGGTGATCTTTCGTGATCTCATCGTGCTGTACTACCGTAGCACAGTACTACCGGTATACGGATAATATCATGCAGGTGTTGGGATTTTTTTCCCCCTTTCCCGTTTCTCTCTCTCTCACTGCTCCCTTGTTGTCTGGTGATTGACGGTCGGACTACCAATACCGTACTGTACGAATGTTGCTTCCTACAGATCCTCCGTAGCTGGGACCCGATCCGGGGGCCGAGCAAGTGATGCTTCTAACGATTGAATAGTGCTCCGATACCGGTAGTTCATGCGTGGTTGCTCGTTCCCCCATGGTCAAGGGCGGAACCAGACAAGCCACACCAGAATACGGTACACATTGCAAGTATAGCCTCAACGGGCCACGACCTAGCCTCAGCTGGGTTCAACAGAGAGCTCCTGTACTCAATTACTGCAGGCAGGAGAGGCTCACAACTCTTTCCACTACCACTGGATGGTTGCAGAAACCATTTCGCACCGTTCAGGACCCCCGTTTCCTAACGGGCCACAGTAACTTTGGTCGAGCACTGCACTCGTGTAGTGCTCGAGTACTCGAGTACCCGCGCGCCACCTCGTTCGCCGAGTCGGTAACAACGGAACCTACGAGTAGTGCTTGCTAAAAACGAAGCGACGCGCGTCATTTTGGGAATTTTTATTTGCCATGTCAAGCCATAAAACCCCTTGTTCTCCGAATGTTCGGGGAATTTTGTTCTTGAAAGATTTGGCACTCTGGATGTTTGATCGGTTACCGTACTCGAGTACCGGTACCGTGATGTGCCGGGGTAATACTGATGCCAGGACTTTTTTCTTTTCTTTTCTTCTTTCCTTCTTTCCTTTCTTCTTTCCATCTCGCCCTCATCGAGAACGGGCAGCTGGGCGGATGTGGAGCTGTGGATAAGTATCACTGTACTAGTACTGTACCGGTGCTGGACGGATACCGGCAACGCTCTCTTTTCCGACCACCTCCCCCCGCCTCCAGATGTCTGTGGCTATGGTGCGTTAAGCGTTTGTGGCTTGAGAAAGAGAGAAGTGTTGGGGGTGGTTCAAGGGCATCTGGTGGCACGGGGCTTCACAATTCGCCCGAACAAATACCTGGACGCACCGAGGACCTCTGGGGGTGGTGGTGGTAATAAGCTCTTGGGAGCACAAGGTGCCTTGTCTTGATAGCTCTCGAGGGCTTGAGGGGTGACAGGAACTTATGCTTGGCCTGCGGATACGGTAGGAGAGTCCTGTCTCTCGGGTCTCGATCTTCATTTGGGGTCTTGAACGAGGAATACACGTGGACAGAACGCACGCCGCCGATTTACACGGTTCCCATGGCTTGGCTAGCTCCCGTCCTTTTTTCCTCGCTTGCTGTTCATCTGGGTTGTATGGTGTCCCTAAGATATGGGGACCGGTGACTGGGATATTGGCTCCGGCAGCGAGCAATAGTAACAGTACGGTACTGTTTACAAGCCCTCGATAGAATTGGGATAAGTTGCCTCGGCTACCGTGTGTGTTTCGCTTTTTGAGGCCTTCGTAGGCCAACTGCAGCTGGATACAGTGCGGTACTGTAGCCGATAAGTGGTGAGGTTTGTCATGATAGGGGCCCCACCCTGCCTTTGAGGCTACATTATAGAAGTTGGGCGTGGAGAAGGTTGCTCTGCTCAACCCCCATCTTTCTGATCTGCACTGTTGTGTTTTCTGTCATGCGCCAAGCTTGCGATATGGAACATATGATATCACTCGGGCTTACCATCTCACAACTTACGGTCCACCCATCTCCGAATCGATGACTTCGTTGTGGGGTCTCCGTTGGTTTCGCCTATCGATCTGGTTAGCGGTGCTCCGTTAGTTCTGATTTTAGAGCTTCTCTTCTTGTTGGGAGGAGTGGGAGCCACGGGGAATCATTTGGGGAGTTGCTATGCCTGCTTACTATCTTGTGACGGCTTTGCGGAAGGATTCGGGCACTAGGTAGTGCTTGTCGCGCAATTGAAGGCTCATTTTTGATGGCTGAATCCTGGCGTGTTATTGGTTAGTGGCTGTGGTAATTTTGGAGTTATCATACTCAGATGTTTCCGGGTGATATCTAGGGTTGCTTCGTTTGATTCCGGGCCCCGGTACGTTGTCCAGGGCACTAGAGAGCCAGTGGATTCTAGGTCCGGACTAGGAGACAGTACATGAGCTTAAGGGCGATATGGCTTTGGAGAATACTTGTTTCCTAAGGGCTGAAGGCGAAATCACTCTAGGAAGAACTAAGTTGGGTTTTTTTTTAAGAAACCGGCCGGGTTTGTTTTTTATTCCGAAAGAAGATACAAAGCGTAAGGACATCCGAGATACCACAACCCCCCCTCCTTCCATGCAATAGGAAATAGCCAAGAGGAAACATAATTCAAGGAGAACAGTTGAGAAATTGACAATAGAGAAACTCATCCACTCTCTTGATCATTGATGACAGCCGTGAGAATACATTCATCACCTTCATTTTGATCATAGAGGATCCCGGTAACTGAGTATGGAAGTATGGAAAATCCTGAGACCAGGTCAGTTTCTGCCTCCTGTTTCTCGTATTATCTCTTGGGTTACTTACATCGCTTAGGTGCACTTTCTCCAGCGGACACCATAGATGGTCTTGACCTTGTGGTCGATAACGTCGGTGGTGATGAGACCAGATGCCTTTTTCTTGTCGTCGTCGTTGTTATCGAGGGTGAGCTGAGTATCGATGTTCAAGGTGGTGGAAGCACCGCATGGCGACCACACACAAGCCTCATGAGCAAGAGTATCGCGGAAGGTGAAGGTGTCTGTGAACTTTCCCTTCCAGGTGGTCCTCAGGGTTGCCTTTTGGGTGGCGAAACCAGCGAACCAGTACTCGGATTGCTGCTTGGCAGTGACTCCTTTCTCGATATCGGCATAGCCGGTGTAGTCGGTCTGGTACAAGGTGTATTGGTATCCTGAGGGGTAATGAAGTTTGACATTGATGTTGCAGTTCTTGCGTCTCTCAACAAAGGCGATGCCCGGGCCGATGGATGCGACATAGCTGTCGAATGCGAGGGTGACTGTCTTGTAGTCGTTGGACTTGCTGATAGCGACTGTTCCCGCCTTGCAGCCGCTACCGGCGTAGGTGATTCCCTCGATGTAAACCTTGCTGACGTCGACCTCGTCATCGGGAGTGGGTGCTGCGGCGCTGAGGACGGCAAAGAAGCCGAGGACGAGAGCAGAGATAGAGTACTTCATAGCGAGAGTTTGAGAAGAAGAGGGGATATGAATTATGATCTTGGAGCGAGTGTCCTAAGGAGAACAGCGAGTGTCTAGAAAGATTGTTGGAAGGAAGCTGTGGATCTGGGGATTGGATGGCTCGGTGAAGAGTGAAGAGGGAAGACTGAGGGGGGGAATTGCTCATCTATATATACAGAGAGGTCACTGGCCTCTGCTCCGCGAGAATAAGGCATGCTAGGAGTTGGCATTCTGAAGGGACACACGAGAGCTTTGGTCGAGGCTGAGCCTGTACTCATTTTGGCTTTTCCACTTCAGCCCGGGAGCCGAAGGTCATGAGAGCCAGCCTCGAATCCCTCGATTGCTTTTCTGGTGAACTATCGTCCGTCACACCCCCGCAACGCTGATTATTGGTTGTTTAGCCGATTGCTCCTTTGAGTAATGAATCCTTCAGCGAGACATATTTCGCATGTTACTTTCCTCTCGTCTATCAGCCAATGATGGAATGGCCAGCCCCATCGTGGATGTGTCTCAGTGGCCTCCGAAGTTTAACTCGGACACACAGTTTCTTGGAATCGATTGATGGGCTGTGTAAAGGACGAGAAATCTTGATAGGGGTTATTTTTGGACGCTCTAACTTCAATTTATCTGCCCTTTGTTTCTTTCTTTTTTTTTCTATTGCCTGCGTTCGTTTTCTATCATACATGAAGGGCAGTATTTAGAAATTGCGGAAGTGAGGGGCGCAACTATCTTCTGCACTTTCTTAGCCCTTCCCTCCAGCGAGCGACCTCACTCCACGAACTTGTTGTGGGGGGTTTAGGCACGGGGTTGGGACGTGATTTGGCGAGGGGGATATGAGCCGATTGTCTTTGTTATTGCATATTCCCCTTGGGCTTACATAGTTGAGTCAGTTGTGAAGCTGGAACAATGCTGTATTGGCGCATTCCGGCACGTGTGTATTGTGCGGTACTGGTATTGTACTAGCGAACTAATTTCCTTCTATTGGGAAGCGTACAGTACTAGGATCCGTGACGGCTTAAATTTATGGTATCCGGTACTCGCTTCTTCCTCCTCCTTGCATCATACTAGAACGTTTGCGGGGGCTATAACTGGGGCATGGTATACACCGAGTGACAAAAATATCCCGCCGAGTGTCTTGGAAAAGATTGATCCAGCAGAGAAGAGGGTGGAAGGAGCCTTGTTCGGCGTCCAACGGGAATGCCAGACCGGCATGCTCCCGTGCCACCGATCATTTGCTAACAGTGCTGGAGGCACCAATGCCCGCGCTCCCTGGGCGAGCTACAATACGGTATGAGCAGGCCCTTACCTGGGTGGTTTTCAGCCCTGGAATTGAGTTCGTTCTGGGGTTGCGCAGAGATTCATACAACACCTATGACACCAACGAGAGTCGTTAGCCTGCGGGAACTTGGGCTGTAGAGAGTACCGCAAGTGCTCGAATAATGAACCTCGCCCTGGGACGTTGGGGTTGCCCCTGCTGGTAAGGTCTTGAGCTTTTTTTTCTTTTCTTTAGTCTTTTAGCTGGGGCTGAGGGTCGGTTTTCGTGGTGTCTTCGGACATCTTAGCGCGAACTTCGATCCTTCGAGTTCCCACGGTATTACCAGCTCGAGTAGAGTCCGGTACAGCATGTCTAAGAATATTTGCTAGCAAGAACCTAGCCAATTGCTTGTCAGAATGTGGCATACGAGCCTCGAGCAGACATCCGTGGAACCAAGTGGATACTGTCTGTGTAAGGCCATTGTGTAATTTCATGCCTCGTACAGGTACAGCTGTACAAGTACCAGGGGAGGTGTTTTCGTGGATGGCAAGACAGTCCCTATCTTGCGCCACGACACTCTCGCCTGGCACTCGTACCATCGTATTACGGTACTCAAACATCGAATGGAAGAGATCCCTTTTCCTCTCTGTGACATGCTTACAGCGTGACACTCGCCTATATCAGTCATAGGGAGAAGGAGGGATGGTTGGACAGTGCTCTACCGGTACTTGTACGATACTGGTGGTATCGAGGTTAAGCACCGGGGTGCATTCTTAGGTGGAACGTCGGGACGGGAAGATCACCATTGGCCATAAAGATCCCTGACTTGTTCTGGGCAAACAGCTCGAGCTCAAAGGGGCAAAGCCTCTCCCTGTTGGGGAAATGAAAATGGTCTAACCACAGGTTGGGCATTGTATGGGGAGGTTTTGTTTCTTTTTATGCAATGAGCTCTTTGGATGTATATTTGGGCTGCATTGAAGTACCGGCATCATAGCTTGGCCCAATCCTTGCCATTGTCATGAGAGGGGATTCGGGAAGCCCAGCTTCTGGTAACGGTACTGTACGGTACACTTCATGGATACTCCGCTGGCAAGATTTTTTTTTCTTTTTACTCTTCCCACTCCAAGGTGACTATTCGGCATAGAAGCACCGTCCCGCTCGAGGGTCCGCCATAGGGCGCTCAACCTCCAGAGCGGCCCTACCGTACCGTACCGGTATGGATTCTCTACAATTACAGTACATGTACTCGTATCATACCGGTAGAAGATTGGAAGTTGAGGATTACACAAAAAAGCAATGACATCCCGTCCACCCTTCCCCTACCAATAAACCGGAACAGCAAGGGAAAAAAAATAAAAAATTCCTCCAATCGTGACCCCATCGAAAATCCCGGCCGCAGGCACACATCCGTCTGCCACCACAGCGAAAAGCAGTAGTCCCGAAGTGGATAGGATCCATCCGTCACCTTTCCAGCTATCGATAGTGTCGTGACCCCTCCCTCTCTGCCACATTCCTCCCTTCCGCACGCCCAACCAACCAACTAACCAACTAACTCTCAATCCACCATCTAAAAATAACCTTGCCGGTCGATTGTTCCATTCATTCATTCATTCATTCGTTTGTTTGTTCGTCCGTTTGTCCGTTTGTCCGTTTGTCCGTTTTAAATTTCAGCTGGGCTTGAAGGAATAACAAAACCATGGGCAGGCCGGTGTCATATTATATTATACAGGACCTCCGCGGCAAACGTCGAGGTTATCCAGCTACCAATGCTTTTATTATTATTTGTTTCCCCCAGCTGGGTTTCGACTGAGGTGCGATAATTTGACAGGATTGGAAAAAAAAAAAAAGAACCTTCCTGCACCGTTGAGGGGGTGAGAGACACTGGGACGTCGGAAATTTCCCCCTTTGGAATGAAGTGAGCTTATGGGAGTTTGCCGAATTGAACCCCCCTTGAACTTTTTACTTGCTGCCGGGTGAGACATGTGAATTTAATCTGGAAAAATGCTCTAAACTGTAAGTTACGGCACTAGTGAGTGAGTGAGAAAAAAGGGGACTGCTGGGCTAGTACTAGTTTGTACTAGTTTAGCGAGTACAATGCTTGTAATTTAGATGGTCGAAATCGTATTGGTGGTTTGTTTGAAAAAAAGAAAGTAGGGGTGTGATATCTGTTCCAATCGTGATTTACCGTAACAGTTACTTGAGTACAATAAAGATTATTGGTTGTTATTGTTCACGTTTTTTTTTTTTAATTTTTTTTACAGCGGTTTGTGGAACGGTATGTTCCGGTGATTTTTTTTTTTTGATTTTTTCCCTTTCTTTTCGTTTTCCACCCCTCACACTCACTTCTCCCATGCACCTTGGGGCCGTGCCCCTACGGAACTTTTTGGGTGGGTGGGTGAAGGGGAATTGTGTCATGCACGTGAGTGGAAAGCGTGGTGCCACGATTTTCTGCTGTTTTGCTTCTGCTAGTGTATTTCTTTTTTTGTTGCATCTACAAGTACCGTATGATACCGGTGCGGTACTCGTACAGCCTCATTCGTAGAGTTTCTCCCCGGAATGGAAGGAATTGTGAGGGTGTCTTGGTGGCAACCAAGGTACCGGTACGAAAAATACTGTACCGGTCCGGTATTGGCATGTGCGATATGCGGGGTCTGAACTTCGGATTTTTTGGCAATGGCATTTCTGGGCAGGGGCTGGAGGTCTATCATGATAAATATGATGATATCATACAAACCGGGGTTTCTGCTACCCTATGATATACTATTATACTGGTACCTCAAGGTACCTCAAGTTGATGGGAAAGTCTGTTGCGCCGTTCAGTTTGGACAACAAATATTTGGGCCGTGGAGACTCATTGGAGAGTACTGTACCGGTACTTCCGGTGCAGCCGGGACCATGTCACGGTACATTTTTCAGCCGGGAGAAACTTTGGGGAATGGGGCTGTACGGGTACGGGTACGGGTACCGTACTTGTGCTTACAAGTATTGGTATGGATGTGAACTGTGCGGGTACCGTAGGGTCATACAGTACTTGTACGAGTACCGTACTCGAGTACGGTAGTGTCGCGGGGAGAGAGGTGTGATGTGAGAGAGAGAGGGAGAGAGAGAGTGTGTGTGGGCCGTGCGTGCGGTAAAAAGGTAACTCGTCACGAGTACGATATCGTATCGTGCTCGAGTAAGTAAGTCTCGATTCCGGGACGGATTTGCCATTTGCAAACGTAGGGATGTAAAAAAAGAAGGGAACTGCATCTCTGATCGGGCTACAGCACTCAGACTTGTTTGTGCTGTTATCCCATCGTGGGGGCTGGGTACTGTGCCGCGCGCGCCCGTTCATTGGTAATGGAGTTTGGAATGACATGTATGTGTGCGTTGACTGCAGCGTTCCCATCAATCGGTCGAGCATTTCATTCCATTGAGCTTCGCCTGTTCGCGCTCACTTGTAGGGTTTGACAGTTCGCGAGTCAACGAGTGGTATCATTACTATCATAGCGTATGGTATGATAGATATCATACTTCGTATTATACCGGTGGTCCGCCTGAGTGCTATTGGGTCGAGGGGAATGAAGCAAGGGTTCGGGTGGGATTCGAAAAAAGCTTACTTCGATACGAGCGCAGTGACTGCAGTCCATCATTCAGGTCATCCATTCCTTCCCACCCACCACTCCACGCTCTTACATGCCGGCCACCACCACCACCACAGCAAGACATCAACGGTTCGCGGCGGTAATTCGTTAATCCGCCCTTCTGGCCAATCATGATCGGATCGCACAACAGGACCCCCCCAAAAAAAGTAAAGTGAGGGAGGGGGGGAAGGAATGAGTGAAAAAAAAAAAGGCTCTTCACGGAAGTGATATTTAGCGGTGGAGGAGGCTGTGCTGTGACGCCCATTCTGCCCTAAATTATCGCTAACACCTCGCCTTAGCTCGCTACCAAATTATATTAACTCGCGAGCTGTGATAACTTTAAATAACGAGAGCTCACAGGGGCTAAAAGGGAAAATAGGGTTTTTTTTGGGGAAGGGCGAAGCTTCGTTGATCACCGTTTACCGAGAAGTTTATTCTAGTAGCATATCTGTGCCACCTTATCGTGTTACAGTACTGGATCGTACCGGCTGAGTTCGCGCTTTCTTTTCTGCTAGTTCAAGGAAGGGGGGATGAGAAGCCCCATAATTAGCTATTGGACCATCAGTTAGTTCCTGGTATGTGCTTTGGGATACTAGGCAAGTCTTCCCCGCCCAATGGCTGGGGCTGAGAATGATATTGGGCGTGTGGCATCGGCAGCCCTTTTGCCTCCCGGGCGTTCTTTCTTTCTCCGTTTGTCTTTTTTTGTGGCTCCCGGGAAATTGGGTTGCGCGGGGAACGGGGTGTAATTTTGGTCCGTTAATACGGTGGCCTCTCTGGCTCCCCCGCTCCTCCCTCCACATTGCGCCCCAGCTGTGGGCTGTCCGTGATCGCGGGTAGAGCTATTTCTGGCCCCTTCCCATTGGTAGCTTACCTTTCACCCTGCAATTTTCCGGTATTGTCCTACCTCGTTCTCCCCCTTAGTGAAGGCTGTTTGATTGTTCACTAGCCCTCTCGCCACTACCGGGGAGCCAGCTTGGTAGAGCTCGAGGACATCTTTCGATCAATCCTGGAGCGTGGTGTAGATCCGTTCGAGATGGTCCAAATATAGACGGAATGGAGAGAATAATGATGGAATACCAGTATGGCCTAGATAATAGTTATTGTGTTATTTGTGTATAACACCTTTTCCGAATATTGGTGGGGAGCACAGTTTCGCTTGA